AGTACCTCATAATTAAAATTATATTTAACAAAAAAAACTTTTTCCATTTGATATATTTAAAGATGTGCTTTAAGCGAAAATAAAACAATTATGCAACGGGCGTATCAAGAGATATCTTTCAGGTGGGACCTCTGAGCTAACTGTCTAATTTCGAAATGCCTTTCAAAAATATAGCCATATAGCAATTTATCGTGACGTTTACAGTCGCCGCCTCGTTTTTGTATATACGCGATGACATCATTTAAGTATAATATCGAGCCACTAAACAAAACAAATTATGACACGAAGAATACAGGCAGAAGCAGTATTTGCTAAAGCTGGTCAATCAAAATTTCCCCATAATAATTAAAACTCGTAATATTGTGCCACTAAAGAAGTGTGGGATATGTTAATCAATGTCTACGAAAACCTACAGTGTTAAAAAAATTACTGCAAAGAAAAACTAAATGAAATGAAGATGAAAGAGAACATATCAATGAATTTGTTGTGACCTAGTTGACAAATTAAAAGACATGGATGTCAATATATAAAAGAACCTACTCAGCACAATGTTATTTTATAGCCTCCCCATAAATTTGAACGCTTTAGAGTGGCAATAACGTCGAGGGAAAAGCTACCGTCTTTAGAAGAATTAAAAATAAACATTATAGAGGAAAGCGAAGCACGTTCAAGAACAATGGACTAATAATGAAGAAGCCTTTTACAGTGGCAAACAAAAGTCAATAAATAATAAAGAAATCAAAAGTACAAAGAAAAATTAAAATGGCTAGGCAGCGTTTGGTAAGCTCATCCTCTGCCACAATGCTTGAAAACGAAAGTTTTCGCTCAGGGCATCCTACCGTCCGTCCGTCATGACTTATGGTGCTGAAACGTGGACATTCACGGTACGGCTGGTCCACCAGTTCAAAGCCACTCAGCGTGCTATGGAACGTGCTATGCTCGGAGTTTCTCTAAGAGATAATTTTGAACTTTACCCTCAATTATAATTATATGTAATCGGGTCTTGTTCGTGCATTTTTTTAAAATATTACCCTCAATGTTTTAAGGTTTAAAATCAAGTGATAATTATTATTTAACGCGCACATGGCCGGCCCAGATCCAGCCCTCAAAAAATGTTGTGGACACAACTAACCAATAATTAATCGGCCAAGTGCCAGTTGGAGTACGAACTTACTCAACAAAAAACATGGACTTACCTAAGTTCTGAAAGATTTTTAATTTGATATTTCTTTTTAATTTCAATTGATTACATTGTTTAAAATCTAAAAAACCAACGACATCCAGTTTCAATATATTAAAGGTGTGCCTTTAATATATTTAAGAGAGCTAGCTGGATCTAGTGAGTTAGGGTTGTGGGCAAACCCACAGTGCCCTAACGGTGTTCGCGAATCGCGCATCTCACACGACTCAGCATTTCAACCCTATTCAGATGGTATAAAAAGACTTGAAGTAGTAAAATCAAACGAAATATCGCCATAACTTCATTATCGCTACGATATCGTTTCCTATGGCTACAGAGTTAGAGCGGTCGCACCCCTGATCAAAGTTATCGAAGATCAATCCCACAACAAACAAACAAAGAGAAAGTTTACCTATTTATAGTATTGGTATAAATCTTCTTAAACAAGGAAGCATTACATATTAGGACTGATTAACGTGAAATAATATATCACTAATTGTGACTAAGTTTTTTACCGATTTTTTCTTTATATACACGCACGTCCATTAAAATTGGAAATAGTTTAAAAGATAACGTTCACTTTATACTCACCCCACAACGGACTTTTATTTTTTTTAATATAATTAATTACTGCAAAAAGAGGAAACATTTATTGATCTCAAATTATAAACAAAAACAAGAACACATAATATGATACACAGAGGACGAAAAAAAAATTAGGCAGTACATGTTTACATAAAAGAGATCAATCAGTATTTCTGCCTCAGCTGGTGTTGGCGCGACACAAAGGAGTGCCACACCAATACCGGTATTCTGGCTGCAGAGCCTGTGTGGTACGCGGAACAAACGTTAATAAATAAACAAATACAGAACAAACAATATATTAAAAATAGCATAATGACATAATATCTCTCTGCTATTTTCCGTCTTTATAAATTTTCTCTCTTTCTCTCTTGGCTGTTCTTATCATTTCAATGACGATCTTCAGATTTATGTGCATATGACCATTGAGAAAGTCAGTGCAAGGATCTCTGATCTAAATGGAGCTCTATGTAGTTTCAGTCCATGGTCAAATAATTTTGGAATTACTGTAAATTCTTTAAAATACTAGGCAGTTGTCGTGGGTGGCTTGAAACAGATCTCTAAGCTCGATTTCAACTTGCTCCCATTTTTTGTGTTCTAGAACTCAGTAATAATTTTAGCCCTAGTGTTAAAAACCATGGTCTCCACATTGATTCAGAGTTCAAATGGACTACGCAAATTGCCGAATCAAAGCGAACTGTAACCTACACTCTACGTTCCCTCAACCGTCTCAGGGACTTTCTTCCTATCAAAACGAAGGTCACTCTTGCCACTTGTCTTGTTCTTCCACTCATTGACTATGCCGATATCTGTTATCCTGATATAAATGAAGATCTTCTTAATTAGTTAGGCCAGATAAACCGGATAAGTGTCATCTTCTGTTTTCGTAAGTTCGACCATGTTTCTTCTTATCGGTTTCAGCTAAAATGGCTTCTTATACAACAGAATAGGCATTTGAGGTTGCTTTGTACACTTTTACTCTATTCTTTCAAACCCTCATACACCAGAGTACTTAAAGTGTATAGTTCAATATCTTTAACACTCATGGTCGTCACCTGCGTTCCTCAAACTCTCTCTCACTCTCCACTCCTCTTTTGCACACTGGCTTTGTCCAACTCATTCTCTCATTCACTCATTTTCTCTTCAACCAAGTCGACTGTAGAACAACCTCCAAGATTGCGTCAGGAAATCGCCAAATAAAAATATTAAAAAAATCCACTCCTTTCTTATGCAAGGCTTGTGAATATGGTCATTATTTATTTGCGTGTATATATATATTCGCTGTATACATGTAATTATGTGTAAGTTTATTTATATTTTTGGTATGTTGTATTTTGTGGTATGTTTATTATTAGTTTAGTATTATTGTTGTCGTAGTCTTGGCGTTCACATTTCAACTTAAAGTAGTCGTTAATCCTTCAAGATCGTTTAAGCAATTATGTGATCACTGGTCGACAAAAAAAACACCTTTTGTGTGTAATATGAAAACTTTTATCAAGATATATTAAGGATAAGGATGATAGAAATAAAACTAGAATGCCTCAAATACGAATAGTTTTTTTTGTAATCTGACATTATATACATTTAAAAAATTTCAGATTTTATTGACGAAAATAAGTTATTTTATTATATTACATCATTAATTTAACTAAATCTTTATGATTTTCTTTTGTACAATATTTTGCTTCAGAGACTCCAGAGATGTAATGTCCAATAGTAATCCGCTAGCATACGTGGACTCCACTTGCCCTGGTATCGTTTTTCCATGGAAGAAATGTCTTGGTGAAATCTTTCACCATGTTCATCGCTGACGGCACCCAAATTTTCAGGAAAGAAGTCTAAATGTGAATGAAGGAAGTGTATCTTCAATGATATATTACATCCTAAAATCTAATAAGATAGCAGCTCCATGACAATAGTTTTATAGTCATTTGATCGGTGATTTCCTAAAAAATTGGACGTTACTTTCATAAAAGATTCCCAAGCAGATTTTCCTAAATCACTGAGCTTTTCTTTAAATATGTCGTCTTTAATCAATTGTCTAATTTGTGGGCCAACAAAAAAGCCCTCTTTAATTTTTGCCTCACTCGGTTTAGGAAACTTTTCTTTCAAATATAAAAAGCCGTCACCACTCCTGTCCATAGCTTTCACGAAGTTTTTCATGAGTCCAAGTTTTGTGTGTAAAGGTGGTAAAAATACATTATCAGGCTGCACCAATGGAGGATTTTTAACATTTTTTTGTCCTGGAATGAGAGATTGCCTTAAACATAACAATCAAATGAGTGATTCGTTGGTTCTGTCCAAATTACAGGGATTGCAAAAGGCATAGATCGAGATCTTCTCGCCCATCCAGTAAGATGACCCACACAGCAGATGTGTGGAACCCACACTTTGTCTTGCTGTCCGACTGCAAAGCCAAAATACTCTTCATATAACTTAGTTACTAATGGTGTCAAATTCCTTCGCTGAGTTTTAAAAGTAATGTTACAATAAATGTAACAAAACCATTTTTACACATTATTGACATTATTTAAGAATCACTTAACTCAAAAAACAAAACAAACTTGATATAAATAAAATTTCTGAATGCAAAAGTGGAACAAATATGGTTAATTTTCAATTTTACGGGTAGTAGCTGTAACACAAAAACTAGACCTGATGGAATCAAAATAAATATGGTGATAAAATAAGGATAGATAGGTTATTCAAAAATAGTAAGTATCTTTCTTGGTACAAAATTTTGTTGACCAGTGTCAGTCAGTCATACTGGATTTTAAATCCGCATTGAACCCGCGCTGTTGGTTTTTTTTTTATGGGATAGGGGGCAGACGAGCAGACGGATCACCTGATGGTAAGTGATTACCGTCGCCCATGGACACCTGCAACACCGAAGGGGCTACAAGCGCGCTGCCGGCCTTAGAGGGAAGGGTTAAGGGGTAGAGGGAAGGGAATAGGGAGGGGTTGGGCCTCCGGTACTCTCACTCACACGACGAAACACAACGCAAGCGTTGCTTCACGTCGGTTTTCTGTGAGGTCGTGGTATCACTCCGATCGAGCCAGCCCATTCATGCCGAAGCGTGGCTCTCCCACGGTTCGTGGCATGGTTATGGCACATTCTCTGTTTGGCACATGCGAAAATAAATAAGTAGATTGCTTAGAAAAATAGTTATTTATTAATTATTACAAGTACAACTAAATTGATTGATAATGTTATCAACTGGCGGCTCGGTCGAGCAGCTCACAACGGAGAGAACTGGATCATACTCTTGATATCTTTTAAAAGGACTTCTAAGAAACCGCGCTGCGGCGGCGGCTGATTCTGAAAAGATAAATACGTATACAAAAGATTTTTTATGTATTCCAACATTTAGTATAGTACATTCGCTATTAACACTATGTTTTGTAATCAGATAATCAAACGATTTTATGACTCCGTACAAATGTTTATTTCAAAGTGAGTTATAGTGTTTGTGAAATTTAATGAGTTAGTTATTTAATCGATTAATATGGTTGGATTTTGAGGAAAATTACGATTGAATGTACAATACAATAAATTATTACTTTGGTGGTTTCTAGCAACTCGTCGATGAAGCGGTCGTTGAAAATAGCGATCAGGCCTTTCCTCAATTCAGGCAAATCATCGCCTCCGGCACCACGCCACGCGCTGCTGACTGTTAGTGACACTGAAAATACATTTACATTAGATATCCAAGTTACATCGAGCCTTTTCAAGAAGAACATCGTAATCATTTTGTATATTTTTTACTTACACTAAGTTGGTTTTATAAAATATTTCATAAAATATGAACGATATATTTCTTAAAGTATGAAAACTATCATTTTGAAAATTTTACTGATTACTGTACAGGCGATTACCTACCTATTAATGTATATGTCAAGTTTTAAATTAGTATCTCAAATTTTTACACAAGTCGCTTACGTTGGAACTGAAGACAATTATAGTTAAGGGTTTTGTCAAGTATGTCGCTTAAGATATTTTTTGAATCTCAGGTGTACCCACGCAGTGTGTCCCGCAGCAGGTACAGCGCGTGCATGTGTATAGTGGTGCGCTACTGACCGTCAGTGTGTAGGGCCGACGCGGGGTGCGCGGGGTGCGCGGGCGGCGGCGCGGCGGCCAGGCGCAGGTGCACCCGCAGCGCGTCCCGCAGCAGGTACAGCGCGTGCATGTGTACAGTGGTGCGCTACTGACCGTCAGCGTGTAGGGCCGACGCGGGGTGCGCGGGCGGCGGCGCGGCGGCCAGGCGCAGGTGCACCCGCAGCGCGTCCCGCAGCAGGTACAGCGCGTGCATGTGTACAGTGGTGCGCTACTGACCGTCAGCGTGTAGGGCCGCGGCCGGGTGCGCGGGCGGCGGCGCGGCGGCCAGGCGCAGGTGCACCCGCAGCGCGTCCCGCAGCAGGTACAGCGCGTGCATGTGTACAGTGGTGCGCTACTGACCGTCAGCGTGTAGGGCCGCGGCCGGGTGCGCGGGCGGCGGCGCGGCGGCCAGGCGCAGGTGCACCCGCAGCGCGTCCCGCAGCAGGTACAGCGCGTGCATGTGTACAGTGGTGCGCTACTGACCGTCAGCGTGTAGGGCCGCGGCCGGGTGCGCGGGCGGCGGCGCGGCGGCCAGGCGCAGGTGCACCCGCAGCGCGTCCCGCAGCAGGTACAGCGCGTGCATGTGTACAGTGGTGCGCTACTGACCGTCAGCGTGTAGGGCCGCGGCCGGGTGCGCGGGCGGCGGCGCGGCGGCCAGGCGCAGGTGCACCCGCAGCGCGTCCCGCAGCAGGTACAGCGCGTGCATGTGTACAGTGGTGCGCTACTGACCGTCAGCGTGTAGGGCCGACGCGGGGTGCGCGGGCGGCGGCGCGGCGGCCAGGCGCAGGTGCACCCGCAGCGCGTCCCGCAGCAGGTACAGCGCGTGCTCGAGCGCGGCGCGCGCCCGCTGCAGCTGCACGCGCCGCGCGCCCACACGCGCCCGCAGCACGCACACGCCGCGCGCGCGCTCCTCCGCCGGGGACACGGACCCGCTCACGTCGCCCGTCAGCTTCTTTATGTCTGCACCCGTACACGTGTTTTACGTTAATCAAAGCCGAATCAAATTTACGATTTAAATGTTATTTTGAAAGAATAATATTCATAATACAAAAAAAAAATAAAGAGACCAAGAAGATAATGATATTCAAGGCGATCATTTTTTTATGCGATATTTTATGAAACTAGATATATTGAGCATGCAAAAATGGACGTGTCAACGAAATTCCAGCTTGTTATCCCAATTAGAGAATAACAGCTAATAAGTGTCTCCATAAATAAGGTTAATAAATCTTAATCAAAATGTATGAAATGGTGTTACATACTATTATTCATTCGACACTAAATTTCAAAGCCAAAACAGATGAAGAATCTGAAGTCTTTATAGAATCTGTTATGTAATGTTAAATATTGGAATGGAAATGAAATGACTTAATATTGTATTAATTTGGTAATGACATGGTTTTTTGTATTAAAGCTGATGAGTTTCTTTTGTTCGTTTTTCTTACCAACCAAAAAACGTCCTGAACGTGTGGTAGGGAATAAAATGTTGGATGATTCAAAACTACTTTAAATAAGTTTATTCGAACAAAGACACTTTGTCTTTGACACAAATGTAGTTACCGGACAGCGTCATAGAAGGTACGCTTTGCAGCTGATGTTGCTGCGTGGCGAGCAGCTTGTCGAGATGCTGCACGCTCTGCAGCATACTCTGGAGCAGCTGCAGCAGCGAGCCCACGTGCGGGGCCACGTCCCCCCCACCCCCTCCCCCACTGCCGTTGAGGGAGGGGAGGAACAATGTGCGCGACCCATCGTGCTCGATCATATTACGAGCGAACGTCAGTAGATTACACACGATCTGAATGGTAGACATAGCAAATTTTTTTCTTTAATAAAATTGATACGCGATATACGACTCTATACAATAACAATAAGCTCTAAATCGCATTGTAATGCGTGAGTTGTAAGAATCTAATAAACTCAATAAATAAATAAACACAAGAGAATATTATTTTATGTTTTCATAACAAAATACTAGAGTAACTCTAGTATTTTCTTAGCGACACTCCATTTAACTAATTGCGATGATTTTAACCGACATTATTTTGTAACATGATTTCGCTGATGTAGCACAGGATTTTTATATGTAGACTTCAAATTAAGTTACAGATAGCCAATAAAAGGTAAGCAACAATAATAACTAACAATTAGTGATTTTATTACATTATTTAATGACATACAAGATGCCTGCCCCTATAAAATCTATCGATAGACATTTAGATTTTACGCAGAGCGATATGAAAAAAAAAATGATATTCACAAACACATTCACAAGTCTTTCATGGAGACATCAAACTGTTTCTCACCAGACATCCAATATTATTACTAAAGTATCTTTATTTCCTTATTAACATTAATTATTTTATTACATGCAATTTTATTCTCCTGTATAAAATTTTAATAAATCATAAACAATACATTGATTAATATAATAAATTAAATTTAGGCACATGCACGTCAGTTTGTTTATTTGTCGCTTTTAGAATTATAGCTGATTCAGCATGAGCGCCACCATCAGGATGTGGAGAGAAGTAAACGATGAATCCTTTGAGACACACGTTGCAATCCTCAATGGAAAATGACTTTATAAATTTATATTGTATCGATTTGGGAATGGCACAGTTACTTCTATTAGAGCCGATGAGTTTTTAGTTCGGTCTTCTTATCGGCCAAAAGACGTTCTGAACGAAGAAGACGGAAATCTCGGAGCAATCAAATGTAGTTTAACTTTATTCGAATAAATATATTTTGACTTTGTCATTAGTCTTCGCAGGTGGTTTGCAAACTGCCAATCCCGGGTTTTACCAGGCCATAAGCCTGTACTTTTCAGGACGGGTACTGGGTAGAAGGTAGTTTCCAAAGTTTGGAAGCTGCGAAGCGACTGTGGCACCGACCTTGTAGTAGAGCGTCTGGCGGTGGTCGTCGTGGTGGTGGTGGTCGGGCGCGTGCGGCGGCGGGCGCGTGTAGCGCGGCAGCAGCGCCAGCATGAGCGCGTGCAGCCGCTGCAGCGCGCCGCCGCTGTGCTGCAGCGCCGTGTCGCCGCGCGCGCCCGCCGCCGCGCGCCCGTCCGACGCGCGCGCTAGCACGCACGTCAGCGCCTCCGTCTCGATCAGCAAGTCTAGCGGCGAGTTCGGGTGTGCCGCTCTGTTTAAGGTATATCGAGGGATTCAGAGTTACGCCGACTTGTAGTTGCACATATGTGTTGTATATGTGGAGTGGCAGAAATGTGGACGGTGGTCAGGAGTAGTCACAAAGGATTTTTCGACCGAATCTATCGAATATTTTAGTTTCACATGTTGTGAATGTATGACAAAAATATAACTTATTATAAATTATGAATCCAGCTTTGGTAGTGCCCGATAGGAAACACGCAAAACTACAGACGCTAATCTGTGCGATTTGGATGTATTTGTAATTAGGGCTGCCAGATCCAGACTGATCATTTCCTGGACAATTCTGGTGCCACGAACGGAATCAGAGGTTTGGCTTCCGGTCCAAGGCTAAACTAAGTAGGAATTACCTAGAATATTTGGTTGATGGAAAAAGAAAATACTTTTTTTGGAAAAATCTTTTTAATTACTTTCTTAAACTGTTAAATGCAAAAAAAATGTAATTCAACTTACGTAAGTAACTTTTTGAGGCTTTAATATTGACATGAATACTTTGTGAAAAAAATACTAGTATTTTTCCATTCAGGGACAGCACAGTAAACATAATGGACACGGGACAATACGCAAATTCCGGGACAATCCCGGAAATCCCGGCTATCTGGCAACCCTATTTGTAATGTTAACAATTACAAAAGTCAATAGTCAATAGTAACTTTTTAATAATTATATTTGCTATACTGGAAAATATTCTTGATGAAAATGCTTAAAAATCCACCTTCCATCTCGGAGTACCTGAGGCTTAGAATAATTTTTTGTCGTAATCGAAAGCTTAAAATATTTGTAAAAATATTTTTTTCGGCTGTTTTGAGTGGTTGCCTAAACTACAAAATCAATACGCTCACTATAATCGAAAAGTAACAAGTGCTTAAGAGCCATATTACATCGCAACTGTGATTTCTGCATGATTTTTCTCGGAAACAAAAACAAATTAACAATTTTGACTTGTTGAATAGTGAAGAATAACTCTTGGTATAGAAATAAGTGGCCTAACTTTTTGGAAATTTTGCTCATCTTTTTAATTAAACCCAAAATACCAGAGAAAGATTTTCATAAAATGCGCAAAGACACTTTTTTGAAGTCCTGGATTGAGCTACTGTTCTTAACAAACGAAATAAAAGAAATAGAATGATATCTCTTATATAGTCGTAAAGTAAACAGTAGCTCGAAATTTTGAAATAGCACTGATTAAATATAGAAAAACAATTATATTACAAACCAAAAAACATCAAAAATTGCTTGAAGTTAACTTTGAATTTCTCTTAGCCACAACAATATTATTTAACAAAATTTATGCCAGATTAATGACTATTTCATAGGGAACAAAGTTATTATAATTTTAAAGCATAAATTTATTATATTATTTCAATAAATACGATAAATGTAAACGCAAAATCACTACAAAATAAGATGCAGCGGCCGTCTGAGCTCAGTACCGCGCGAGCGCTCCTCAACGTTAGACCTGTGTCGCATTTCTTCGCGCCATTTTTGATCTAGATACGTTCGAGCGAGCGTAAATAGAGCAGTATAGTGGGACTTCCAACTTTGGTCACGAAGTTCGATTTATATGGAATTAATATAGCTTGTTGAATTATTTCTAATACACATTTGTTATTTTCAGCATAGGTCGAAAGACCCCTAGGTATATTTGTATAAGAAAGTTAAAATATATATTTATATTATGAAATGCAAATAAAGCAAGGTACTTCTTCTCTCAATACACTTATACTAGTACATAAAATTGGAGTGCATATTTGTAATATTAAAATAACCGCTTTTTACTAAATACATTTGTGTGTATACATGGTACATATACAAAAATAATATATTTTATCTGTCTGTCTGTTAGTTCTGGCTAATCTCTGAAACGGCTTGGCCGATTTTGAAGAGACTTTCACTAGAAGTTGACTAACGTAATGAGAATTAACTTAGACTTATGGCTCGATGCAATTCGATCGCTATCAAATTTATCGGAAATCCGCATATCAAACAACTTTTTCTAAATTCAATATATTTTTAATCCCCGACGCAAAAACGACGCGGTGTTATAAGGTTGACATGTCTGTGTGTGTGTATGTGTGTGTGTGTGGTGTGTTTGTGTCTTTTTGTGGCATCATAGTTCCCGAACGGATGAACCGATTTTGATTTTGTTTAAAAGGAGTATTAGTCGGGAGTGTTCTTCACTTTGATGAAAATCGATCCAAGATGGCCGCCGCCACAAAATGTCAGATTACATATTTTATCACCATTCCATCAATATGGGTATCAAATAAGAGGGTTTGAGTAGTAGAATACTGAACACTATGACAAATTTCAAATCCAAGATGACCGCCACCAAAAATGTTGGATTACCTATATATTTCTCACGACTCCCTCAATACGGACATTAAATAAAAGGTCTTGAGTAGTAGAATACTGTTTACTATGACAAAATTTTATATACAAGATGGCCGCCGCCACAAAATGTTGGATTATCTACATTTTTTGTCACGACCCTCTCAATACGGATTTCAAATATAAGGGCTTGAGTAGTAGAACACTGAACTACTTCAGCATCAAGTCAATCCACCCAGCATTCCTGACGGGACCCACGTGTGGTGGTGCTAAAGCACAGATATTCTCAATAGATGAAATTATTCCAACCAGCATTTCTCGTAGCATTCAGCACACCAATTAGGATTGGTAGTGTTAAAACACATATTATTGATCGTTGATTTAAATGCATCCAGAATTCCGCACTGGGCCCACATAAAGGTGCCAGTGCGGATTGGTGGTGCTAAAGCATATATATTTTAATTAATGATTAATCTACCAAGTAATAAGTATTGGGCACGCGCCCAGTACGGATTACTAGGTCGTCCTAAATCGCTCCACTAAAAAAATTGACCTCCCATCCAATTGCCGGCCTTTGCAATCGTCGCTTAACCTCCTCAATCACAGATCAAACGAGCTATCCGGCACCATCGAGCTTTTTATTTGTTTATATACGGATATTGCCGTATTTTTTTTGTAAAATTCAATATATTTTGATGATATGGTAAGTTTGAACAAATGAATCGTTCCTCGATATTATTGAACAGAAAATTAAAAGCAGATCGAGCGTTCTACCACCTTCATACATTTAAAGTGATACCGCAGACCATGAGATTTGTGACCGATATTGACAGATAGTATAATCTCATGAGCAAACACTTGAGTTTTTCCATATATTTTATAAGTACATGCGATTCGTGTGATATCGTTCATTGATATCGAATAACATCGCATCTAGCCATGAGAAAAGAACCTTAGGTTACTTTCCATTCGCATAAAGTCGCGGGCACAACTAGTTTAATATAATTCTAATTTACTACTTTTCCAAACAGGAAACAGTCCATGTTTCCTATGGATGACGAAAATATTTTGAAATCGTCGACGAAAAATATGGCACGTATATTTTTTAATTAATATTTATAATTTTATTGATATATTGTCATCGCTATTTATATTTATAGCCTATGATTTGGCTAAACTTGATTCTTTTAATTTTTGTCCGATCTTAGCAGTCGTGTTTTTAATTTTTAAATAATTATTTCTATTTAATATTAATTAATTAAGCTAGTTTCACTGATACTCTATGTATTTTGTGGTAACTTAGGATGATGTTTCTAATGATACCTTATACATTCATATCCGTTATATCTTTCAAAAGTTATGGTGCAATAAAAATACTCACATACATACATTAATTCTAAAAACAATAGACTCCTTTACGAGAGCATTCGTGTTAAAATATTCGGGAATCGATAATGAATCTCACCATAGAAATACTAAAATAAATACAAAAATTGGGAAAAGTATCAAAATAGCTTGAACGTGGTTTCAACACAGTATTGTGAACTCGTGACCTTGAACAAGTTCTCGAGAACTCAAATCACAGAGTGAAAATTTGTCATATGGCTCTTAAAAAACTCATCAGTCCTGTTAGATCCTGGATAGCTCAGTTAGAGCAGTCGCCCAGATTGCGAAAGGTCGTGGGTTCGAGTCCCATCTCAGAGTACCTGAGAGTGGGAAATTTTTTAAACATTTTTCATTAACAAGATTTTTTTTAATGTTCGAGGTCAACACGATCTATTTCATTACGATAGAAGTAAAAGTTTAACTGTGTTAAATAATTAATATTATCCCTATAGTCGTTGTACACTTGTTGTAGTTAATACGTAAACAAAATATGTACAAAATTGATTTGGCATTAATTATCAGATTATGTTTTTATAATATTATCATCATCGTAACGTGAGTGTGTCACCTGAGTACGATGTCCAGCACATCGGCGTGACTGAGCAGCAGATGCGTGATGTGCAGCACGCAGCTGTGGTTGCCGGTACCCAGTGACGTCAGCAGGGCGTCACACAGCGACAACGCCGGCACCAGGATTTGACGGAACCTTTTTAAACGGAGGCGTTTTAAATTTTAATCCAATTATATTATGGAGGAAGATAAACCTTCATACTGAGCGGAATCTGATACCATTAAGCTGTGTTGTTATAAAATTAGTTGCGATAAATAATACAAAACATGTGAATCGTTCGAAAAATCGTCGTCACCAGTATATTAATGGCACACCCTATAGATGAAATCGAGTCAAATCGAATAATGAGAGAGCTGTGAAAGTGAGAAAATATACATATAAGACAGGGAAAGTCATCGATGAACTGAGAATTTGAAATTTATAAATTATTTTATCACAAAATTAATCAGAAACTCGAGCAGAAGCACTCTTGAATAAACATATCACTCTAATTACACGTAAAGCTATTAGTGAGGAATATTACGATAACTCACCCGTCAGTGACGGACGTTAAGAGTTTACCTATCAGTAACGGATGTTACCTGAACTCACCTATCAATTACGGATGTTAACTGAACTCACTTATAAGTGACGGATGTGAACTGAACTCACCTGTCAGTCACGTATGTTAACTGAACTCACCTATCAGTGACGGATGTTAAAACTGAACTCTCCTGTCAGTGACAGATGTTAAAACTGAACTCACCTGTCAGTGACGGATGTTAAAACTGAACTCACCTGTCAGTGACGGATGTTAAAACTGAACTCACCTGTCAGTGACGGATGTTAAAACTGAACTCACCTGTCAGTGACAGATGTTAAAACTGAACTCACCTGTCAGTGACGGATATTAAAACTGAACTCACCTGTCAGTGACGGATGTTAAGTGAACTCACCTATCAGTGACGGATGTTAAAACTGAACTCTCCTTTCAGTGACGGATGTTAAAACTGAACTTTCCTGTCAGTGACGGATGTTAAAACTGAACTCACCTGTCAGTGACTGGCGGCACGAACTGTGTGTCGCGGGCGGTGTCCGTGGCGGCGTGTATGTCGGGGTGGCAGGAGAGCGCGCGCATGTTGGCGAGGCACGAGAGCGCGCCCTGAGCGAGCAACGTCTCCGCCCCGCTCCTGCTGCCAGCTAACTTCACTAGCAACGCCATCTTTGATTCGTACACGTAAAGTACGCGCAGCGACTTAGGGTTCGGCTCCAACGCCTATCGAAAATGCAACAACGACATCTAGAGAAACATGTGTCAATAATACAAATAAGAACAATTGTATCTACAAAGATGGCAGAGAAAGACGGAATCATAAAAAAGTAAAAGCCACAGTTACCGTTACCGAGAGAACCGTGCGTTAGTTAGAAAAAAACAAATTTTACTTAATGAGAATGAAAACAATTCATCATCTTTATATTTACCTCCTTCAAACCCTCATCGTCTTGCATCAGACTATCTATGAGACTCCTGAGATATCCTTGATTGGTGAGCGTGTGCATCCAATCAGTGCGCGGATGTATCTCCAGTAGAGAATCCAAGCACGCCAGCGCCACCATGCGGCAGACATCGTGCCCGGCACCGATACAATCGCTACACACTATAGAACACAAGTTTTCACCGAAACCACTGATCACGTCTATCACCATCGACTTCAAAACAGTTTCATCTTTGCTGGGTCTCACTTTGGAACTGTCCAATCTACTGACGTACGTCACGTTCACATCCTCCTCCGGATCGGCCGCGTTAGGTTTCAAATTTACGATATTCAAATAGTTCAACAGCGCTCCGTATAGATTCACGCGCATCTTCTGCGTCGAACCTCCAGAAACTAATATCCAACTCAATATTTTGTGCAGTATAAACTTCAACGTTAAAGTTTTCGTCTGCATTATTTGACTCGAAGGACCAAAAAATGACGTTTCGAATTCCGACGCGTCCAAGTTGGTTTCCCTTTTCTGCATTATGTAACAGTGACGTAAATTAACTAAGAGCAGTAGAACTGTGCCGGAAGCTAGGTTTCCCAACTGTGGGAGTACTTCAGCTGGTGGTATCTTGTTTAGTAAGTCCTGGAGAATGTTCAGGAGGAGGTTTTTCTTGGATTCCAGGTTGAGAATGTCGGGTGGCGCGACACAAAACAATATTTCTGTCAGTTGTCGCCATGAGTCATAGTAGTGTGTGAGAGTTGCCGCTAGATTTCGTTGCCTGTTGACTTCGGTTACATAATCTAAGACCTGCATAATCAAAGTAAGTTTTTAGAAAGTAAATCATAATAAAATTAATATAAGAAAAGTATATTAAAAATAAAATTACACGTTTCGACGTAGAGTATATAAAACTAGTATTTGTAGACTATATTATAAAAAAAATCATACAAAATATTATAAAATCACAAATAAGTAAAATTCAACATTCTGATAACTATACTTTAATAATGTCAATAACTCGTTTGTTTTCCTGAACATATACTATCACTCTTGTCTTATTTTTTTTTCCAGTTACTTTATACCTGTTAATCTTACATCCTCTCTTCGATATCAATCTTTTCAAACTTTCGCAGTATGGTCAATCAGTAAGCATGATTACCTTCTGTATTTCTTGTGCGACGAGATTCCTTTGAGGCGCAGTAGCGTGCAGCGCTGCCAATTCACGCGACAGCAACGCGTGTACCCGCGTCACGCTAATACGCTTACCACCCATGCCTTCAATTAAACATAAGAAATTATAAATGATAGTCGTACAAAAGAGTAAACTTTTAATGTGAAGAATAGTTTTTTTTATATTTTCTCCTTCTAGAACGAGAAACTCTCTTTAGGCATCGCTTAGCCGGTGTATACCTGTAGGTAGATCGCAGGAGTCGAGCGCCTGCCTCAGCTGGTGGGCGTGGAACAGCTCCCAGGGGGGCTCCACGGCCGCCTCCACGCTCACCGGCAGCCCCTCCAGCGTGCGGCGCAGCAGGCACCACTCCCACTCCTACACAATGTAGATATATAGACTGTATGGTGGCGAGGGCGGCGTTGTGCCGTGTACGTGTGCTTGTACGTGTACGTGTACGTATACGTGTAGATAAGATAGATAGAAAGATAAACAGTTTATTCAGACTACATCACAAACTTGTACAATACAAAAAACAGTTAAGAACAGAATACATGATATACCTGTGTGCAGCAGTAAGATAAGGGTCAAGACTCGGTGCACGTATATCACTCAAGAATGGGCGAAGCATTGATTTTCAGCCGTCACCGAGTCCAGAGTGAGCGGGGCACATTATTGTCAATGTCATATAAATAAAAAGAATTAAAAATGTCCAAAGTAAAAGAAAGTAATATTCTTCATGAAAAAAAAAATTGTCCGTAGTATAAATAAATGTATGATAAATAATGATAGATAGCACATAGGTCAAGTTAGAAACAAAATGAATATTAGGTAGATTTGAGTATGTATATGAGATTATAATAATTAATTTAGGATTTCGATTGTGTCAATGTCAAAAATAGAAAATAAAATTATAAAGTAACCTTTCAGGAAGAATCAATCTTTCAATCACCTCACCAAACATACATTCTGTGTGCACGTATACGTGCCCGTGTACACATACGCACCTGCGTGTGCGCGTGCCTGTTGTGCGTGAGCGCGGCGAGTAGGGCGGCGAGGGCGGCGTGGTGGCGCGCGGCGGCGGCGGCGCCCGCCTCGCACGCGCACGCGCGCAGCACCCACGAGCGCGCAGACAACGTCACCGCGCCCGCCGTCTACGTTACATACACGCACGATTAATGCACCAAACAATAATGGCTGAACCAGAACCGTGCAATAACGTTCTATATCAAAAAATAGCAGATAAGGATTTTCATGATTTTTTTGCCCCTCCCCGTCCTAGTCACAGCAGCACATTTGTAAGACTCCCCCCTCCTAGTGTAATGTCACATATTTAGCAAGGTTTTTATAAAGTAATAGTTTAAAATTTGTGTCTTAACACTTAGATTATAATATATTTTGAAATGTGACGTCACGGAATTTAGGACCCTCCCACCCCCTTGTCACACAATGTCACACTTCGTCGACCCCCTCCCTCCCCCTTAACGTGTGACGTTAATTATGGATGGCCCCTAAGCGAGTAAGTAATCAATATAATATGATAATTAACATTCCGTATACGACCTTGAAATAAAATTGCATAACAATTAAATAATGCTATTGTAAATTAACACTAGGCACACGGCAAAATTTCCCTACCAAAAAAGACTATGGCTACAGTCAAATGAATGCTCCCGTCTTTATATTGTTTAACATCAACGTTTATACGAAACTAATATTTCATAGATTGATTATAAATCTAATTGAAAGTTAATTTTATAACGAAATTTCTTTGACGTATTAAATGTATCTATTTAGTAAAAAGTTATTTAAAAAAAAAAGAAACACAAGGACTTTGACACCTCAAAGACCAGAATTAGAAAAATAATCTGATACCTCCAAGTTAACTGTAGCTTTGACGTGTCTGGCCAGAAAGTAGTCCCTGGCGCGCAGGTACCGCAGCGCTGGGGCCGACGTGTTCGGTCTAGCGCACAACCAGTACACCAGCCTGTAGCAGCTCTCCACCAAGTTAGTGGCCTCCCTGCTCGACCAAACATTACAATATAACTCTCTAGTCGTATCTACTTCTTAGCCTTAACAACTGTAATTTTTCATATATTTATAGTATGTAGTTTCCTCTGGAAAAGGTCAAAACTTTTATTTCGTATCTAATTCTAACTATATATCTCTATGATAAATACCAGTGATAATCTTCTTATATATAAAAATGAATCGCAAAATGTGTTGGTAAGCGCATAACTCAACAACGCCTCGACCAATTTGGCCAAATCTTTTTTTAAAATGTTCGTTGAAGTTCAAGGATGGTTTTTACGGCGAGAAAAATTAGAATTATTGCTGGAAAAACCCTAAAAATAGCCCTTTTCTTTTTCCCATACAAATGATTTGTAACTAAAACGTAGTCAATTTGAGCTTTATTGCTATGGTATAAAGTTCATATTAAATTACAAGCACTCACTGTTGTCTAAGCAATGTAGGCTTTTTGACAGGACGAAGTCTGTCGGGTCAGCTAGTATCAAATATATTCACTGTATGTATATACGAGACTGAGTTAAAATTTGTATTTATAATCAGTCAATTGCACAAACACCCATTAAAATTGTCATTAGTTTAAAACGACATTACCGATATAAATATGATATATACACTTTATTTTCTTCTTGACTTTCGTATTGACATGTAAATAACGAGTACTTTATTTAGACTACTGTGCAGGTGTACTGACGTTTTGTGAAGAAACACATTATAAATATATATATTTAATTTAATATTACACATGATATTCCACATATTGCCCCCTACTTCATTACCTTTCTATTTTTTTCTCTCTATCACCATTACGCAATAACGCCTCTGAAAAGGTTTCTTTCCACTCGGAGGTTAGTGGTGAGTCTCCTTTTGCGTTAGATATAAATAAGAAGTCGAAAATGTCTATAAAATCGTATAATAATGCCTACATATAAAACGTAATAAATGGTAAAGTTAACTATTATTATTATCACTAAAAATTGGTAAAATATATTATTCTATGTGAATGGTATTTCTGGTTATTGAGCACGAGTTGCGTAATGGTAACATTTTACGTACTGAATTAATATTTTAAATGTTAGGTATGCTTACTTAAAATGCTTACTTGCATATATATAATTATTGCTGTTCGTTGCATATAGAACCGAACAGCCTCCATTTGTATACTGTCCTTAAAATTGTTTTTTTCTAATGTATCCAGTTTTTGTGCAATAAAGAATATAATTACTATTATTATTATAATAAGTTATTAACAAATATATATATAAAAAAAGATAACTCACTTATCGGCAGCGGGTTGTAGTGCGATATGTTGATCGAGAATGTCCAGTATCGAGTGCAGACAAGTGCGCGGGTGACCGCCCACACCGGGCTCGTTTAGAGCACTCTTACTCACCTAACAATAGAAAAGATAATTATGTTATTATATTATGAAGTATAAAAAAAAATATTACTTCCGTTCCAGTAATCATCTAAAATCGGGACGTGCGGCAACCCTGAATGCGAAACATGTGCTTCTATATAACGTTTTTCGCAGTTGACTGCAAAACAGTACTGACAAGGATTTTATCAAGTTAATAATAGAGCGAGACAAAGAACATGCGTACTAACGGCGTAAGTGCGGAATATTGGAGCTTCCCAACCTAGGATATAATTATCATATCAAAAGCCGACACGCAGATATTTAGAGAAGGAAATATTTATATAAAAAATATATACATACATCTTATTCCGTATAAATTCACTTAGGAACACCTTATATATATATATATATATATATACAATTCTTATTCTACGAAATACAATTCTTAATATATATATATACCATGGGCGTTTATAAGAATTGTATTTCGAAAAATAAATTTAAGTTTTTCTGCTCTGAAGAACAATTTTGGTTTTCCTATAAATAATAATATTAATTCATAAATTACATTTGGTCAGTGTTACAATACAATACAAGTGTAGTACACATATATGCGTGTCATACTGACGTCTTCGTTAAGCTGGTACCCGAGCAGAAAGTGCGCGAGGTTGGGCGGCGCGGTGGGCAGCGCCTGGTGCAGCAGCAGCAGGATGCCCTCCTTGGTCTGCCGCACGACGCCCGCCTGCCCGCCCCACTCCTCCGCCTCCAGGCACTCCACGAACCCGTGTCTGCGCGCAACGGGATGTTATACATATCATCACATTCCAAAATAGGTAACGAAAGCGCATGCGCTCTTGTTAATTTTATTCGGGTCACAGGTGCTACGAGCAGTTACGAATGTGGATTGTTTCATCTATAAGTGTAACCTCTGAGTCTAGAGATCCTATTAATATTATAAATGTGAAAGTTTCTTTGTTTGGATGTTTGTCGGTCGATCACGCCGAAACTAATGAACGGATTTTGATGAAATTTGGTATACAGATAGGGTATTGGCTGACTAAAATACTTTTTATCCCACTAAACATTTCCCTAGGGACCACGCGGGCGAAGCCGCTGGCGAAAGCTAGTATTTTATAATTTTATAAAGGATAAGATTAAAGATATAATTATAAAAAAATATTCTACATTGCATTTTGCTTATGATAAATGTATATAATAATACCAAAATTCAACTACTCAAATAAGGAACACTAGGCGGGGAATACCATCAAACACACTTGCAGCGCGCGCGTCAGCAGCCGCGTGGCGCGCGCGTGCGGTTACCTGATCTCGTCTGCCCTGGCGTGGCGGTGCGCCAGCGCGGCCAGCAGGTGCGCGGCGGCGTGCGGCGCTTGCAGCGCGCGCGTCAGCAGCCGCGTGGCGCGCGCGTGCGGTTACCTGATCTCGTCCGCCCTGGCGTGGCGGTGCGCCAGCGCGGCCAGCAGGTGCGCGGCGGCGTGCGGCGCTTGCAGCGCGCGCGTCAGCAGCCGCGTGGCGCGCGCGTGCGGTTACCTGATCTCGTCCGCCCTGGCGTGGCGGTGCGCCAGCGCGGCCAGCAGGTGCGCGGCGGCGTGCGGCGCTTGCAGCGCGCGCGTCAGCAGCCGCGTGGCGCGCGCGTGCGGTTACCTGATCTCGTCCGCCCTGGCGTGGCGGTGCGCCAGCGCGGCCAGCAGGTGCGCGGCGGCGTGCGGCGCTTGCAGCGCGCGCGTCAGCAGCCGCGTGGCGCGCGCGTGCGGTTACCTGATCTCGTCCGCCCTGGCGTGGCGGTGCGCCAGCGCGGCCAGCAGGTGCGCGGCGGCGTGCGGCGCTTGCAGCGCGCGCGTCAGCAGCCGCGTGGCGCGCGCGTGCGGTTACCTGATCTCGTCCGCCCTGGCGTGGCGGTGCGCCAGCGCGGCCAGCAGGTGCGCGGCGGCGTGCGGCGCTTGCAGCGCGCGCGTCAGCAGCCGCGTGGCGCGCGCGTGCGGTTACCTGATCTCGTCCGCCCTGGCGTGGCGGTGCGCCAGCGCGGCCAGCAGGTGCGCGGCGGCGTGCGGCGCTTGCAGCGCGCGCGTCAGCAGCCGCGTGGCGCGCGCGTGCGGTTACCTGATCTCGTCCGCCCTGGCGTGGCGGTGCGCCAGCGCGGCCAGCAGGTGCGCGGCGGCGTGTGGCGCTTGCAGCGCGCGCGTCAGCAGCTGGGTGGCGCGCGCGGCACACGCCCCCCCCAGCTGCACCACGCGGCAACACGTCACCAGGCGGTCGGCGCCCGAGCTGCTTTCGCTCGCTGCATGATCGAAATCAAAGATAATACCATTTTATTTTAATCGCGTCAGTCACGAAGTTCTGAATCCTCTTTAAAACTGAAATTCAATAAAATCCATATGTAAAAGGAACGACGTTTTTCCAGCGCAGAAGGATAAATTTCTCAGCGCAAAAAAAAACTATCAATTTTGTAATCATTGCGAAAACCGTTCGTCTGACCCTCACAAAGCGTGAATGAGCACTAGACATTAAACTACATTTACATTCTAAGTAAATCTTCTTTTTATTGCCCCTATTCTGGCGGGTATCAGATTAAGATATATTCCAACTTTTATTAACTATCATAAACATAGATGTCACTGACTTGATAATCTTATTTAATTATTAATTTCGGGCGCATTTTATAAATATACATCGAGTAAGTGAAATAATTAATACTTTAATTTTCCCCATTCTTACCGAGTATAAGTTTGGATAGTCCTATTATGGGTACAGCGCGGCCGGCCTCGTTGGCGGCGGCCACCAGCGCGCGCTCCAGCGCTAGTCCACGCTCCAGGATTTGCAGCGCACTCATCAGACTGTCTTCTACATACTCCTAAATAAACACGCGAAAGAGGTATTTATTTATTTTTCAGATAACAATGATGACAATAAAGATATAAGTTATTGCTTTACTTATAAAGGACCTAGATTAATCCCGCTATTACAGAGTATTATGCGAGAATTATGAAATCGAAACATAAATATAATTATACGATATGTACTCACCTTTCCCTGCGTCAGCTGTTGTTTATCCAATACGTCGAAGGCCTCGTCTAGTGTGTTCAGTAACAGCCTGAGAAACTCCGACTTGGTGTGGAGCTGCAGCAACAGCCTGAACCCGGGCGGCGGGTTCATGTCCGGCTCCCGGCCCGGCGGGGGGAAGTCGGACGGGGACGGCTCGTACTGGTCGAGCCATAAAGCGAATAGACGGAAGCAGAGAGACAGCATCTACAACGATTATCCATACACAGATCAATATAGCGATTCGGTTTAATTTTCCTAACTATTCAGTTGTGAGAATAGGGTTCTACTCGGTTAGAAACAATACTTTTAAGTGTTTATTTTAGTTTAAAAAAAGTCATAATACAAGTATTTCAGAAAAATAAACACGTTTTGTTGCCTTAAAATTAAATCAAACTTTAAACTTTTTTATTACCCGCGAAAACGCTGTCCGTCATATTCATGACGTCACTGTGTTATGTAAACAAAACAGATGCATAGAGTAAAAGATTAGAATATGTGAATAAACTAAGAACAACGCCATCTAGGAATTTGATTTATAATGAATAGGCGTACCTGGGGCCGGTGGTGCGGCTTGGCGTGCGGGCGGTGCGGCGCGGGCAGCGCCAGGCGGTGCAGCGCGTGGTGCAGGTAGGGGTCCAGCCCCGGCCGCCGCCGCCAGCGCCGCCAGCAGATGCATAGAGTGGAACATTACCTGGGGCCGGTGTTGCGGCCTGGCGTGCGGGCGGTGCGGCGCGGGCAGCGCCAGGCGGTGCAGCGCGTGGTGCAGGTAGGGGTCCAGCCCCGGCCGCCGCCGCCAGCGCCGCCAGCAGATGCATAGAGTGGAACATTACCTGGGGCCGGTGTTGCGGCCTGGCGTGCGGGCGGTGCGGCGCGGGCAGCGCCAGGCGGTGCAGCGCGTGGTGCAGGTAGGGGTCCAGCCCCGGCCGCCGCCGCCAGCGCCGCCAGCAGATGCATAGAGTGGAACATTACCTGGGGCCGAAGGTGCGGCCTGGCGTGCGGGCGGTGCGGCGCGGGCAGCGCCAGGCGGTGCAGCGCGTGGTGCAGGTAGGGGTCCAGCCCCGGCCGCCGCCGCCAGCGCCGCCAGCAGATGCATAGAGTGGAACATTACCTGGGGCCGAAGGTGCGGCCTGGCGTGCGGGCGGTGCGGCGCGGGCAGCGCCAGGCGGTGCAGCGCGTGGTGCAGGTAGGGGTCCAGCCCCGGCCGCCGCCGCCAGCGCCGCCAGCAGATGCATAGAGTGGAACATTACCTGGGGCCGGTGGTGCGGCCTGGCGTGCGGGCGGTGCGGCGCGGGCAGCGCCAGGCGGTGCAGCGCGTGGTGCAGGTAGGGGTCCAGCCCCGGCCGCCGCCGCCAGCGCCGCCAGCAGATGCATAGAGTGGAACATTACCTGGGGCCGGTGGTGCGGCCTGGCGTGCGGGCGGTGCGGCGCGGGCAGCGCCAGGCGGTGCAGCGCGTGGTGCAGGTAGGGGTCCAGCCCCGGCCGCCGCGCGCCCGCCCCCAGCGCGCGCGGAACCCCGCCCGCCGCCGTCAGCGCCGCCAGCAGCGACACGAACGCGCGCGACAGCGGGTACTCCTCCATGCGGCACTCCACCTGCCAATGCCAACGGCATACACTCGCGCAACACTCCTTTATTTATTTATCAAAGACGATTGATCGCGCCCAAAATTCCGGTGTTTAAACTACACGTAGCTATTACTTATTTTCATCAATTATTAATGCTACAAAATTTTAGTTTTTCGGTACCGGGTATTTTTTTACAAACTTTTAAAAACTTTTTCCAAAAATGTGCATATTCCCTATTATAATTACATTATTTATTTCGAAACTATCAAAAGAATTAACCGTTCCTGTCACAATAATTTATTTAAAGTCTTTAAAAGAAGGGTGTTTCCCTGACATGTGGAAAAAGGCCCTTATTACCCCCATTCCCAAAGGTGGTGATAAACATGACGTGCGGCAATATAGACCTGTTTCCAAGTTGTGCATACTGGGCAAAATCTTTGAAAAAATTATAACAGACGAACTAAGCCGTATCGTGTCTCGTCACATCTCGCAACAACAACACGGCTTTTTCCGAGGTCGTAGTGTTGACAGTAATCTGGTCTTGTATACTGACTATCTTCTCAACTCGCTTGATATAGGTTCCCAGGTGGATGCTGTGTATACCGACTTTTCAAAGGCTTTTGACAAAATTAGTCATTTTACACTTATAAAAAGGCTTTCTGAGTTCGGTATACATGGTGACCTATTGCGTTGGTTGTGTTCTTATATTACCAATCGAAGTCAAGCTGTGGCATTGAAAGGTTACACTTCTAGATTCCTAGATATATCTTCTGGCATTCCTCAGGGCTCGCACTTGGGCCCTCTCTTATTCACAATATATGTAAATGACGTTAGTTCCTGCTTTCACAATTCGCGTCATCTACTTTATGCAGATGACACTAAAATTTACAGAGTTATTTCTAGTTACGATGACTGCTTAAAGCTGCAAACAGATTTACAAAACTTTGAAATTTATTGTGAGAATAGGCAACTGCTTTTGAATTCAGAAAAGTGTTATACTATAACTTTTACTCGTAAACATAACCCAATAAAATATGATTATATCCTCTCAGGGCGTAAGATCGAGCGCGTGAATGTAATAAAAGACCTCGGGGTTGTACTGGATGCCAGGTTGCACTTTAATCTACACATAGACAACATTATCTCTAGAGCATATAAGCAACTTGGCATGATACTTCGATACACGAGGCCGTTTAAGGAAGTATTTACCTATAAAATATTGTATTATTCCTTCGTTCGATCTCTTTTAGAATATGCATGCGTCGTTTGGAACCCCCAATATGCTATTCACATTGCCCGAATAGAAAAAATACAAAATAAATTTTTGAAATCTTTAGATTATCGAACAGGACATTTCTTTGTTGACTATGAATCTGCATCTAAAAGGTATAATATTGATTCGTTACAAAATAGACGTGTTTATCTGGATGCAGTTTTCCTTTACAAAATAATAAACAATTATGTGGACTCATCTTCATTATTAAAATTAATAAATTTTAGAATCCCTAGAGTCTCCTCACGTTCTAAAAACATTTTTCATTGTTCACCCACTGCCACAAATTACGCTGGGAACACTTTTATAAGACGCTCCTGTAAATTTTACAATGACAATTTAAATGACGTTGACATTTTTTCGCTATCATTAAATCAATATAAACGAAAAGTGGGAGATATTATATTTAAAAATGACTAATCAGAGTGAGTTTTTGAGATTGTTGTGGAGAAGCCGTTTGTTTGATGTGTAGGTTAAGTTTAATCGATATTATTACCATTGTTAATAGTAAGCAATTAAATTAATTTTGTTAGTACTCGTATTTAGTAATGGAACTGTCAGGTCTATTAGTTACCTAAGTTTTGTTTGTATATCAATTGTAAACGACTGTTTGTTTCCTAAATAAATAAATAAAAATAAATAAAAAAAATAAAAAAAAATCGACTCGCGACTCTTCCAAATTCCCTTTTATAACTATAAAAACGCCGAAATATCTTGAAATTAACACCATCAACAGAAGTTGTAGTGTAAACTGAAAAAAAAACGCAAGCTTCCATGAAATCGGTTACCTCATTCAGGTCAGCGGTGAGGGCTCGCTTATCGTCGGCAGCGCCCACTAGTTGCGCGGCCTCCAACGCGGTCCACACGCGGCCTGCGGTCGCGGTGGTCCCGCCCAGAGCGGCCAGGGTGGTCAGCAGCTCCGCCTTCAACTGGATGGGCACGTGGCAGCAGACCAAACCTGAATTTAGGCAGAATTCCTTTCTATGACGTACGTGCAATAAATTTAATGAACTATCAAAGCGAATAAACGTCGACCTTTTTAACACTAGCGAAGTGTCAATTAGGCGTATTATGGGTAACCTATTTTTTGAAAGTCTATAGTGTTATAAATTTAATTATAGTGTAAGCAGCGTAGTCTATATCATTGTCGTGATAGTAAGCGGTCTTTCTTTATTTTATACTATGTCTATCTGTGACGACCTGTAAGTGGCTGTCTATTTTTAGCCAAGATTTTTATTTTGTAATTTTTAACTGTTGGTCATCCATGTAAATAAATAAATTAGTACAGAAAAAAAAGGAAGGGCTCGAAGGACCAGTAATGAACAGCAAAAATACTATTTCGTATACTTTAAAAAAAAACAACTAACCGAACATGACGTTGACGGCGTCCCACTGTAAATTTTCGCAAATGTTAGCACAAGCGGCTTCGTCCTGCTTCGCCACCGCTGCGATCAACTTTAGCGCGGCTATCATGGCTTCCACCTGAAACCGAATCACTGTGATGGTATATGTCTTCTTAAAAAAACTTTTATAATGTACACGCGGCTGAACATCAGAACTTAAGACATCAGCAACTTAAGATTTAGTCTCAATATTGACGTTAAATAATTGATAGAAACGGAATGGAGTAAAACCAATCAAATATATTGTGGTGAAGGGGAGTTATTCGATCAGTAATACATATTATTGAATGATAAAACAACTAATTTTATAGTGTACCTATCTTACACTTTTTTACTATCATGGTATAAAAGAAAGATCAGTGAACAATGATATAGCAATGTTCAATAGCTCACCTCTTCCTGTCTGACTAGCAACTTCCCTGGGCGGGCGGCAGGCGTGATTATAGCCGACGCGCCCAGCGACGAGTGTTGATGTTCCGAAAACGGTAATGGATCAGCGCGCAGATTCCTGCCGGACATTTATGTGAATCATATTAAGGATGCCCGGTGCGATGATGGGCATTCACTTTTTGCTCAATTGTCTTGATCAAAATGTTAACGATATTATTTTTAGAATTCAATGGGTTTTATGGATCTATCTATGGAACGGTGTTTCACTCGCTGACGCCTGATGGACTCGTCATCGCAGACGGACTTAAAATTAACTGTGCTATGACCTTATAAAAGCCTATTACCTATGAAATTTTAGTACATTATTATATCATCTAAATATCGGTGTATATTATAAAGATTTTTATTTACCTCTGATTCATCATCATACTTATAGAATATTAGCGGCGCATTTTTTGTTCTAAATAGCGTACTGGAAAGTTCATAACGTCCATTTGATATAACAAAATATTTAATTTTTCTGTTGAGTACTCTTGCAAACATATTTGATAATAAGCCAATGTTAGGTCTAAATAGTATATTTAACTCATAAATTTATAAAGAAACTTGGTTTAATCAAATCGATACAATGTTTGTCGTCACTATGAGTAACATATTCTAAATTTTTCAGATGTAACTTTTAAAGATTCAATACAAACTATTTATATTTGGAGAAGCTGGCCAGCGGTAGCGCTGCAGCGCGGTGAGCAGGTGGTGAGCGGAGAGCGCGTCACGGCGCGCCAGCAGCGCCCACGTGTGACGCGGCACGGCCAGACTGGCCAGCACGCGCAGGTACAGTACTCACGTGTGGTAGCGCTGCAGCGCGGTGAGCAGGTGGTGGGCGGAGAGCGCGTCGCGGCGCGCCAGCAGCGCCCACGTGTGGCGCGGCACGGCCAGGCCGGCCAGCGCGCGCAGGTACAGTACTCACGTGTGGTAGCGCTGCAGCGCGGTGAGCAGGTGGTGGGCGGAGAGCGCGTCGCGGCGCGCCAGCAGCGCCCACGTGTGACGCGGCACGGCCAGACTGGCCAGCACGCGCAGGTACAGTACTCACGTGTGGTAGCGCTGCAGCGCGGTGAGCAGGTGGTGGGCGGAGAGCGCGTCGCGGCGCGCCAGCAGCGCCCACGTGTGGCGCGGCACGGCCAGGCCGGCCAGCGCGCGCAGGTACAGTACTCACGTGTGGTAGCGCTGCAGCGCGGTGAGCAGGTGGTGGGCGGAGAGCGCGTCGCGGCGCGCCAGCAGCGCCCACGTGTGGCGCGGCACGGCCAGGCTGGCCAGCGCGCGCAGGTACGCCGGCAGCAGCGCCGCGCACACCAGCTCCCCGGACAGGCGGACGAACTTGTACAGCGTCGCGGCGCGCCCGCCCGACCTTGTATCCGAATTAGACTATCACTCTCCTGATATATTTTTACATCTTTTGAGCGTCAAATTCGGCAAATTCGAAATTAAGAAGATCTTTGAACGGGTAAATAAAACACATGTAAATAGAAGCAAGGACGTCCGATACTCGAAGTAACATATAGTATGATAGTAGTTGTAGTGTCAATCATATTTATCGAACGCTAGTAATAGCCATTTTTCTAAACGAATGCCGCAATAATGTAATTGCAACGCGTTATTTAATGCAACGGAGTGTACCTGTGGGCGTGCGAGTGCTGCGTGGTGGCGTGGCACGCCAGCCAGTAGTGGTGGCGTAGCCCGAGCGGGTCGCACGCATACAGGCGCTCCACGCAGCGCAGCAGCGCGTCCAGCCGCGTGCGGCCCGCGCCCGCGCCCGCCGGCGGGGACACGCCCTCCGATATGTACATCTGCACAGTGCGCGCCGCCTCGTCCGCCCTGTACACACCGAACCAACGATCACTCAAACAAAACCCCGAGGCAAAATTGTCTTGTTTTTCAATTTGCTATTTGGAAGATATTCACGAATTTCATGCTACTAATCTGTCATTTGATTGCGATCGTGACGTTTTTTTAAAGATATTGAAACGATATAATTGATTGGATAAAGACAGTGATGATCTTGATATTTAACTGACAACTATTTATTTATAATAACCAACGTAATGATACTAGCTAGGAGTACGTATTACAACGAACTGATGTGAAAGTAGGTTAAAATATTAATTGTAATTGCGAATAATAAATAAAATGCTGACTCGAGAAATGTATGATGCATGTATCATATAATTAGATTAGAAGTAAATTTATATGGCGGTTAAATACTCATAAATTTTCAAAATTTCCACACAATTGCTTCTCCTAACAATAACATACCCATCGAAAAAAGAATTTGCGAAATTGATCTACCCGTTCACGTGTGACGACGTGACCAAGAGAAATAAGGATTATAGAAGATTGTTGCCATACAAAAAATACCACATGCTTTGGTAACGAGTATTTAGCCACTAAATTTAGTACATAGTATGAAACTGCTGCTTAATTTTAAAAATAATATATTTATTGTTTTGGGAATTACGAGCGTAGTTATCTAGTATCAGCGCGATATTTAATCTAGAAGACATTGTACGTCGTTGAATTGTGTATACCGAAAATGTCGACTCGTTCTCGGGAAGAAAGGGACGGATGGGTAGCTATTTTATATCTTTTTGAACATACCGCAAAAAGGCTGGAAGGGCCGTGGCCATCCTCTCTCTCTCTCTCTCTATCTCTCTCTCTCTCTTTCTCTCTCTCCCCCTCTCTTTCTCTCTTTTTAGTCGTTCACTCTTGGCAGAGTGGTTCTGGTTTCATGAAGATGCTTCTGATTTTGATAAATAATAATGAGGCCAACCTAAAATGATCTAGATTGAACCCACGATGGAATTCGGCCGATATAAATACGCGGCGTGCTACCCGTCCCGGCACTCATTCGGTAAAGCGAATCCGAAGCTTATAAATAGTGCGATGAATTATCTGAACGACATATTTTTGTTATCAAATTATTTTATAATTTTTCTTGGGTGAAAAAATTGTCCGGTTGGGAACTCGATCGGCATTGATATTTAACCCGAACCCCGGCTCGGAACAGCAATGAACAACATCTATATGCAAAACTTTAATCAAACTCACTTGACCCTCATCTCCATCAGCTTGGAGTGCATCAGCACAATAAAATCCGTGATGAGAGTGTGTATTCGACGCTGGTAGTACTCCTCCTTCCACACGTAATCCGTCGACAGGATAGCTTCATCCAGATACTCGAAAACCTGACACGATATAGAATAGACTTATGAAACGTAGAAAAACGCAATGTATGTAGCAGACCGCGATCTGTAGCTTTTGCTGTTAAGTGAATCCGACTCATGACAGACATTGGAACGGCAAAATTGGTATGTTTATGTTATTTCCAAAGTGTGCCATCTCTGTTCCTCGCACTCGGCAGGTAGCAGAGATAAAGCATACTCATTTTCCCTATGTTAAAAAGAGATGTCCTGACACTTAGTTGAGAAAGAATTTGCATGCATTAACACGTAACAAAAATAAAATTAAGAGACATTTGGTCAGTTGCACAAACGTCCATTAAGGTTATATGACGTCTTTAAGCTCTAATGAATGTCAATATGTATCTGTAATGTCGCTTTAAACTAAAGAATATTTTAATAGACTTTTGTGCAACTGGCTGATACAAAATTAAAAATAAGATTTATCTTGCAAAAAAATCATAAAAGTAATTATTTGGTATTCGACTCTGTTTGAAATAATACTTGGAAGTGTTGATTTTAAATAAAAAAAAGCAATAAAACAAACATTTTGGAAAAATTGCTTCTTGCCTTAGAATTAAATCAAATTTAAATTAAAAATAAACATAAATAACGCTGTCCGTCATATTCATAACGACATTCTGATATGTACACAAAACAGATGCAAAGAGTAGAAGATTAAAAGATGTCAATAAAACAAAAACAGTGCCATCTAACGATCGATTAAGAAAAAAAGATATAAATAAGCTACTAATTTGACAGCTATTGCCAGTGACGTCACACAATGGCGGGTCGTGTTTCAAGTAACGTGAAATACAGACAAAAAATATCGACTTTTAATTTTAAAACTATAAGATAATCTTGCGATTCTAAGACTCAAAATCAGAATCCCTATTTCAATTCCGATGAAAATTGTTAGTTTTTGTGCAATTTCATGAGTTATTTTTCACTACCGAAACTACCCAATTAATTTAACTCTACAGGATTTCATATAATTTTTTTTGGATTGAAATCAAAATATAATAGAACGCCTGTTTAACCTTGCCGTCGATGGCGGCGTCGACGAGCAGTTCATCCTGGTCCAGCAGGTCGTGCTTGAGGTGGTCGCGCGCCAGCGACTGCGGCCCGCGCTTCAGCGCCGCCAGCGCCAGCCCCAGCGCCAGCTGGCACAGCGCGCGCGCGCCCGCGCCCGCACTCCAACCTGCGTCATCACCAGTGGTCGGAATTAGGTAGAGTTATTCATGTACTTACACTGATTTCATACAGCGAAAGAATAAAGTGGATATGCCTCAAATCCCGAGATTGATTTTAAAGAGCTGAAAAAAATCCCGTGATTTTATATATAAAAAGTTATTTACTTTTACACAATTTAAACCACTGCACGCACGACGTTGCCAAACTTACATCGATGACATCGGATGTCCAAAGTTGCAAAATACCAATACGCGCGATGTTGCCACGAAGGTCCACATTAATATCAACATTTCGATACAAGTACATAAATAACTCTACCTAATTCCGACCTCTGGTCACCACCGAACAAACTGAAGTGCATATAACCGAGACCTATTTAAGGCAAGAGTGAATGGGTTCCTTTTGGGCGAGCGAAGATCTGATCTATGCCCTTGGGCTGGATTGAGGTCAAGAGAGAGCCCATTGTAAATTTAAAAAAATGTGTCGTAATCACAGATTCGTATTTCCTATCAATGGTTCGCAATTTTTAAGTATCAATATCGGCCAACTCCATTTTGATACTTTGATGTTGTATCGATAAATTTCATATTCCGTGAGCATTAGTTTAATTTTATATGTATATATTATATGTATATTATATTATATGTATATTAAATTATATACATTTTTTGGTGCATAACTGAACATAAAATATTTGCATTTTGTATACCTACGATTAATTACATTGTATGTAAACTAGGTTATTGTCCGTACTATAATGACATCAAATCGTTTATGTAAAAATATATATATATAATTTTTTGGGTTTTTACCGTTCATATAATCGGATGCGCTCATAAATATTCATTTTATTTTTTTAACATTAACAGTAACATAAAATTTAGTGAATATTTAATAAATATATCGTAATATTCGTAATCAATTTAATCATTTAATATTCCACCAAGCCCACGCACCAAATTACATTCTATTTCAATTTTTTTAAATTATTGTATAAACTTTAAGATAGCACCGCCTTATTTAAGTCTATTTCATATCTCTCCAGTTGACTGGTAGAGAATGCCTACCGGCTAGTTGAAATAAAAAAAATTGTAAACGTAATGGTGAAATTCAATGACAAATTTTGTCTTAATTAAAAAATTATATATAGCAACTGGCTAGCGATCGCTGCATTATTAAAAATGAGTTACGGAATACCAAAACCATGCGATGACCGCTTGCCCGCGGAGCTCAGTGAACAATTTATTCCGGTTGCCCTCAGAAATTCCCAGAGTTACAGAATCAAGGGGCTGACCGCGTCACACCGACCGTCGCACACCGGACATTACATACATCCATCCATAGCACGCTCATGGTATAACTAAGTTTCGGCTCGTTTACGAGATCCGCCTTGTTGCACGACGAAGTTTGGGCTTTATTTGCATCCACCCATCTCTGGGCCCCTTCCTATATTCCCTCATATATATTTCCCTTTTCCCTACCTCTTTACATCTCGACGATTTCAAAATAGTTCGGATCCCTTAACCGCTCCACTGTCCTAGCATTACCCAACAGAAAGCACGTTGTGTATGTAGACACATTTATATAACTTTATACAGGAAATAACGAAACGCTTATAAAAAAAAAACACATAGCATTATTTTGGGTGGCTAAACTGCAGTATTTAATGTTATCGAGTAGTGATCGACATTTAATAAAAAGTTCCACAGATAAATCAATTGAAAAAAAAATACGTTCTCAATAACTCTTACTGTGATATGGCGTTGTCTTGGCAACATTTAAATATTTTACCAAATACATATGAAGGAAACATAGAAAAAAAATTCAAACAGTTTATTACTGCGGTGTTGACGACTCACCAGTAACGTTGCCCCCGGCGACGAGTTCATCCCCCGACTGTCCGGCCGGCGACAGTTTCTCCACCAGCATCGGGATCAGATCCGGCTCGGAGATCAGCGGCAACATCTTCGCCAACTCCTCGCCGTCTTCACGTCTGAACAGTGTACCCATCATCACGGTCTTATACTATACGCACAGAATACTTTATAGCACAAGCCGCTGTTCTAAGGCTATAAAAGGATTAATGAATTTGGAAATGCGGTGAGTATCCACGCCAACGAGGAAGTATTTTAAAAAAATTAGTTCCCGAAATAAAACTAGATGTCGCTACGGTACTTTTTTGATTTCTCCATGACAACCCTTCCAGTTTACTTCCATGTATAAAAGTAAATTAGTTTTCAAAATTCAATTAACAACTATTCCATTTGTACTTTTTCGTATTTGTATTGATACCTAAGTTTCCAACTTTGCAAATTTCAGTTTTTTAATATGTTAGTTAAATGAATTGGAAATGACTTATCTTTGGTCCATTAGTTTCCTTCAAAAATCAACTTTTGCTAGAGTCGCCATCTAGTGGGGGTGCTTTTTTAGTGTTTCCTTTTTTTTAAATGAATGAGGATGACAAATGAATGAGGAAGTCCTCATTCATTTGTTAAACTCGAAAATCCTACATTCATAACAGCCAGCATTCAGAACTTTGAGTATAAATATTTGAATGATTTACCTGTGTAATACTGATAGATCTAGTGCATACAGTAGCGCCATCTGTAGCGCTAAAGAGACCTCATCTAAAGCTCCAGTCGGTCCTAAAGACGGAGATGTGGTTTGCTGTAGAAAAAATAACAATATTTGATTGATTATGACACACGGACACACGCATAGTGTTACGCTATAATAAAGCCTTACCTCGTTTATCAATCTAATCAGGCCTCTATGCAAGCCACGCTGCGCTGATGCGGCGAAAATTACACCCGCTAGCAATTTTCTGTAAAAAAAAAGGATACATAATAAATTTCGTTTTTAAATGTCTTATTTAGCTTATTTCAATTCTACTCTAAGGCCTCCATAAATTACGTATCATTAGGGTTTTTTTTATGGTAATTAAAATCTTTTGGCGTATAATAAATAAACGCACACACAAAAGCTGAAGTTTTTTTAATTAGTATTAATCTGTTGTTACTTTCAATACATTGATACCCAAACAATCGAGGACACCAAAAATAGGACCCGGTAAAATCCACTACAGTTCATCTCACGTGGATGGATGAGTCCGATATCGATAGACAAGTAAAATAGACATGTTTATCTGGATGTAGTTTTCCTTTACAAAATAATAAACAATTATGTGGACTCATCTTCATTATTAAAATTAATAAATTTTAGAATCCCTAGTCTCCTCACATTCTAAAAACATTTTTCATTGTTCACCCACTGCCACAAATTACGCTGAGAACACTTTTATAAGACGCTCCTGTAAATTTTACAATGACAATTTAAATGACGTTGACATTTCTTTGCTATCATTAAATCAATATAAACGAAAAGTGGAAGATATTATATTTAAAAATGAATAATCAGAGTGAGTTTTTGGGATTTTTGTGGAGAAGCTGTTTGTTTGATGTGTACGTTAAGTTTGTTCGATATCATCACTATTGTTAATAGTTAGCTATTAAATAGATTTTGTTAGTACTCGTATTTAGTAATGAAACTGTCAGGTCTATTAGTTAAATAAGTTTTGTTTGTATATAAATTGTAAACAACTGTTTGTTTTACTAAATATATAAAATTAAAAAATATTAAAGAAATATCCTGCGTCGTCGTAACAAGTTGTATAGACGCGGCCCTGTTGATAAAGCAGGATCAAAAAACTTCTCGCAAGACAGGGCCGGGTAATGCAGCTTAAGCCTCAATGGATGGGTCTGGTGGGTGTATGTACCTGGTGTTGTCGATGGTGTCCACGAGCCTGGCGTGGTGGCGCGGCGGCGGCAGCGCGCGGTTGCGCTGCAGCAGCTCGAGCTCGGCGTCCAGCGTGAACTGCCGCAGCGCGTCCAGCACGCTCTCCAGCAGGCCGTCCGATATCAGCTGCTGCACGTACCGCGACACGTAGTTCACTATCTCCTCGCGGGCGTTTATCGACCTGATCGTGAACGTTGCAATAGGATATACGCTGTCTAGATCCAATAAACTATGCTTGCCATGATAAATATTTTCAATTTAATCAGAAAAATGTGTCTATCCAATAGGCGAAAGATTATAGAATATTTATATGAATATAGAATATGTATGGTGACATACCAGCATACTCCGTCCCTGGCCATACAGAGCTCTTTGAGCGCTTGCACCAGTGCCCGCCGACCGTCGTAGTAGAGCATGACGGCGACCAGGCCGCGCGGCAGGCCGGGGTTGCGCGGCGCCTGCCGCTGGGCCGTGTGCAGCAGCTCCAGGGCCAAGTATTCGTTCACGTTGTACATATCTGAAATCATGCTCACTCTTCAATATACTCGTACATACTATGTATCAACACCATATTCTGTCAATCTATAGTGTTCCATACCTTAACAATAAGAATGTAACTGTATTACTAAGTAAATAATGCAATGGCAAATATAATATGTAATGAACTAAATAAAATCTACATATTCATTTACTATTACTTTATGTCTTATAGCCTAACAAATTGATAATTTTTGATAGCATAGGTACTGTAACGTCAGTGCACATTACTATAGGTAGGTCAACGCTGGCCGCAAATATATTTAATTATTGCCTTTCCATATTCGAATTCGCATGTTCGTGTTTTGCTGATGGATAATCTTTCTGTCTAATCCAAACGAGACAGATAGTTTTGTGCAATTTATTGCTTTATTTTTCACTACCAAAAGTAGTTTCCTATTATACACATACCTGATATTATAATAGCTTCATCCACCAGTTCTTTAGAGAGGAGAGTTCTGCCAACACTAGGCAAGTTAACACCCTCTGTGATACCTCTTTTGATCTCATCTCTGCTGGCAGGATTTTTGGCCTGTACAAACAATCCATTGTAAAGATTATCAAACAATACAAATTTATAATAATGTATGAAACAAATTGCATATTAAGAAATAGTAATGTATACTTATATAATTGTGTAATGTGAACAATAGAGTTTTGTATTGTTTTGTAGAAGCATATTCTTTGAGGTTCATATGCAATACATTATTGGGCTTAAATGTTAACATTTTTGTACCTCCTTTATTCTAAGGCTAAAAAACAAATTGATGCAATCTCTTGAGGATTTGGTTCCTCGTTGGGTAAATGAAGCCATATGTTTGTATATTATTTCACTTTTGCACGAACAATAACTTTATATTTAGTTTTATATATCAATCTGGCCAGGAATCAATAGTTTTGATTCCTGGCCAGATTGATATAGAAAACTACCATTTTTTAGTATTACTGTACTGATCAATTGTATGTATCTATGCTATGCCATATAGACATTGATGATTGTTTGTATAATTATTGTAAAAGATAGTATTTTAGTAAGGACATCATATTTCTGATAGAGCTGGTAAATTTCTTTTGCTTGTTCTTATTGTCAGCCAAAAGACATCCTGAAGAAGTATATAGTAATGAAAAAATATAATATAGCTATGGCTAAAACAAATTGCTTGTTTCAAACTTTTTAGACTGTAGTTGGGTTTTAGTTATTGATTTTATTGATACATATTGCTTGCGATTTTGCCTAAATACACCTGAAAATTAATAAGCTAAAAAAGTTCAGAACTAAAATCCAACTAAAACAAAAACCCTTTTCCCTTCACTGTAGTCAGATAATAATAACCCAAAAAATATAGTTAACATTTAATCGGTTATAAGAACAGTTACTCACTGGATTCTTAAATAAAGACAGAAATGTCTGTTTGTGTCTCCTTAGCAAAGATTCAAAAGTGTGAACAGCATATGGTGCTCCTCCACCTTCGTGGGCTAAGTACCCCTCCACCACAGTCACAAGTTCCTTGTAAGGGGTCCATAAATCATCTGTAAACGTACCTAAGACATAATAACACAATATTTTTAATTTTATATACAAATAGCAATTTTTATATAAAACATAATTTATGACATTGATAAATGTAGTCACTAAATAACACTCCAACATTAGCCTCATTACCTATTGGCTCTAGGAATATGGTCTAGTGAAGGATAATACATGGTTCTTAAGGTGATAATAAAATGAAAATATAAATTTTACTTTAACATAGCTTTCTTTCTTGATTGTGTGCATAACTTAAAATTCCTTTAAAAAACTTTTTTTATCTCTCCTAATTTTGTGTATTGTAAGAACTCACTTTTTACAGCTATCATTTCATGTTTACTTAAGCTTAAGCTTCATTAGAATTGTACCAGATTTCATTTATTTATTATATATCATTAAACTTTGTACAGTTTTATTTATGAAAAATACATGTATTTTTGTTTTTAACTATAAATAATAATGTCATAGATTCCTAAAAAACAGACAAGTGTCTTTGAAGAAATACATTATATACAAGTGAAAGTGAAAAAAGCAATTGTTTCATATTAAAGCACTAGGTACTACAATTTAAGATGTTAGGCATTGTTTATCGTTTGAAACAACTTATCCCATCTATAGAACAAAAATACATTAGCAGTCATAACAGCACAATAATAAAACCTTCACAAAATTGGAGTTGAGGTCTGCTCCATAAAGCGATATAAATGCAACCCGAGTCATATTGTGAATTAAAGTAGCACAAAATAAGGTTACCGCCTTTTGAGGTTATGTTTATAGTAACAAAATACCTTCGTTTATATCCATGACGAAAAACGCAAACAACAAGTTGCACTAAATAAATTTTATTCTCTATTTTTCATCCTCTTTAAATAAATATAATTTTAATTTTCTATCTGTAATTGGAACACAAAATAATCCGGTAAGCAATTATAAATTTTTTGACAGACTTCATTCGCTGTTTCACAGAGATGCACTGACACTGACAAGACAGTTAGTTGACAGATTGACAGAGTAGTAGGTAGTAGTAGTATCCTATTATCATATTAATCCTATTAATATTATAAATGTGAAAGTTTCTTTGTTTGGAAGTTTAGACGTTTGGGTGTTTGTCGGTCAATCACGCCGAAACTACTGAATGGATTTTGATGAAATTTGGTATACAGATAGGGTATTAGCTGACTTAGATAATAGGATACTTTTTATCCCACTAAACATTTCCCTAGGGTCCACGCGGGCGAAGCCGGTGGCGAAAGCTAGTATGAAATAAATTGAACGAAAGACTGGATTCTGGCGAAATCCAGAGCAACGCCATTAATTATAAAGAAGTAGTAGAAGTTATGAAGAACGCAACTAGATTGATACAAAGAATCTTTGATTAAATTTCTTTTTTGTTAGAACTGACGAAAATGGAAGCTACATCATGGAAGTGAGCACAGAGCTTTTTCTTTTTAATATAATGTTGGATCTAAACGTCAATGCAGTGATAGTAATTAAAAAAGGCATAAAGCTACAGTACTACAATAAAATTATTACCGCCATACTAGATGGCTAGCACAACCGGTTGGATTCTATGAACGTCGGTTCATGACGTTAAGTACCAAACGAGAACTTTAGATAAAGGGTTCAGCTCGTTGTGAACAGGATCTGAAACCGGTTGGACTAGAAATACGAGTTGACATCATTAACCTAGTTCGAGTTATGCAATCGCAACTCGATTAATACAAAGTAATCTTTGAATAAATTTATTTTTTATTTGTATAGAGGAAAATGGAAACTAACATAATGGAAGTGAGCACAGAGGCTTTTTAAATTTATGGAAATCAATTGAATGCTTTCATATAATTAAAAGTGGCATCTAACTACGGTATACAATAATATTACGTTTTATAAATAAAATAGGTACTTATGTCATAGTAGGTCTAGGAATTTTCATTTTAATATTTAACAAAAGTTCTGAAAAAATAACAACTAGGTAAGTTAGTTTTATTGCTATTAGTTGTTTGTTGAACTTACAACAACAAAACTACATCAATTCTCAATATTTTTTTTATATTATGTATGGTGAATGAATGAATAGGGTTTATTAATCAGCAACAAAAGTCATAAAAACAATAATTTTTAAGAAAAATCCGTTTATTATCTATAAACTTACCCGATATGTATCAAATATACTATATATTCGTACATAATAACATAACTGCTGGCTAAAATGACGTTTGTGCAAAGTGTAACGTGCAAATAACTTGTGCTTTCGAAATTAAGACTTTATAAAACTATTATCAGTTATTAAATCTTATATTCATAATTAAATCATCTTAATAAACATTCAGCAATTAACAAGAAACGTCTGCTCTAAACGAACAGCAAGGTTGTAACTTTAAATTTCAAATGTCAAAGACACGTACAGTTATTATATTGCTACTGATCTTGCATGTCGATGGCGGACGTCGAGCCATGTGTTAAGTTAATTCGTACGGCGGGTTTGTTCTTTTTGGTTCTTACAATAATATTGTTAATAATAATTTGAATTCCTACACAACCTACTTTAGAAATCCGTTTTATTGAAATATATTATTTACTAAGTACCTAGAGTTGTTATGGTCTCTTAAAATCTCTGCGGTGGTATCGTGTGCGTTAGGTGGTTACGAACCCTCAAATATAGTATAGTTGAGTTGTTTAGTTGAAATTAAAAAAGCAGCCCTTGCTAAGTTTCTTGCCGTTTCTTGTCAGTAAGAGATCTCCCGCCTTAGTTTTGCGAACCATTGGTAAAGTTTTCGACTTTCACAAGTACTATGTAACAGTCTAGATTGAATTGATTTTGATATTTATATTAATATTCCAAACCTGAATTCGACGAAAGTTACGAGCAACCAATAAGTCGGCTCATCACTAATGTTGACGTATCAACCAAACATCGTTCCTTTACACGTAACATAATAAACAACTTAAACTTACAATTAAAATAAATTAAAATTAGTTTGAAAGTGAGACATTATAAGAAACACAAAACGATGTCATATTTATTAATCGAAAATACTCAATTTACATTTATTACGTCAGAAATAAAATTTGAATGAATATCATAAACAAAATCCAAAACTCACGAGTGACATCTAGTATGATTTCAAGAACTAATTTTTATTTTTTAAATACTTCCTCATTCATGACGTTAATCCAAAGTGAATAGAATTGTCAGTATTGTTATGGATCTGATAACTCGGATAAATATCGAGTTGTAATTTAATTAGTTCAAGTTATGTAAAACGCAACTAGATTAATACAAAGTAATCTTTGATTAAATTTCTTTTTTGCTTGTATAGAGGAAAATGGAAACTAACATCATGGAAATGAGCACAGAGGTTTTTCTTTTTAAGTTAATTTAATTAAAATTAATGCTGTGATATAATTAAAAGTGGCATTTAGCTACAGTATACAATAATATTATTACCGCCAAACAGGGCTTGAAACCCGATTTATTTTTTGAACCGGTTCGACGTAAGTACAAACGGAACCTTAGATAAAGGGTTCAGCCCCTCTGAACAGGTTTTTAAACCGGTTCACTAGAAATACAGTTTTCTTCATTAACCGGTTTAAATATGACTCCAGGCAATGATCTCACAAACTCCAGCGCGGTTTTTAAGTGCCTATACTCCTATCTATAACATCCGTATACAGGTATGATAAATGTCGTCGCTTAAAAATTATATAATTTGCATTAAAAGCGTAAGAATATTGCTTTTTACGAACCAAGCAAATTAACCGGTTTTTATTCCATCCGAATTTCACTCCGCATTTAGTTCCGATCCGAAATGGAAAATTATAAGAGAACAGGTTTTACCTAAATAAAAACGGTTTATTCTGAACTGGGTTCAAGCCCTGCCGCCAAATAGTTTTTATAAAAAAAAACTTATGGTATGTAATTTGTATGTATGTCTAGTAATTTTTCATTATAATATTTAACAAAAGTTCTGAAAACAATAACAACTAGGTAAGTTAGTTTTATTGCTATTAGTTGTTTGTTGAACTTACAACAACAAAACGACATCAAGCCTCAATAATATTTTTATATTATGTATGTTGAATGAATGAATAGGGTTTATTAATCAGCCATAAAAGTCATAAAAACGATAATTATAATAAAAAATCCGTTTATTATCTGTACACTTAACCAATATGTATCAAATATACTAGGTATTCGTACAAAATAACATGACTTCTGGCTAAAATGACGTTTGTGCAAAGTGTAACATGCAAATAACTTGTGCTTTCGAAATTAAGACTAAAAAACTGTGATCAGTTATTAAATCTTTTATTCATAATTAAATTAAACCTTAATGCACATTCAGCAACCAAACAAGAAACGTCTGTTCTACACGGACTGTACTGTGTTCTTTGTGATTTTGAAATTTAAGGGTTACGTGATCCTATCTCCTATATTTTAATAAAGCTTACTAAGTCGATATTTTAAATACTTTACATTAGAAGGGTGATTATGTGTTATTCTATGTGTGTTTTAAGAAGTTTGTGTCTGTATATAGATTATAAACGGTTGATTAAAACAATTATATTTCGAGTAAATAATGTGAATAAAATATATGATAGCAAATGTACATAGTAGATTCTTGTACATAAAATCAATGAACTTTTAAATACGCCTATAACTGAATTATAGACAGTCCTAGCCTGAAAAGTATGAAGAGTAGTTTATCGATTTTCCTTTAATTTGGTAAGTACTGCTATAATTTATTTCGAACTATTTAGACTAAATAATAATGAGTTATTGTTTAATATACCAAGTAATCTATTAAACGTACAACATAAAATAATTAACGTGTTACAAGGTTTAGCGTGCTACAAAATTTGACGAGTCTTCACGCACTCTTACGCTTCTTTGAATTAACGCGTTAATAAATTAGCACCTTCGTTAACACGATAAAGAAAATTATAAGTCTATAGCGCGTCAATGCATTTTAGTCGTTTTGAACACCTCTGTCTCTTACCCTTTCTAAGGGCGCTTGTGCACTACACTGAATTTTCAGATCCGGCGGTCCAATTATTTTCCGGTCCGGAATGGCATGAAAAACGCGGATGAGTAGCTTGTGCTACTTGTACTTTTTTTGGAAGTTTTGTAAAAACAACTTTATGCGATTACAGAGATAGACTAATCGGTGGCGCCATTTTGTAAACATTTTTAGTGCCGTGTAAGCGGAGAATTAATATGCTAAATGAACTTTACGAGATCAGTTGTATTATATAGGCATAATTTTATACACGTGGTGTAGTTTCTTTGACCAGAAATATTTTTTCCTTAGAATACTTCTTTTTTGTTTAAATTTATTTATGACACAAACAGTCATTTCAAATGTTATTACAATATAGACTTAAATGCGAAAAAGACATTGAGTGTCACTTAATTACTTCTGTTAATATTTTTTTTTCTTTATTATTACTTCTGTTGTCAAATATTTATCTATACTTATCAATTGTCTAAAAAAAATTTGATAATGACAAATTTCCAGGCAAACTTTCATCCCCTATTTTTCGCGATAAAATGTAGCCTATGTCCTTTCTTAAAGTTAAGTATATTTACTATATTAATTTCCATTTAGATGGGTTCAGTTGTTTAGGCGTCTAAGCGTAACAACACTTATTTATCTTACCTTAAGCTATCGATATTTTTAATACGATTCTAAAATCAAGCTAAGTATCGATAAGATCGATATACTAGAACCATACGCTGATCAAATTAGAACTATACCGAGTTTGCCAAAGCATATGCAGTGATATATACCAACTATATTAAATCATCATACAAAATATAGCATTTTATAATCAACATTAAATATCGATTATAGGTTTATTGGAAATTAACAATATTGCCAAAATAAATATCGATTCAAATCGATTATTTTTTCCCAAGTCTATTCCTTATGAATTTTCCGGATCTCAGACACAGCAGTGCACAAGCGTAAACACGTTTTTCATTGCCGCCATCACGGACCTGAAAAAACCGGTCCGGAATAGAGAAAAGTAAAATTCCGGACGGTAAAATTCTTGACAGTGCACAAGCGCGCATTACCTACATATGGCTTGACATATCGGACCTGAAAAAATCGAACCGCCGGACATGAAAATTCAGTATAGTGCACAAGCGCCCTTACTTATATATGGCCTGTAGTGATGTTCCGGATATCCGTATCCGTATCCGCGGATATCCGACGGAAAATAAAGATCCATATCCGTATCCGTTACTTTACGCGCGGATAATTTACGGATCTTTTAACTTATTAATTTTCAATTGATAGGATGAAATGCTATATATAGGTGATTAGGTAGATTTAAAAAACTATAAAATTCAATTCGAGTATTTATTATTTCTTAAAATCAAATATTTGGCACCTTTATATTGCAAACATTTATCGTAGTAGGTAAGTTACTATACCAATAGTAGATAACTCAAAGGTCAACTATCTTTATAATGAGATCAATATTATAGAAAGTTATAACATCACTTTTATATATATAAGAAAATGAGAAAACCAAAATTTAAATCAGATCAATATAATAAAAAAATATAAGTTATAAGATCACTTTTATAACTATGAGATGATGAGAAAACCAAAAATATATTCTAATGAAGTAAATTAACACTGCGTACCTAGAAGGTAATACCTACCATATAAAGTGTAAACATTAAATTACATGAGCAAACACAGAGAAAATTAGAGGAACTTGAAACATATAAAGATCCGTATCCGCGGATCTTGACACCAAATATCCGTATTCGGATCCGTATCCGCGGATATACATTTTTAACGATCCGGCACATCACTGATGGCCTGACATATCGGACCGCCGGACCTAAAAATTCGTGTAGTGTATAAGCGCCCTTAGGGGGGCGAATAGTATTTTGTATTATCTATGGGCTGGCGTAATGAGAGTAAGAGGGAAAGGATCGTTCCTATCTAGCACAATCTAGGACCTAGATTCTAGGTGATCGGCGCGTTTCGAACTCTCATATGCCCTTTTTTTATTTTCGGTTAATGATAAAGTATTTAAAAAAAAGAAACTTATGTCTACTAGATGGCAGCGCAGATTGTGGATATAAACGTAAATGAGACAGTATTAAAAAAAACTTGATTTTTCCATGACAACCTTTCCGATTTTCTTCATGTTTAAAAGTAAATTAGTTTTGAAAACTCAATAAACAACTCATATTCTATTTATACTTTTTAGTCATTGATATCTTATTTTCAAACTTTGCAAATATCAGTTTTTTCATATGTTAGCTAAAAGGAATGGAAATGACTATCTTTGTTCCATTCGTTTCCTGCAAAAATCAAATGCTAGAGTCGCCGTCTAGTGGAGGTGCTTTTAAGTGCTTTCCTTTTTTTAAATACTTCCTCATTACGTGCGCGATGTTTTGTCTGCTCTTTACTAGATGCCGTCCGAGATATAATTTAAAAATCAACCAGGATTTAATCAATGTCTGATTTTATTATATCCCTCCGATATACAGATACAGATAAAATTCTGACCTCATAGTAAATTGTAATACTCTAAATCTATGAGAGCTGAAAAATAGTATGACAGCTTGGCCTTATTATACCTTGATAAGGCCTAAATTACGATAAGCGGGTGGACAACCACGCGTGCTCGATCCGTTGCGTGTACCCGCATACTCAGTGTTGCTCAGACCGGAATACTGAGTGTTGCTAGTTCGAGCATTGCCTATATTGACAGAATTATCATTTTAACCCTTACACACTCAACAGTGGTATTAATTAACAAGGTTTAGCGTCAGAGTAAATTTACGCTAAAATTGTAATTTTAACATTAGTGCAGAATCATATTATGCATAGAATAAGCAATTAAAAATAAGCTTTCTAGGAGTGAATATTATTCTCTTTATAATATGAATTTTGACTGATACTAAGTGCAGTCTCAGTGTAAATTTGCTCGAACGTTAAACCTTGTTTATTAATAACACTGTCATAGTATGTGTTATGACGGGTGTATTAGTTATGAGAAGTAACTAAGCCTTGCGATTTATTAAATAAATTTTTACAGTCAAATATATTTATTTTATTATAACACAGAGAATAAAAATTACAGACACTCAGTATTTTAAATAACATTTAACATTAATTATTGAAAAATTCAATAAATGGAAATTCAATGAAAAAAATACCATATTAGTACAAGGGTCAATTCTAAAAGTCCTGTTACAGTTATATACTATAATATAAGGAGTCAAATTCGTATGACTTAAACCAGACTTGACTAAAACGCCGAGCTACTGTTGGCCGGACAATACCTTCGATCGATACGAATTTGATCCCTAAACACATAGAAATACAGAGAATCCAAAAATATATAAGTATTGAACCTTTTATTGCACACGATACTATTTATTTATCATTATCCATATCAATTAAGGAAAGGTTTACATACTAGTATAAGAGATAACTCCTAAATGGCGAGAATTAATGGCGTGTTTACACTGGTCGATGATATCCATGTAAGACGTGCGGGCGAGTTATGTTTCTAGCTTTCATTGGTCGGTCATTCCTTTATTTACAATAAGATGAGCGCGCAGAGCTCGCCCGCACTCTACGCGCTGACTCTTCGACCAGTGTATATATACCATGGGGGGGGGGGCATGGCAATTTGGAATTGCCTAATGCCAAATTATCCTTTTGGCATGGTTCAATCCCTTTTATTTCATTGAATTAACATGAAAATGAACTTGAAGAGTAGCAGAAACACTTCCCTGAGTAACCCAGGTCCGATTCTATTAAATGCATTATCCAACAATTAGACAATTTGTCAACATCTACTCTTAAATTTCATAACAAGGACAAGAATTCAAACACTTTGCTCTATAGTGACTAGATATTCGGTACATTTGTTCCTGTAGAAAGTATTATTATAAAATACAATATTATTAAAAAAATCACCAACATTAGTTGTTTGAACAGGGAGAACATTTAAAATATCTTTTTTGTCATTGTTCTGCAAGTTGCCATACTCAATTTGTATAACATCGAAATATGACAATGACGCTTTGTCCATAAAATTACACAAAACAATACTATCACTAGAAGTAAATCCAATCTTTTCAAAACATTTCCTGGACATAATATATAAGACACTAACATTAAAGTGAGTCAACAGATTGAAATTCTGAAGTACCAGGGATTCACCGACTGATAATAGTTTCAAATTACTAATGATCGATTGGAAACATCTTTTTTCAAATAAACTATAGCATTCTGAATGATCAAATTCTGGAAGCACCAGCACTCTATGGGATTTCATGTCTACATCATTCAATTTTACTTTAGATGAGTTAATACCTTTGCTAAAGATAATTTCCTTAAACTCATCTTCTGCCATGATCTGTTGAAACAACCTGAATATTGGCACAAATATGAATTTGGAACTGTTGATTTTTTGCAGTGGAAGCCCATAAGTAAAAACTAAATTTAAACTCAAATCTTTGTCATAAAATGTGAACCATTTAACTTGTTCGTTGATCAAGATTAAAGGATTTGACAAAATTTCAGTCTGTAAGAAAGAGGTCAAGTTTCTTGATTTCTCTTTAAGAGATAGCTTTGTATACAGTTGCCTCTCCGTGTATGAGCCACGGTGATATCTGGGGTTCATGTTAACCTTGTTCTCTTCATGGAGAGCTCCTTTCAATATCTCTTGTTCATTTTCCAATGGTTTCAAACCGTACTGCCAAATAAACTCTGTTGCAACGAGTGTTCTTATCTGCTTGATGTCTCTATGAAGAGCAATATTCTTTTGCATGAGATAAGCTTGTAAATTATTGTTAATTACTTGGCACTGTATTGAGCAGAAATAACCAGCACATTCCTCTATTTGTTTAAAAAAACTTTCTGGTATTGAGTCTTGTCGAAAGAGTGAATTATTTCCATAAAACTCTGTTCCATAAGCAGTTTTAAGAATTGGTATGTATGTCTCCAAATCTGCTATTCCTTTGTATTTAAGACAAACAGCATAGACTTCTGAGTTGCCCTGCCGTGATGTGACTGGTTTATAAATATTGACTTCACCAAACAGATGATTGATTAAATAGAGTAGGTTCACAGTGAAATGCTCAAATATTGTAAAGAGCTTGAAAATAAGTGTCCCCCCTGCAATCATAAACAATAATATATAAATAAATAATAATAATATTCTTTTTATATTCAACTTTATGTTAATTATGACAGTGCCCATACCTTGTAACTGACATTTTTCGATACAAATTTCTTTTTAAATATTTGAGTTTAAAAATAATATCTTCCAATTCAAAATCAAAAAGAAAATATCAATAAACATCAGTTTTACAGTATTGAATTTTAAATTTTTATTACAAACCAGGAGCCAAAGCCTGTAGGGCAGTGACAATTTCACAGTAGTGCAGAGGAGAAGTGACTTCTTCCTGTGCATCAGGTCTCTGCATGCAGTCTATGGAACCATCAGCAGTCACCAACTGCACCTGCAAGGGCACTTTTGAGCTGCAACTACCATAATAAATCGATAATAAAGTTTTAAAAACAATCATATCTTGTAGTTACCTTCCCTAAGGATGTTGCTTTTCTCACTGTGGCTTGTGAATTTTCCCAGTCCATAAGGTTTCCAGTGTTGTCTATACCAAAATCCCAATTATTCAGTGTGTGAAACATGAACCGGTCATCACTAATCATGCTGGATGGTGAATTTCCTTCATAATATGGATTTAAGGTATTTGCTACCCATTTCCACTACAAAAAAAAATTAAGTAATCTTTTTGTAAAAAAAAAATATATATATACATAAATCATAAACATAATAATCTTTGACTCACATTCACGTTGGGATAGTTTAACTTTAAGAAGTGATTCAATGACGTTATGAATGCGCCTGGAGCTTCACATAAGTGAAGTGACACCATTTTTTGTTCTGCTAATGCCATTTCTGGTATTATACTGTATGTAGAGGCACATTCGTAAAATTTTGTCCACGCTTGTGTAAGGAACTCTGGATTTATGACACACTTGATTTTCCAACATACTTCACCGGCAGGATTCCTTCGTCTAGTGTGACTACTCCATTCTTCAATGTTAAAATCATTCAACTGGCTCTTGTGGAAATTCAAACGGCTTTTTAAAATTTCCAACTCTTTTACCTTCCATGGTGGAGCAGAAAACCATAGATTACGATCTGGTAACTTCCAGTTGTTATCAAATCTAAACTGAAACTTTTTATTGAAGAGATCTTTTAGTTCATCTTCGATTTCTCCGTTTCGGTAGCATCTCGATCTTGATTGGAAAGAGTAATTATCAAACATTTTGATGATTTTTTATTAAATTAGTTGCCCATTAATCCTCATCTTGAACAGCACATTTTGAAAAGGAAATTTTCGTGAAATGAAGTAAGGGTCGCTTTTTCTACAAATAGTTTTAGAAATTATAAAATACATTAAAAAAAAAAGTTGACTCCGCAGTCCTGATACTTTAACGAGATTATTCCTATCATATACTTTAGCGGGGAATTTTGCAGTTTTTCGGGTATTTTACAAAAAGAAAAACGAGGCGAAAAAATAAACAAACATTTCTTGCTTCCAACCGACCATAGAGAATACCCAAAGAGTAAAAGTAAGAATACTAGACATGGGACCAATATATCAAAACGTATCTTATATCGGCTAACGGTTAGATATCATATCGTATCGATATCAGATTTTGCGTAACCGTTCTTAGGAAAACTATATTATCAAATAAAAACTTAAAATGCGTAGCAAAACGGTATATCGAAAAACTGTAATGAACTAAACAACGAAACGAAACTCATATCGGCGCAACTACTCGTATTCATAACCGAACGTAACAGCGTTCAATTGATATTCACTTTTTCTCTTTCTTAGTCGATACCCTTATATTAGAGTAAAAGAGATGACGCGGTTATTCAGATAGTGTAATGTGTGAATAGGCGATTTCCAACCATAATTGCTAGTAATAAGAGTCAATATATCTTGTATTCATTATGTTTGGAAAATATTTCGCGGGGTTATTACTATTCGCAAGGGTTACACATTGCAAAGAGGAATTAAGCTCAATTTTTAAATGCGCCAGAAAAGCTTCTTTAAGCGAAAATAGAATTAATAACTTCCAAAACTCCTCATTCAATATTTTTATTCGAGTAACATTGTATTATTTTAAATAGTTTATGGTTAAACAAAGCTTTTCTGATAGTCCTAAGCCAAGCAAAGCATGAAGGGAAATCGCCACATAATAAGTCATTGAAAACTCTCAGATATTTAATTTATATATCTAATTACTGTATATCCGTTCTTGGTTAGCAAACCGCTACATCTATGCAATATTGATATCAGCCGTAGCTGCATAAACCGAATAACCGTTCTTTCTGATAAAATCATACAATTAGCATATCGATATGTGATATCGGTTTTCATATCCGATATGAAAACTTCATAACGGTTACATATCGGCTATCATGAAATATTGAAAACGCCCATGTCTAAAGAATACCATAGACTAGTGATGCGACTCGAGTCCTGTTTTTTATCGAGTCATTGTGTGACAAAAAACGACACTCGAATCTGCACTCGAGTTCGAGTGATTGAGTTGATTCTTTTGACACTAGATGTCACTTCGCTTCTCTTATTTAGTATGTGGGTATTTGTTTAAAATTCCTAAGAGTCACTTCACTTGAGTAGCACATTCGAATATTTTTTACTCGTTCGGAATATTTTTTCTTTTTTTTTGTAATTTATTTGTTACACTCTTCTTCTTTTATTATTAACTTATCTGCAGATTTCGCATAATTCTGCCAAAAGCACCTCTACTAGATGGCGACTCTAGCAAAAGTTTATTTTTGCAGGAAACGAATGGACCGAAGACAGTCATTTCCGTTTCTTTTAACTAACATATAAAAAAACTGAAATTTACAAAGTTCGAAATTTCGATATCAATACAAATACGAAAAAGTACAAATAAAATATGAGTCGTTTATTAAGTTTCGAAAACTTATTTACTTTTATACATGAAAGAAAACCGGAAGGGTTGTTATGGAGAAATTAAGAAAGTACCGTAGCGACATCTAGTTTGATTTGGGAAACTATTTTTCTTTACTTCTTCCCTCATCAGTCATTTATTGTTGTAGCGTGAAGGCCATAGAAGCCAAGGCAGCTAAAACCTTTTTGAAAAAAAAAAGTCATTGTTGTTAAACGTCAATGTCAAACCGAATTGAATACGAATTAATTTACCTACACAAACTGTTTCTATAAGTGGAAAATCCAATTTTAAAGTCTTCTTATATCAGTGTATACAGCTGTTTATATAATTGTTACTTCACAGAGTAGCTTAGTTGATTTAATAAACTTTTTGTTTGAACTTCCACTCAAAGAGACCCTACTTAATTTTGTTATAAATGAAATTTGGACTTCTGAGAGACCCTTCTAAAAGAAGACCAATTTACTGACTCGACTGACGCAGCGAATTGATTGATTATTTGACTTTGATCGATTTATTGTGATTTAGACAATGTATAATAACTTCCAAAATAACCGTAATGAAGATCGTAAAGAAGACAAACCACCATACTCCAGAGTTTTCGTTGTATGCAGTAAACTCACCCAAGAAGAAGATTTAAGAACTCCTTTTGAAAAATATGGTACTGTTGAAGACTTGTATATGCCTAGAGATAGAAATACAGGTGAACCTAGAGGGGTTGCATATATAAAATTCAGTAAAACGTCATCTGCTGCTGCAGCAATCCATGATCTGCAAGCGAAGCCATTAAAAATAAATAATAAACCAATCAAAGTTATGATTGCTTCAAGTAAGCATGATTCAAGTTCCACAAATGAAGAGAAATATAGAAGACTCTTTATAAAAGTTCACAAAGACATATCTGAAAGTGAAATATATGATCATTTCAACCAATTTGGACTTGTTGATTCTGTGTACTTGCAAAAGGATAAAGTTACAGATAAATGCAAAGGCTTTGCATATGTACATTATACCAACTTTTTAGATGCTGCGAAAGCTTTTGAAGAATGTGACAGAAAATATAAACCTGTGTTTGCTACCCCTAAAGATGAACTGAAGCGTGGCAGAAATGTTTTAGAGGGACTATTTGGATTTCAAGGGGATTCTTACTCTAATAATAGTCAAGTTGGCAAAGACTATAATTTCATAGAACAAAAAAGGGATAGCTTAAGTCTTCTTCCGAATATTCCATCTCAGAACTGTGCTACAGTCATTGTCACTTGTAGCCCTCAAGTGCCTCAAAAATATGTTGAAAAGTTGTTTAATATTGTACCTGGTATGATTCAGTGTCAGTACACACTTGATACATACAACGGTTTTTGTAAAGCAATAGTGACTTATGACAATGAACAGTCTGCCACATGCGCAGTTAAAAAAATAAATAACTTTGAATACCCTTCTGGGGAAATTGTTTCTGTCAAGCTTGATGAAAACCCTATAAATAAGGCAGCCAATAATCTCACAAATATTGTTAATAATTTCAAGAATTCTTTAGATGCAGGCAACCCTGATTTACTTCAACTAGCAGATGCCATAGCTGAAGCATCAACATTGATAAAAGCAGCTACAACTGGTAAAATTGAAAATAAATCTCATAATTTAGATACCCCAAATGATTTCTGTAGTGTACCCCTGCCATCTCCTCGACCGATGGCAAACTCCAACAGCAGAGTTGCACAAAGATGCTTTATAGTCTGTAAACCATATCCTCCAGCTGGATCAGCTTTAAGAGATGCCTTTTGCCGCTTTGGAGATCTTATTGATGTATGTACTTTTCCAAATAAGACATTTGGTTTTGTCAAGTATGCCTCTGTAAGAGCAGCACAAGAAGCTATAAAAACTTTGAATGGTGCTGTCTTATGTGGCATCCAGCTTAAAGTTTTAGAAGCTGATGAAAAGCCTTCAAAGGATGATGACCATAAAATGATAATAGACTCATCAGAAGACTTTTCAAATCACTGTAAGGAAGGTAAAAGAATGAAGATTCACGACTAGCAACAGTAACTAGAATTAAATGTACAATAAGCTGGGTAAGGACTTGTTTGACTTTACTGAAAATGGCAAGTGTCTTGAGAGTACATAATTTATTAGTAACATTTTCACATGGCAGTTTTTGTAATTCCGTAAAACTGATGTGATGAGCTATGACAATTTTGATGTTTACACTACTTTATTTCATGAATTACTTTGATTTACTGATATGAATAACTATTAATAACTAAATGACTTAATTTTATTAGATGACTGTGTTTTTACTCTAAAAAAACAACAACTAACCACCCCTTTTACCTACTACTTACACCTTGATTATTTTGAGCTACAATATTGATACAGGTAATCATTTTGACTAAGAGTTATAAGATAAAAATAGCAGGTAAATAAAAGTGGTTCAATTTACTTCATTTCTATCACCTGTGTTCACTTTTCTAATTACAAATGGCTACTAGGATCGTGATGTAGACATTTCTATGATCTCTGCAGGTCACATACCAATAATTCTAGTGATTTGCTTGCTTGATAAGACACATCTATTACTTTCTCAGCCCACTAATTGATCTCAAAAACTACATATATATTGTGCAAAAACACTTTCACAACATATTAACTTGATAAAGTTTGACTACTAATGAGACTTATAATACAGACTAATTTTAATTAACTAATTAAATAAACATGCACAAAAATCAATAAATAAAAACTAGTTTTCCTTTAAAGGAAAATATGTTAACAGAGCAGATATTCATAATACATGGTTAAAAAGTAGTTTGATTTTTATTTTGTAGTAAATAAGTGACTTCATTAATTCTTGAAAGCAATTGATTGATTATGTTATCATAATGTAGTGAATTGTTACTGGGCAGAGTTTCTGTCCAGTTCTTATTGTATTCACTCAAGGTTGTCTTCGCTTGGACCATCTGTAAACACAAAACATTTATCTGAATGAAATTGGTAAACAAAATACATTTTGAATACAAAGATTCAGATTCATTTATTTGTATCATTTAATACTTGTTTGTTCTTTAAATGCCCAGTTTGGGATTTTTCATTAATAATCCAGTTTGTAGTAGTATCCAGTATCCAGGAGTAGCTCGGTGGCGTAGTGGATAAGCGCCGCGGCCCGCGATCGTAATCGTTAAGCAACTTTCGCAAGGGTCGGTCACGGGATGGGTGACCAAAAATTATTATCTCGAGCTACTCCGTGCTTCGGAAGGCACGTTAAGCCGTTGGTTCCGGCTGCATTTGCAGTCGTTAATACCCTCCAATCCGCATTGGGCCAGCGTGGAGGGTCATGGCCCATCCTCCTTAACCATCCATAAGGAAGGCCTGAGCCCCTGCAGTGGGGACGTAAAAGGGCTGGTGTGTGTGACAATCCAGTTTGTGCCTAAACATTTTCAGACAAGTACATTAATATAAAAATTCTCAACTGTACCATCATGGGCATATTATAGTTTTCAAATAAACCAATATTTACCTGAGTAAACATGTTCACATCTTGGCACAACTGAGTTAATTTAATTTCGAGATCTGGATTTCTGTTAGGTTTATTTTTCTTACTGATTTTCATGTTAGAAAGACGTTTCTTAAATTGATCTAAGCTGGAAGCATATTGATCAAGGTCCAAAGGATTGATTTGAGTTGAAAAGTTTGTCGGTTGAGGATTTATGTGGATAAGATTTTTCTTAAGCTCTTCAACATAGCTTTTCATTTCTCCAATAACTGCATTTAAGTCGACATCTGCATAATTATTTTCTTCCATATCTGGCATTATTAATTTAGGTAGATCTGCATCCAAAAAATCTTTAACGTTTTCATACCTGATGTGACTGTTCGCATGGTGATTATTAATGTTATTGCCTGTGCAAATTGAATCAAATATAGCCTTTATATCTTGCATTCCCCGCTGGGAATCTGCGAGTTCAGAATCTAATGTTCGTGTCATTCTTTCGAGTGCTTCCAACTGAACAACGGACTGTAGATAGCCGGCAAAGTCATCTGGACTAGGTTTTTTAATGTTATCCATCTAAAGGCCAATATATATAAAAATTATCAGTTTGTACTTGTATACAGAACCATTAACTCTTTTTTTCAAGCGATCCAACGATCTGTGGATCCACAGACTATATAGTGTGGATCCAACCGAATCCGATCTCCGATCCAGTGTTACCAACTCTGAAATCTAGCGGATCATCCGCTACATTTCAGCATTGGTTTCAGAGAAGATTTCTTTCATCCGCTGCGGATGGTAGAAATCTTTTAAATTACGGTATATTATTAAAAATTATGGTGTATTTTTAATTTGAAATACGGTCAGAGTAGAAAAGAACGATATAATTATTTCGGTATTTTTATACATATTAATTTTATACTTTTGAAACATTGTAATTACTTTTGAAAAATCAATACAATTTATTCCGAGCCGCTGTATGGCCTCTTGCGGTAAAAGTTTTTCTTTTAACAATCTCATAAGGAGTTTATTCCGTTTTTTTTTTTTTTAGTTTTTATGTCATTTACTTTGCTAAAAACTCTTTCGCATTCAGCATTCGGGTGTGGTAAAGATAAAATTTGCAACATAAACTCAGGCGAATACTTAAAATAGGCTTTCCTTGTTTGATGTAGAGCTCGTAACAGTGCTACCTAAAAAAATATAATTAATTTGATATAATAATAAAAGACAATTTAATGGTTTTTAATTTGATCTCACTGTGAAATTTATCTTGTGCCAAAATCTCTCAAGAGATTGATTTACATCCAGGTTTTCCAGGTGAAGTAGCAACCGGCGTCACTCATCATCTTATTCTTGTTGTTCTTGGCTTTATTTAGGGGTAATTTTGGACAATAATGGATATAGTGATGAAATAGATTCTCCTTTGTCATTTACGGAATATCTTTTCCTAATGCCAACGCAAACCTTACACACAGGCGCAGCAGGCTTCTTACTGTATACAAAATCAATGACTACACACTAGAGCGAAAAAATAATATCAAAGATATCGGTGTAATTTTTGATAAACAATTGTCATTTCGTGATCACTATGCTTATATGATACAAAAGGCGGAACTAATAAACTATTAAACACTAACAACATAAATTACAATTATTTTTATACTTGGTATAGGTATTGGGCAATAAAACGAAATAAAAAAGCTTCAAATGTCTATTATATATATATTTACTCATATATACGTTGCACCAGCTTACTGTTATTTAACCTATCGCCATGCAAGCTATTTACAAAAATTATCAATAGAAATATTTTGTCCAGAAGTACTTGCAGAAGGCTGACTAAAAAACTTGTCAATTTTGGGCAATTTTGTTTACTTTATTCTCTTTCTTGGCGTTGTTTGCGTTTAAATGCACCACTTTTTTTTGTCCATAATATTAGTTTTCTAATTTATTTTACAAGTAAAAGGAAAGCGAAACGAAATCTCCAAAAAAAATCTTGACTCGAAGTTCACAATCGCGAATCACAAAAACGCATATCGATAAATAATAATATGCAGATATTGATATCCGACAAATTGATGAAAATATTAATAACACTGTCAACCCACATAAATAATTTAGGGGAATTCCCCTTTTATAACTTTGGAATTTCTCACAATTGAGTTGTCATGATTCATGATTATACTCGAGTTGTCACCTGTCATATTTATTTTGAAAATGGTAGAAATTTTCAAAAGTTGAGTTCGATTGAGATTTTCTGGCAAAGATTCGAGGGCCCCCTGAGCTTGAGGGTCCCGGGGCACTGCCCCGCCTAGCTCCTTGGTAGCTACGCCACTGCATCTAAGCTAAAAAATAATAATAAACTTTTATCACAGGATCATTGAGACATGAATGAATATCATGACGCTATATGGCTCTGTGGCTATTATTGGGGAATCCCCAAAATGAGGAAGTATTAAAAAAACATAAGCACTAAAAAAGCACCTCCACTAGATGGTGACACTAGCAAAAGTTGATTTTTGCAGGGAACGAATGGACCAAAGACAGTCATTTCCGTTCCTTCTAACTAAATAAAAACTGAAATTTGAAAAGTTCGAAACTTCGATATCGATACAAATACGAAAAAGTACAAATAGATTATGAGTTATTTATTAAGTGTTGAAAACTATGCGACAATTTTTGACATGGTATTAGTACTGACATGGCCTATTTATTGTAATATCATTGGTATTTGTCAAAATTCAAAATATACAAAAACTGTTGGTCATTCTAATAGCGTAATAACACATATTTCACTTTATTTTAAACGAAATCATGTTTAATTTTTGTGGATTACACAAAATAAAATAAAATATTAATTAACTTTTTATCTGATATCAAAACACCTTGTAAAAGCCACATTCTAGTACTTTCGAAACTGAGCCCCTCCCACAGAGCAGATGGTCCCGGCTCTACTAAGTAGAGTAATAGATGGCCTTTTCCGTCTGGTGTGCCGAATGTCCAGCAGGCTGCTATCCACGCTCAGACATCATCCTCTGATACAGAAATTCCTCCTGTATCAGAGGACGAATTTAGAGATGTCATTGACAAGGTTAGAGATAAGAAAAAGGCCCCGGGTCTTGGAGGTATCCCTGACCGCGGACAATTCCCTTAGCCGTGGAAGAGGGGGAGTCTTTGCCTGTTGATTAAAGAGGGCAGACCAACTGATTCTCCAGCTGCCTACCGCATTGTCCATCATTAAGATAATGTCGGCCTAAACCTGTCGCTAAACTAATTTGGTTTTCGGAGACGACTCTACACGATAGACGCCATCTGGAAGTTGAGGAGGATTTCTGAGTCGGCAGTGAGTAGGGGAAAGGTGATTATAGCAGTGTCTTTAGACATTGCCAATGCTTTTAACTCCCTCCCATAAAGAATGCCCTCAACTTTATCGTACTTGATCTATATCGATTTTTTAGAAAAAATATCGATATTTTGATACATCATTAGTTTTTGCCCAATCCTATTATTACAATGACGTTTTGTACGTATTAGTTCCTTACTAGTCTGTGCGTTTTGCATTTGTATATCGTCCACGTGAATTATATAAAAAAAAGGAAAAAGTAGATTATTTTCATTTTACATGTAAAATTTATTTATTCTTTTGGTATTAGCAAATTATGCGAAACGCGTAGGTAAGATAAAAATAAGAAGAAAAGAAGTACATTATTAACCTAAAACAGCAGTTTGTTATAAAAATAGTTATTAAAATGGTACGTAAACTCAAATTTCATGAACAAAAACTTCTCAAAAAAGTAGATTTCATATCATGGAAAGTCGACAACAATCTTCACGAAGTTAAAATAATGAAAAAGTATTATATTCAGAAAAGAGAGGACTATACAAAGTAAGTACTGAGACGTTCTGATAATTCCTAGTATTATTTTTTATTAATCTTGGCAGTATTAAAATAATTTTTCCTGTAGGTACAATAAATTATCAAGAGAAATCAGAGATTTGGCTAATAAAATCAAAGATTTGGATGTTATCAACGAATTTAGAAATGAAAGTAGTGGCCAGTTATTAGAAAAATTGTATCAAATGGGCTTAATACCTACTCGCTGGGACTTGGCTCTTGCAGCGAGTGTATCGGCTAGTGCTTTTTGCAGACGTCGATTACCTGTTGTGATGGTTCGAAGTAAGTTCCATTTTTAAATATACACATGATAGTTTTTGGAGGGTGACAACAAGGGCAACGGTTTGATTTTCGGTCACATTTCTATTGACTCTTGTCTGGGTGTTGTAATATTACAGATTCTGATATAACAAGGGCTTTGGGTACTCATTTTTGGGCCTACGCAATGTATGCTATGTTATTATTAAAAAAATATAATAATCTTATTCCTTAATGTTTAGAATTGCAAATTTTTCTTTTAGATAAAATGTCTGAAAATTTAAAAGAGGCTACAAAATATATTGAGCAGGGTCATGTTAGAGTGGGGCCAGAAGTAGTAAAAGATCCTGCATTTTTAGTCACCAGATCATTAGAAGATTTTGTTACTTGGGTAGATGGTTCAGCTATCAAAAGACATGTCATGGAATATAATGATATGGTAAGTATTTTGTATTGTTTATGAATTTGAAGGTTGTATGAAAGCATGTAGTATATATTTCTATTTTCCTTGTTTCAGAGAGATGACTTTGAGATGATATAGTTTAAGATACCTCTAGTGATACAATATGTAAATAACAAAGATAAGAAATTAAGCAAATTGTTCATATAGGTTAAGGATTTGCGTTTCTACTGTTTGTGTTAAATAAAAGTTACTAAATGGTTATAATAACTTTATTTTTTCATTTAATAGATTTAATTTAATTTAAACCTATTCTATTAAGTCTTGTCTTATAAAAGCTATATTATTTCAATTATATATAAAACATCATCTAAATAAATTTATTTGATACATTAAATATATTTAGAATATTTTGCATAAAATAATATTGAATAAATATTTATATCATTGACACTGGAACCTACTTCTGCAGGTGGTTATCTGTAGTGATATATCTCGTAGATGTCTAACTCATATTGATAATCCTGGCAATGATACAGTGGAGGACACAGATCCAAGATCCTGCACTTGACTGCGACTTTCTATAATAGCAGCTATCCGAGCAATCGCTGCTGATTGAGACACAGCAGCCTCAGCAAGTTTTCTCATTGCCTCTGCTTGTAGCAGTGCTGCTTCTGCACTTTTAACAGATGCACTAGCACGCTTGTCCTCTGCTTTTGCACGGAGGAGTTCAGCTTCTGCACGCCTTTTTTCTACCTCAATCAGCCATTTTGGGTATAAGTCTAAAACATCAATCAAACAACTGGTCAACAGTGTATATGAATAGTGAATACTTTGTATTAATAATCTTATTCTGCAGTGGTATAGCTAGATTGGTAGAAATGTTGAATTCAAGAAAGAATTTTCTTGGCCCTAAATAAAAGAGGTTCCTGCAATTCCACACTTGATGCTTATTTAGTAGGTGAAGAGAATGGCATAAGTCCAATCATTCTGTTCCAACCAAAAAGTGTTTTACATTATAGTATCATTAGAAAATTATAAGTCCATTTTTTTCTAGTATTTATTTACCCATCAAACAAACATATTCTCTCTCAGCTATTTTCTCGTAATTAAATTCCATTATACTCACTGTGAATAAGAGGATCATTTGAATTAAAGTCATTATCATCTTGGCAATCACCTTCACTGGATTCTGCACTTTCAGTGCTGTCCCCTTCAACACCTGAAATATTATATAAAATTTATAAAAACAAACTGATTTAATTTCCATATAATGAGAATATAAAAGCACTTTCATAATAACAGTACATAAAAAAAGATCAGCAAACCTGATAACCTGTCATGGGCATCCACTTGTGAATTTGAAAAGTCATTACTCTCCTGATATGTTTCCAATTTAACTTCTGGTGGTATAACATCCTGAAAGAAATGAAAATCATACTACAACCTATAGAACAATGTTTAACTATAATGTTTAAAGATAAAACTACTTACTGAAAGTGGGTTTTGATACGTTTCAGAGTTAAATAGCTTCTTCTCAAAGTATGGACCTAATATAACAAGAGATCTCTTCTCTAGTTTAGTTAGGGGACGGACTGTTTTCTTTAATGGAGCTCCACGTTTTTGTCTTTTTATTAATTTTGCCTTGTTCTTTAATTTATTTTTGAAGTCACTCCAATACTGAAATAAAAATAAGCATACAAACAACTTGAAATGGGTTATTAAGTTTTAGATTTAAGTTTAATCATTCACCTTACTCCATCCATCTGCAGATTTCTTTGTTCCACCTCTACAGTCATTTAGGATCTTGGTCAGTTCTCCCCATAGCCTCTTGGAGGTCTGACGGGCCTCCAAATTTCGCAGGCTGCCTGTAGCAAACTCTATGTTTTGTCCCATAAAATCTATCATAGCCTTTACTTGCTCATACGCAACATGTCGCGAACTTTTGCTTCCAGTCATGTTGTTAAATTTAGGCGTTTATTTTGTAACTTTTCAATTCAGGGTAACTTCAAAGTTAAAAATACAATAATAGTATATACTCTTAAAGGAGGTTCTTCTTCATAACTCTAATGGCTACTTTAGACGTAAAAGACCTTTTAAATACACCCAATCAAAGAATTGTTTATAAAAATAACGGAGGTTGTAACCTTATATGAAACTATAATGTCAACGTATAGACAAGTCCTGAAAAGTGTCGTTAAATAAATACTGTTTACTAAAAGTATCTATAAAACCCACTGTTTGATAACACAATCAATCATCATCATCATCTTTGTTTTAAAATGTTTTACGGTCCTGTTTCTATGGTTTTCAGCGGTGTCTTTATAATCAACATAATTATCTGTCAACACCAAAACCACAGACCAAAATGTCTTTTACAAAACGAGTCAGTGATGCCGACTTAGGGTAATTTATCCTAGATATAGGGTTAAATTGATCCTACGGGGTAATTTTCAAGGTATAAATCTTTCGAGGGTATTTTTAGAATAATTTATTTGCTTCGGGTTTTTTGGGTGAATATTGGATAACTTGAAGGTTTAATAATATATTGTATAATATACAATTACAGAAATAATAACTCTCAATTAGATATTTTTGAACGCAACCATAATGTGGTATTTATTTATGAACGCATCGATTGCTTTACCTTTTTTTTTGTCGATCGTGTCTCTTGTCCGTGGTCTAACTAAACGGTGGTGATTTGAAACACTAAAAAAATTAATGGATATCCGAAATAAAAAAATCTGTTTTCGTAAATAAAACAAAAGTTTCGGATAATCTCGAATAGAGGCCGAATCTGCATGAAATATTACAGCTTTCTTTCTACCCAGCTAAGCCGAGACACCAGAAACGCGCATATATTTTAGATACTCGTATTTTTCAAAGTACTTGTATGATGGTTAGGCGGGATAGTAACTCAAATATCTGTAGATATTTCCTAAATATAATTCGAATACAACAACAGAAGACTTGTTATCTTATTAGAGAGATTTTATATAGAGATCTTAAAATTTTGTTACGGACTACAAAAAAAAACTTCTGACTATAATGACAAAATATTGTATAAAGAAAATATTTTTTATTTATTTAATTATCGTTAAAACACTAACATGCATATTGTTTCACAAAAGGTATCACTTAAACAACTTGAGTTTGTGTGTGATACATTAAACTCATCTAGTTCATATAAACGTATAACAATAAACAGTCCATATAAACATATTACTCCGTTGATTCTTTCCTTATTATTTTTCTTTTTATTATCTTTTACAACGAAATATTAAAAAAAATATAATAATATAGTATAAAAATATAGTTGAAAGAACAAATAAAATATTGATTTCTTATATTTTTACAGGCATTATTCATACATGAAACAACTTCTAAACGCTTTGAAACTTCAATAAAACTAAATACAAACGCGATGAAACCATTTAAAAGTTGTCTCATTTATCAAATAAAATATTGTACTTTTATGTCAATCAAACAATTAAATTCTAATTCAAACAATATTTCAAAACTTCATCAACATTTATTTTAAGGGTAAACCCATAAAAAATTGTATATTTTTACTCGTATATCTTAAGAAAATAATTAAGTATTTAAATAATATAAAGTATTTATTTAAATCGTATCAATACAAATACGAAAAAGTACAAATAGAATATTAGCTGTTTGTTGAAATTTGAAAATCATTTTACTTTTATACAAGAAAGAAGTCCGGAAGGGTTGTTATGGATAAATGAAGAAAGTACTGTAGCGACCTCTAGTTTGAATTCGAGAACTATTGTTTTTTTAATACACTCTCCTATGTAGCAAATAAAGTGTAGATATACGGCAAAATATTTTTAATATCAGGATACAGTAGGGTGACTATAAGAAGCAACGTATTTATTGACATTTTTTCCAAAGCGAAAGAGTTTTATCGGAGCGACAGGCACAGAAAGCAATGCCAGGTTGACTCCAATTCACATTACTTAAAAAGAAAATAAAAACATTATTTTTAAATTTAAACTTTCATTCGCTTTTTATTTGATATAGCAATAAACTAAGTACACTAAGTAAGTAAACTAGAATCTTGTTTGAACATGTAAGAATTTTGTTTAAGCATCATAATTGCCGGCGTTTGTAACTTAATTTGTTGGAAGTATCATAAGAAATACCTCTAGAAATAAAACCCAGTAAAACCATGTAATGCCTACTTGTATTTTACTTTTAATATTGTTCATAAATTTCCGTAGTTGTAATTGTAGTAATTGTTAGTTTCCGTAACCGAAAATATCCAATACTACCGGATAATCCGAAACAAAACATATCCGTACCCGTAACTGAGAGCGATATAACAATTGTCAAATATCCGTTTCCGTAACCGTAACCGAATAAACATATACGTAACATCCCTTCAGGTAACATTAAAAGGTCAAAATTAATGTAAAATTTTAGAAAAGTAACATTCTCGCAACGATGGTTGAATAAACGTCTGTAAATAAAGCGAAACGCACTAGTTGCGTTTTGATTACAGACGTTGGCAGAGGACTAAATTAAATTAATGTTTTGGTGGCTTAAATGAACCGTCATGTATGACAGTCCAAATGTCATAATAATAGGGTATTTGACACTATTTAAAATAAGTTGCATATTATGGTCATCCTATTATATAATAACCTTATAAAGTTTATTTCTTAGAATCAGCAGATAACATACGTAAAATAACATAAAGAAAATGCAACATTTTAAAGAATTTAGTAGCGACATCTAGTTTGATTTGGGAACGATTTTGTTTTAAATACTTACTCTTTGGTAATCGTCGCAACCAATAACTGGTTATGTTTACCGGCATGTGACGTCACACATAAACCGAAAGCTGTCATGTCAAAACAGAGTTATTAGAGAAACGCAAAATTACAATTACAATACAATTTTTAGATCATTTTATAAACAAAACCAGAGTAGATACAAATACAAAACATATAATTTAACTTCAATTTCTCTTCTGTAAAACGATTTGTTTATTTCGTAAATAAATAGTTGATAAATAGGTTATGTCGTCTTGACATATGTACCGGCATGTGACGTCACAAATACTACGTGATCAGCGCCATTACATAGAGCAGCGTTTTTTTGTGCGATTTTGGCTATTTAAACTTTAACAATTATTTTCATCAAAAATAGAACAGATTCTCATATTGACAGTGTTTATAATGTATGAAAGAACCATTTAAAATAATTTTCAGAAAAGCGTCAAATACCCTAATCAACTAGAAAAAGTTATTTCTATTCCTTTTAACTAACATATTAAAAAACTGAAATTTGCAAATTTCGTAACTTAGACATCAATACAAATACGAAAAAGTACGAATGGAATAGGAGTTTTAAAAATAAATTTACATTTATATATGAGAGAGAATCAGAAGGGTTGTCATGGAGAAATCAAGAAAGTACCGTAACGACATCTAATTTTATTTCGGGAACCGATTTTTTCTAATACTTCCTCATTGCGTCAACTTTGAAAGGGACTGTGATAAATTTTAAAATTAGACAATTATGGTACTTACAGGGTATAATATATTCATCAGGGCCTAAGTTAGTTTATTATCTTTATATTTCTAAAATTAATAAGAAGAAAAAACATAAATGTATATATTTTCTAACCTACAAAAGTTAAGATATTAGGGTTCCGTAGAATTTTTAATACCTTAGAACCTGTAACAAAGGAGGAGGCCCTGGCAGTAAGTTTGGACATAGTGAAAGCTTTCGATCGAGTGTGGCACAAAGCTCTTCTATCAAAACTTCCCTCGTGTGTATTTCCCGAGAAATTATGTGCATGGGTCACTAGTTTTTTGGCAGACAGAAGCATTAAGGTTTTAATCGACGGTGAATGTTCAGACCTACTGTCTATCAATGCAGGTGTTCCCCATGGATGTGTGCTATCGCCTACACTTTTTCTTCTGCATATTAAAGTATTTGAGAAAATTATTTACAATCAATTGCTTGCATACTTTTTATTAAATAAATTACTTCACGAAAATCAGTTTGGCTTTAGCAGAGGTAAATGTACCACAGACGCTGGAATTACACTTCTGAGGCATATCAAATGTACCACAGACGCTGGAATTACACTTCTGAGGCATATCTATGATGCTTGGGAGAATAAACAAGATGCTATTGGCATTTTTTGCGATCTATCAAAAGCATTCGACTGCGTTAGTCATGAAACACTGTTGGGAAAATTAGAGCATTATGGTGTGACGAAAAATTCACTTAATCTAATAAAATCATATCTTTCTGCTAGAATTCAAAAAGTAGTAATTAATGAAGCGAAATCTGCAGGGGCACCAGTTACTATGGGCGTACCTCAGGGATCGGTATTAGGACCATTGCTTTTTCTTATTTATATTAATGATCTTCCTCACTTTACGAAGAATTTGTGCGAGACAGTATTATTTGCAGATGACATCTCTTTACTGTTTAAAGTTGAGAGGGGTAATGATTGTTTTGACGATGTAAATAATGCTCTCGACAATGTTCTACAGTGGTTTAATAATAATAATTTAAAGCTCAATGCAAATAAAACGAAATGTTATGCATTTCGTTTTATTTGTTTGCATTACCTAATGTGAGGCATGTCAGTACACTTATAAATGTAAATAGTGAAAAAGTTGAGTTAGTAGAATCGACAAAGTTCCTTGGTATTACACTAGATTCCCGACTGCAATGGGATCCTCATATTAATAGCTTGTCAAGTAGACTGAGTTCTACAGCTTTTGCTGTTAAGAAAATTAGACTCTTAACAAATGTTGAAACGGCAAGATTGGTATGTTTTAGTTATTTTCATAGTGTAATGACGTATGGTATATTGTTGTGGGGTTCTGCGGCTAGAATTCATGATATTTTTATTCTATAAAACAGAGCTGTCCGTGCTATATATAATTTACGGTCTAGGGAATCTCTCAGAGAAATATTTAAAGAAATAAATATTCTGACTGTTGCCTCTCAATACATCTATGAGAATATTATGTACACAAGAAAACATAACGATTCCTTCACAAAAAAAAGTAGTGTTCATAATCTTAACACAAGAAATAAACTTGCCGTTCCAAGCTTCAGACTTCAAAAAACCAGAGGATCATTTCTGGGTAAATGTATTGCTATGTTCAATAAAGTTCCACAACATGTAATTGACCTACCCATAAATAAATTTCAAATTCATGTAAAGAATATACTTATGAGTAAAGGCTATTATAAAGTTGATGATTATTTTAAGGATCGCAATGCATGGAATTAATAGCCTTCGCTTTGTTCTAATTATATGTTCAACCTATGTCCTACAGACTTTGAAAGTTGTATTTACTATTGTGATAATACATATTATTTTGGTAATGACATGATTTATCTCATTTCATTTCATTAATGACATGCTCCAAATTAGCGGTTTTATAAACGCCTTTATAAGGCGTAAGTTCGGCCCCATTTGGAGTACTGTTCTCATCTTTGGGCAGGGGCACCCCAATACCAGCTTCCCCCTTTAGACCGCATTCAGCGGAGAGCGACTCGAATCGTCGATTGCCGGGACACTTCAAGTCGGTTTGATCCACTGGCCCTGCGTAGAGATGTTGCTTCACTGTACATCTTCTATCGCATCTATTACGGGGAATGCTCCGAGGAATTGTTCGGACTCATACCTGCCGCTACCTTCCGCCATCGTTCCACGCGACAAGAAAACCCTTCCCATCATTTGGATGGTTGGAAGTCCTCAACTTCAGAAGTTTCCTGCCTCGCACAGTCAAACTCTGGAACAGTTTATCGCCAGCGGTATTTCATATTCGCCAGCGGTAGAGCATATTCGTCCCTCAAAGGCCGGCAGCGCGATTGTAGCCCCTCTGGTGTTGCAGGTGTCCATGGGCGACCGTTATCACTTACGATCAGGTGATCCGTCTATTCAACTGCCCTCTATCCCATAAAAAAAATCCTGTCCAATATGTGCTATATTTCAGAATATTCATTGGGGCCTACAGCATATTTTTACGTGGGTATTTCAATCTTTAAATTTAAAGTTTAGGAGGAGAAAGGGAGCTGTTCTCAAATTTTACCTTTTTGGAAATAATAATGCAATAGGTAAAGGGTTTGGCCATTAGTGGTTTTTGTATTACCTGTTGACTTTTATAATGGCATATTTACATTGATCGATATGCATAGTGCGAATAATCCCTACGGGTACATATCACTGGCCGATAAACTCTTTTAGTTTCAGTCATACACTAATGCAAAAAAGAACAAAAATCTCTGTACTTCTCATGCGGGCCCTATGTACTAATAAAAATCGCCTACTGAAAAAAAACATAGAAATTGTCCGCAAACCGCATGCGGGCACTATCGACCAATGGAAATGAGCTTTACTAGTCGGAAAACCAAATTTAGTAAACTTCTTCATTCCATAAATTGCTATCACATCACAATCACTATATCTTTGATGAGATTGCGATAGATTTTGTTTTTTGTTAGACAATTAGCTTACAAATTCTATGTCAAATGTCAAAATAGATTGTCAAATAGTAATTTAATTATGGCAATAATTTGACTGTCTTGCGCGAGGTGTGCAGAAAAAAAATTAAAAAATAAATTAGGAAAAGAAATGGCAGTTACTAGAGAGAAAGAAAACTGTTCAAGAAAAATTAATGGAAATATACCTGCCTTATCTCTCAATAGTGATAATATGTCGACATCTACCGATAGTGATGACCTAGCAGATCCCACATATGAAATTAGAAACATTCAAAGTATTATTAACGTGACTCGTGAAAACATTGATGCTTTAAATGCAAAATTTGCTGGTTTTCAGCATCCGCCGTCATTATATTTATCGGAATATCAGGAGCTTACATCGAAGCTTCACGATTTAGAACTTAGGGAACGGACTTTACGTGAACTGTTACAGACTGATTCGCCGGATAGAAGTGAAGAATGTTCTTTACAAGATGACTCAAAGAAGTATGATACCCTCACGCGTCAGCCCAAGGTATTCCTTAGGGCGCATCTGCCGAATCAGCAGAGGACCAGCGTGCAAGTTAAAGAAGGGGTGACGTTAAGGGACGCGCTTTCGAAAGCATTGAAACTACGTAACTTGACTTGTGAAATGTGTGAAGTGGTTAGGACAGGCAATAATCAAGTGATACCTTGGGATGTGGATATAACTATGATCGACGCTGAAGAGGTTAGTTTTTTTTTTAGTTTTATAGTTGTTAGTTATATTTAGTGTTGTTATTGTGATTGGTGATTCCTGACAAAAGATAACTGGTGTCAAGTTAATGGCATTTTTCATATCACTTACTATGGAAAATCCAAGATAAAGTACATAATTAACAAACAAAAATGTATCAATTTAATGTTTATATTAAATATAATTAAAAATGTAGGTACTTAAGATTTGAGAAAAATGCAGACTCAAAAATACTTTAGGAATGTAAATAGGAATCACCTGTTCATTACAGTAATTATGCCATTTTATTTAATCTAACAATTAATTTGATTGTTGGAGTTTAAATGGTCAGCACACCTGATTAAACTAGCTCATTATTATTATTATTATTTATTATTGGATCCACAATTTTATATACAAGTGTCTTAAAATAGGATTCCAATTAGAATAAATTCCATTTTAAGTCAAAGAATGTAAAATAATATCATATTAAAAAAATAATCTTTTGCTTTTTGCACATTACTTTATTCCTACAAAAGGCAAGAAATTAAATTGCCTTATGCAATTTTGTAACTATTGCAATTTTCTGAAATATTTAATTCTATTATTTACCATAGGTAAATAATAGAATTAAATATTCTATTATTCACCTATATATTGATTAATTGCCAAATATTTTAACTTTAATATTTCAAACAGGTCAAATCTTCACATTTCCCTTGAAATATATTTTCAGTCTTACTTATGAACATTGTTTAAAATTAATACACTACTAAGCAATTCATTAACTTATAAACATTAATTAAAGTTAAAATGCATCTTAGCAACATTTTAAATAGCTGTAAAATGAAGTAGTGTCGCACCCTTGTTTAAGCACTTGATAAGGTGTTTACTACCACAATGGCAATCATTGACAGCTGATCACCTAGCAACTTTACCTAAGTATTTTTTGTTTATAGTCAAGCCTTCTGCATTTATTTCAATTTGTAACATGTATTGGATTATTTAAAAAAATTATGTTTTTCAAACCAATAATAGTGAGCGTGTACCAATATCTTTTGCAGAATAAAAAATAAAATATTTACAAGTAAGAGATATGATATGACTACTTAAAAAGTTAAGTAGTGCTTAGTTATGCAGATGTTAAGATGTTGATTTTTATAAGTAAGGATGTTTATGTTTAAACATAATTATTTCTAATATCAAGAACTTTTTTTTGTCAGTTCTAAAGAAGTAAGCTTGTTATTTTTATAATAAAATACAATAATTAATACATAGCTCATAGATACAATATTTCTAAATATTAATTTAGATTCAGTACTTAATAATCTGTCAATATCCTGCATAATGTTTGCCGGATTAGTGTGGGTCACATATAACCTCCAATAGATACCACATGATGACTATTTTGATGATAAAATTAAGATGATACCACATAATAACTACATATTTTGCTTTTAAAAAAAAAATAAGTTAAATGTTAAAAAAGGGGTTAATTTTTGTGAAAACTCAAAAGTTTAAGGTTTGGGTGGATATAAAACCTGAGTTTTAGACACCAATTTCCTCTACTGTCTTAGGGAACTTATCAATCCATGTGATACAAATTATGAACCATTACAAGAAGAAAAAATGGAAACAAAACAATGGAGTAAATAAATAAGTGTGTGTGTATGAGTATTTGTGCTAAGCGTGTTTGTGTGTATGAATATTTGATAAGTTATACTTTGAAAATCTTCAATATGGACAGTCTGTTTGAGTGAAACAAAAGCTAATAGCGCAACCTATATTAATAAGGTTAGTTGAGTAATGTTTCTGTATTATTATAATCAAGAGATAAAAGTTTTTTAACTTGTATTTAACATCACTAAACACAGTTGCCTTTGTATCATTGTCCATGTAGCTTTTGTTCATACAGTTGTCTGACAGTTAACACTTGGCAGTTTTTGTAAACTTGTCGGATGCATATAATGACTAAAAGTCATAGTTTTTAAGAGTGATCTATGTGCTCTTTCTAGGTGTATCATAAAGATCTTGCATATACCACCCCATCATCATCATCATTTCAGCCAAGAGACACCCACTGCTGGGCATTGGCCTCCACAAAGATCTCCAATGTGATGTGACGATGACTCTCGAAAACAGCTTGTACACATGACTCAGAAGCCTGGGTCTGTAATTCTTCAATTGGACTCTGTCGCCCTTTTGGAAGAAAAGCACCACCACGCCCCCGTGCCATGCTTCTGGCGTCTTGCCCTCGAGTATGGCGGAGTTAAATAGCTTCTGAAGCGCTTTCCGGACTGGTAGTCCACCCGCTTTCAGAATCTCCACTGTGACTCCGTCATCGCCCGGCGCCTTGTTGTTCTTTAGCTGTTTGAGAATCACACTAATCTCGTATAGACTGACGTCCGGCATGTCTTCGGTATAATATCGGGTTAATTTGGCTGTAGGGTCTGTAGCCTCAATGACAGGTTCCTGTGATGATGCGTATAACTGTCCGTAGAAGCGTTCGATCTCCGCCACAAGCTCAGGGCGGGATGTAAAAACACTTTGAAGCCTTTATTCCGCTCAATCGCCTTCTTAATACATTGAGTATTAAATTGGCGTATGTCGCGGGTAAGAGACTTTGAGATCTATCTATTGAGTTGCCGACGAGCATCTTCAGAAGACTGCAAACCATTCCACGCCTTTCTTCCATTAGCTTGCTTGTCTGCTCCGAGATCTTGCTTCTTTTTGAGTACGGCGAGGTTTGAGAAATTTTGAATCCACCGTAAGGACAGCTTCTACGACCCTGACATTGTATTTGTCCACATCCGAGCAGCTCTCCAGGCAATCGAAGCGATTTTAAAACTCGAGCTCTAAGTACTCGGGGTCCTGGATCTGGGTGGCTTCAGGACGGAGCGTAGACTTCATCAGTCGATACCGTTCGGCATTTACGTTAAGATTCAATGGCCATTACCATACGGTGATCGTTTCCCGTATTTAATGAATTTATCATTGAATATCCGAGTCTTAGTAGACATGATGAAGTCAATCTCGTTTTTTGTCACCCCATCCGGACTCTTCCAGGTCCACTTTCGATGCAGCCGTTTTTTGAAGAAGGAATTCATCGTATAGAGTCCCTCCCTCTCCATGTAGGCGGCTAGCATTTGACCACGGTGATTCTGAATACCAGATCCATATTTCAATCCCACTTTCAACTTTCAATTCCTCATCGCCACGATTGCGTTGAAGTCTCCCATGACAACAGTGTAGTGGGTCGTGGTATCATGTATTGTCCGAGAAATGTCCTCATGCATGACCTCGTCTTCCTCGTCGGGATGCGTCGAGGTCGGGTCGTAATTCTGTATGACCTTCCTGATAAGGTACGCCACCCTATGCGATACACTTTCGCTCTGAACAATATTGTTCACGAGAGACTTGTGGACGATAAACCCGACACCACTTTGGGACAGATCTTCGCCCTCCCGGAAATAGAGCAGGTTGCCAGAGATTCTAGCTTGCGACCAAAAAGTATCGACACGAAAATATTTACTTACATGATGCTGGAAACCTCTCACATGCACAGACACTCGATCCACGTCGTTGACGCAACTAAAATGGCACACGCGTGTGCCGAACTGTCGGGCATTAGGCGACGCAATACGATCGAATATCTATCTATTCCATTTTTGAGATATTGGCATCGGCACAATTTACCCCTGGAACTTTCAGCCTCCCTCTCCCCCTAATGGCCTCTGCACTAATGTATTTGTCAGTCTTGACTTGTTGACAATGACCGGTTAAAAATTCTAAAATTCCGAGCACATGACACCTAACACTAACACGAGTCAACTTTTCTATGAGTTTGGGGATCGAAACTGTGTCGAATGCTTTGGTAAGGTCAAGAAATATGTCAATACACTTTGTTTTACTATCTAGTTGATTCGCTATATGATTAACCATTCGACCAACTACGTCTTCCGTGCTTATATTCTGTCTATAATCATATTTGATTATCTAATTTTGTTAATTCTCCAAAAAGTTTACAACCTGTTTAAAAAAAAAAGTTAATAAGTATTAAAATAGAATGAAAAATATTACGAAGGATTAAGATCTGGACTAGATGACAGTCAAGCTTTAATAGGATAATGCCCACGTTGTACTCTGTTGACTAATCGTGAAGCTACTTTTGAGTATAAATACGCTATAAATAAATAATAAAAAAAACTCTAGTCCTGCTAGGTTATTGGTGTTTTAATATATATTATAAGTTATATACCATAATAATGTAAGCATATCAAAGCTATAAATAAAGAGTAAGCACACCAGACTCTATGATTCGCCGTATATCCTTCGAATAAAGAAAACTATCGCCTGCGAAATATTTTGGTGTCCAGCCATCGCCGCGGAACATGGTAATAGTCCACTTTGATTTCTTTTCAGGACACTTTGAAAATCTTTGTCAAGTTTGGTATCATTAAAATATAACATATTTATGAAAATAAGATATATTTAAATAGTGATGTAAATTATTTATTTCAGTATTTTATTACATTTTACGTTTATCTTAAAATGGTTAACATAGGTACTGTACGTACAAAATATTCATTAACTTACGAGTACAGTAGGGGGATACCTTAAGTTTTTTTTATTTATTTATCTACGATGTCAGTAGGTTAAAAAGAGAAAAAAATAACGTGATTATGATATACAGTTACAAACGCAATATTGAAATTTGTGCACTAAATACAATTTTTATTGTAATAATCACAATACTAATCAATGTTTACGAGTGCAAATATCCATATCAATCATACCTAGAAAAAGCATGCATTCTGACACTAGTGTTACGCGTGCCTTTGTCAGGATGAAACGAATATACTATGGGTATAAACTAGACATCAACGCGTGCTGCATTTTTATAGTTGCCTTTAAAATGTCCGCTATAACTTGAATTCCGCGAGATAAAAATACAAATAATATTTATCTTACCGACGGTTATAAAGTTATACCATCTTTCTTGTGATTAGATGTTCTGGATTTTTTCCACACCATTTAACGCTATAACTTGCCATGGTTAACTCAATCTCTACTTCATTATAAAGAAAAGTCTTCTTGTCAAGCTCTATGCACGGATCGAAAACTTGGTCGTAAATGAGGATTCGCATACGTGTCTTACTACTTTTATTAAAACGATCTATGCAGAATCATAGATGTTTAGCTACAGCTCTCTATCTTTCATGCGGCATCCATTGGAGGTTATCTGTGCTGTAATAATTTGATTCTTAAAATGAATAACTTAGAATCTATAGCCGTCACTAGATGGTGCCAGTGGTATTTTAAAATGTGGTAAACCAAAACATTTAAAAATACCATTAACTCTAAACAAGTAATAAATTATGTTTTAAACTTAAACAACTACCTACTCGCATAACAAGAGTATTGTTTTCGTACTTAATATCAATATAATGCAAAGAACAAAATTGTATATAAGATGTGTCCATGAAGTCAGATTAATGTACCACCTGCAGGGTTTTTTAAAAAGTCGCTAAGCCACTGTTACAATTTTATTTACTTCCCCGTCACCAGATGTCGCCCTAAAGGTTACCTAATGTTGCAAGCCCAAAAAACTGTGGTTTTAGTAATGAAAACACATTTTTATCATATTGTCGCGTGTTGTTTCACACATTAGAATGAAATGAATATACTGCTGTTTCTAACATAGACACACTAATGCGTCTCTTGACACGACAATGTGGACTGTCGTGTCATGGAAGAAACGCATTAGTTTGTCTATGTTATGAATGCATTAGAAGATTACCTAGAAAAAGCATACCTTCTAGTCTTTCCATTAAAAACAAATATAAACTCAATAAAAGTGTGTTTGTGCTCTTGAAAGTACCACAATCACAGAGTAATGAGATCATTTTTTTTATAGGTAGAGCAGAAGGTTACCCACCTGCAGTTAGTATATTGTCCACAGCACCCTGGACTTATTGTATATACATTTTTTGGATTCAGTAGCCTAAGGGTAAACGGGAATCCTATTACTAAAACTTTGTTGTTTGTCAGTATGTCACCTGGTTGTAACTCACGAACCGTGAAAGTTGACAGTTGAAATTTTCACTGATGATTTTATGTATTTCTATGGCCGCTTCAACAATAAATACTAAAAACGAGAATAAAATAAATATTATTTCCATACAAGGAACTTGATTTTTTGTTTGTTTTCGGTATGGAATATTATATGAGCTATGATGTTTATCAAAATCAACTAAGACATTTTAAATAAATTCTAGTGCAACTTTTAGTTATAGTGTATATAATTTTTAGAGTTATTTACTATTAATTATATTTGATTAATATTACATTCACGAAGGAAAATATTCTTAATGAAAAATGGTAAAAAAAATCCCATTTGTATGTATTTGTAACAAAGTGGATTTTTTAAGCATTTTTCATTAATAGTATTTTACAATGTTACACCATATTGTGCGTGTGCACTGTAAACTACACGATAAACTAGGGCATCCGATCCCGCATTTATCAGCAATCCCAGTTTAACAGATCGAAAATTTTCAATCCCTCATATTATCGATATTTGCGGGATCCGGTTTATTAACGTTAATAATTTTCATATTAGGTGAATGAATAAAACAACAAATGTGATTTCATATTATTTTACTGTGGTAATCTTTTAAAATACATCTATGAATATAAATCGCACGTTGAGAACGATAGTGACACAATGCAAAAAATGCAATTTTGAGTAATGAGCGTTTAAAGTTCAAGAAATTGTAATCAGCCCGCCCCTCTAAACAACGTATCGTCACTACGCCACCTAGCAGTTTCTATGCAAGCTACGTTCACGGGGATCTTTGCATTTTAAAGTTTATACTTAACAAAGTAAAAAAGTAAAAAATACGTCATTTTTGGTTAGTGACATTGTCATTCTCAACGTGCGAAATGTTGTGATATTTCTCCATGCATCCCTCCATATTTTTTTAGAGTATTTTCTTATGATGGATTTTATTAGCAGTCCTACAAGTACCGTGGGATCCCGTTTTTGTGATCCCACAACACCTTGGATTGGCAAGTTATGCGGGATCTCGATATGTCAGAATCTTGTGTAATTTTCTCATCCAGCATGTATTGCGGGATTGGAAGCCCTACAAAAAACTGTCAACTGTCCAATAATTACATGATACATCAATGTGTCTTCCATGTTAATTCTGCATATATAGGCATACTAGCTGTTGCTCGCGACTACGTACGCGTGGTTATGAAGATATGCTTTATTATTAATTTGTTTAACGTGAATTATTTTTATATTTCAGTCACTTGAACAGATTATCACACTGAGTAACTTTTTTAAACTACCATTTTATTTTAGTTGTTTTTATAAAACCTCTATAAACCACATTTTTAGTTATGTTTCCAGGCTGCAGTATAAATAACTTATCAGGCGAACTTATTCTAGAACTCGTGATCGTGATCGTGAGAGAAGCAATCGTTTCTTAGATCTGCGCCCTGTGCCTTGTTAATAGTCATGGTATAAAACAATTTAACTGGAAATAAGAGGCGCTTAAATTGAATGGTATTAGAGGAATCCGCGGTATGAAATGGATGAAACCAAAACACCCAGAATTCTTAACTGGGCTTGCGTGGGAGGATCAATGAGGATGGGTGGTGCTACAGCACTATATTGTTAATGGATGAAACCAAAACACCCAGAATTCCTAACCGGGGCCACATGAAGGTTCCATGCGAATAGGTGGTGCTGAAGCACAGATATTCTATCCAATAATAACATACTGGACTCGCGTTGTCGTCCTAAATCGTTCCGCCAAAAAAGTTTGACTAGCCATCCGATTATTACTGGCCTTTGCGATAGTCGCTTAACCTCCGCAGTCGCAGATCAGACGCGATAAACATAACACCATCGAGTGATGAATTACGATTGCGCAACTGAATCGCTGCTCGATTTTACTGAACAGAAAATTGAAAGCAGATCGGAAGCAGATTGAGCGTTCGACCGTCCTCATCCGATATCGAATTGCATCGCATCGAACCCTGAGGAAAGAGCCTGTGGGGTAGCATTTTGCAATATTCCGTTTTAGATAGCACCCACGTTTATATAAATAATCCCTGTCCAAAATTTGAATATCCTAGCACTTTTAGTAACGAAGTTTCATACAAACTTTCATCCTTTAATTTACACCCTTAGGGGTTGAATTTCGTAATATATGTATATGTATGTCATGTGCTTATCATTTTATATAAGTGTTTTAAATAATATATAAACCTAGTCAATAGTTTTGGATGATCTGGGTATTCAGTCAAACTATATATTGTATGTACCTACACATAATATATAATATATAATTAAAGAATGTTCACATGCAAAAGAGAAGACAAAGCCTATATGAAATCAATGCACCTCAGAATGGGATAGGGAAAATTGCTTTTGCGCGTCGAAACCAATTCAATTTTTAATTAATTGCTCTCAATTATTACGGTTATTATAAAAATGCTTCATTAGATCCCTCATTCAAGAATATTATAGATTCAATATATAATAAAGATTCAAGAATAAAATAAAAGAGTATAATAAAATGAGGCTAAGACAATACATCTACAATTACCATGTAAGTATTGTAAATAAACTAGTTGATATTGGCTCTATAATAAATTATGGGATATTCATACAACAGATACCTTTGTAATATAAGCATTTCTGACAATTCTCTATGTGAAGCTTGCAATGAGAAAGAGAAGACGAGAAAGTCTTTATTCTGCTGCGTTGAGTCATCTGCCGGGTGAACCGGGTCTAACACGAAACTAATCGAAGTTCTACGACTGTCATTGAATAATAATGCTTAAGAGAGTTCAATTAAATGGTGCTACCACGTAATATGACGCCTTCTCTTTCGCATGCCATCCAACTCTACGTACGCAACCATAGATTTTAAGTAAATAGATAAGGCGCCATCGAAATACAAGTTCGTTGATAGCCATTCATGGTAGCGATTTAAAGAAAGTGACCGAACTGAAATCAAGTAGACATATTTTTTTATTTGTATTTATTCACCTACTTTTTTATATGTGACAGGTAATATTGCCGCCCGCATAAAAGTGTGCAGATAATGAATTGTCTGCGTATTTGGTAACGCCATGTTCAAAAAATCCAAGTTATATATCCTGAAGCAATATGATTTAAAAAATATCTGTTGTGTTACAAATACTGTTGATTGTCAGGTGACGGTGCGGACGTTGGATAAGTTGCCGATAATGTCGCACATATCTCATCAGTTTACCCGTAAGACGTTCTTCACGTTGGCGTTCTGCGAGTGCTGCCGCCGGCTGTTGTTCAACGGCTTCTACTGCTCACAGTGCAACTTTAAGTTCCACCAGCGGTGTGCGGACAAAGTGCCTAGTATTTGTCATCAGGTTAGACAATGAGAATGAACAATTTAATTTTAATAAATCTTCTGTAGGTTATTGTTTTACCGGGTTCGATTCCCAAAATTTTACAAAATCCGCAGCACGAGGGCTTACGCAGCTTAGGATCTGAGCAATGTTGTTTAGAAAAAAATTGTGTTTTCCTCTCCCAGTGGGTTTTTCACCAGCACTGAGACTAAATTAAATGAATATGTATTGTATTAGAAATATCATAATATCCTAAATCAGTTATTCTGCTGTAATAAAAATCCAACAAACGACACAAGCACTTACTGAAAGCCGCGAATCAACTGTTAACCTAACTACAGATACACCTTTAGGGTCATGTTGAATTTTAGGTACGAATGACGGACACATACTACGCGGCGCTGCTGGCCCAGAATCCGGAGACCCAGGCGGGGATCCTGCACTTTCCGCCGCACTTCGGCTACCATCATATGATGCACAGGGGCGACCAGAGCAAGTGAGTCGTTTCCAATGTTAGAATAGAAACTTGCAAGCTGTCTTTCAATAACTAAACAAATACACGTACACACATACATGCAACAGCTACATACATCGAATGTGTATGAGTATACTCGATGTATGTATTTAACCTTTTAATTCAATTCCATAAATAATTTGAAGATACTTTAGTAGGTATTTTATTGTTTATATAAGACAAGAAATGGTGGTGGGCTTTTTGGATTTAATAAATAAATACATCTGCAGGTCTGTCTCGCCAGCTAAGAAGATGAAGGACTTTGATGATAACTGGTGAATATCGATAGATTCGTGCTTGCCATCGTGCATTATTGTGGTTTTAAATCTGGTGTTTAAATTATAATGTTCAAATAATTGGTATGATTATAAAAAATATATAGGTTCTCCCAGCGTGATTTCAGAATTTATTGTTTTTGCGTGTCAGGCAGCAGCACCCGCGCTCGTTGAACCAGCAAGACCGCTCTAACTCGGCACCCAACGTCTGCATCAACATGGTGCAGAGACCGATGACGCTCGCCGAACACCAGAGGAAATATAACCAGGTACATGTCATCAGCGTCGTTTGTACTTATTTTTTTTTATGTTTCATATGATATTCGGTGACGTTGCCATCTCAGAGGTCCCTCGTTGTACACAGTCGGGTCAATATAGAAAATTAACTTTTCCATATCGTCACCGCTCCGAGAATCAAAAATATACCTCTTTAAGAATATGACTTAAAGTACATACAGTACTTCGAAATAAATAATGGGCATCAGCTAACTTCGTGTTTGTCGATATAGAGCTGTTCTCGCCCAGGATTGTGCAGAATAAAAATTTTGAAAATGTTATTGATAACAAAATACGTTGCAAGTTTCTTTACGCTTTCCATACTATATACGCGCGCAGCCCTTGCGACAGATTCATTGTTTTTTAAATTGACGTCAACATTTATTCAACATTTTTTGACAATTCTCTTTGTATCGTCAGCATCGGAAAAAGCGTCCGACGTCCGTTATTTATGTTCAAAGTGCCTACTCTCTGTATAGAGCACGAGCTCGCCGGTGTCATCGAACTACCTGACGTCGCGGGCGGCGCGCGGCGGGGGCGGGGGCGGGGGCGCGGGCGGGGCCGGGGCGGGGGGCGGTGGCGGGGGCGGGGGCGGCGCGCGCGCGGAGGCGCACAGCCACAGCACGCAGGCGTCGCCGACGGGCACGCTGCGGCCGCGGCGCGCGCGCGCACGCTCCGCCGACGAGTCGTGGAAGAACGCGCTCTCGCCCAGGGAGAGCTACGACGACTGGGTCATACACGCCGACGAGATACTCATCGGACCCAGAATAGGTGACGTCATCGTCGGCAACTTTTTTATGTCCCCCCCTGCTCGGGCATACCTTGTGGACGGTTAAGGAGAGCGGGCCGTGACCCTCCACGCTGGCCAGATACGGATTTTAGGGGGTGTTAACGTCCTGCTAATGCAGCCGAGACCGTCGGTTTAGCGGGCTTTGCGAAGCACGGAGGAGCTCGGGATAGTAATTTTTTGGTCACCCATCCCGTGACCGACCGTTGCGAAAGTTGCTTAACGACAGCGATCGCCAGCCGCGGCGCTTATCCACTGCGCCACCGAACTATACTAGGATAGGTGACGTACCTGTCGGGAATTACGATTCAGCAATAGGTACTCCGATATCCCGCATCGCTGCCGCTTTCCAGTCCTGTCTGTTGTGGTATCACAGAGACAGAAATGACTCCACGAATCTGAATAGTCGACGAAGAAAATCTTAACGTTTCCAGATATGTAATTTAAAAAATAACACCGCCGCCTAGAGTGGTCCTCGAAAGTGCCTTTTTCGCTAACGTTTTGCCTCTTAAACGGACAACCCCCTGGATATTTTATTTTGTTCGTATACAATTCTCTAATGTAGGCTGACCGAAGCATCCTACTAGTGATTTCCTAGCCGAATAGAAAGTTTCTGTATTGTCTCGGGTCTGGGTGTAAATAATAACTCCTCTAAATAACTACTCCTTCTTGTAAATAATAATTTCTCAACAGGTGTTAAATAGTTTAAAAGAGCTACCCTAAAAAGAGGTTTTTTGCTCTCCTGTAAAATTTAGTCCAAAACAGTTACTAGGTTTTGAACTGAGACAGCCGAGGGTGCCGGGGATCAAGTAAATTTGTGATTTTTTTCATTAAGAATTTAATAATCCTTCAATGTGTGTGGTAGGTTATGTTTTTAGATATTGTTTTTGCTTGTTGCTCCCATACGACGCTTACGGTTGAAAGACAGTAACATTCTGGATGTTTCTGCCCTTCCCTAATAAATCGGAATATATAATGTTCATAATTTGTTTAAATTATTCAAATATTTTATTTGTTGTTATAAGTAAGTTTCCAATTCAAGTGTTGTGAGCAATCTGTGATTGTGAACAGGTTCCGGCAGTTTCGGGACAGTGTATAAAGCGCACTGGCACGGGCCCGTCGCTGTCAAAACGCTCAACGTTAAAACGCCGACGCCTGCGCAACTACAAGCGTTCAAGAATGAGGTGAGTTTACACATCAAGGTGTATTATCTATGACTTATTATTATTATTCACCTAATATTAAAAAAAGAAACATTATATGTTTTTTTTTTCTTTTACATCCTTCAAGTATTATTATTTTTCTTCTTGATATGCCACTCCTATTGGAGGTTGGATAGCGTCATGGTTATGTTTATTTTAGAGGCTGCTACTCGGAATAGGGATGTGGCTCTCCGCTCTAAATTATAGAGAAATGCTGTCATTCTTCCAGCACAGCGTTTCCCTGTAATTTTATTATAACAAAATATTTTATTTTGATGAATGTACGGATTATAACGAATTGTACTACATTGCACTAACAGAACAAACACATCATGTGTGAATTGTTCTAGTTATTTAAAACCCAATATAATTCAATTAAAAGGAAATTTGAATTTATTATTAAATTGGGTCAATTTGAAACTCGTGCAGAATTTTAGACCGATGAAGCTCGAATAACTTTTACTGGAAATTGATCTTTATGCCCGTCGTGATTGAACTTGTTTTATGGACTTGTCGATAATCAGGTGGCGGTCCTCCGTAAGACTCGGCACTGCAACATACTACTGTTCATGGGCTGCGTCTCCAAGCCGTCCCTGGCGATAGTGACGCAGTGGTGCGAGGGCTCCTCCCTGTACCAGCACCTGCACGTGCTCGAGACGCCCTTCCCGATGCTGTACCTCATCGACGTCGCGCGGCAGACCGCCCAGGGGATGGACTATTTGCACGCCAAGAACATTATACACAGGTCAGATTTTACAATACGGGTGTGCACACCCATTTAAAGAAAATAAATACATATTGTAGCAGTTCAAATTGAAAACACAATCGAGTTCAGAATATAATCACTTTACTAGACAGTTAAGTTAAAATTAAAAGTTTATGATGGAAACACGGTTAGTAATAATATTGTTATATAATTCATAATCCGACTTCATTTATCCCAAAATAATCCAACTACAAAATTCACACTTCAACTTCTGTATTTCACGTCACTAATAACACTTCACAACACTATTAGATCGTTCACCGCTCTAGTTATCGCTTCGAGTTTCGGTTCCGATCGCTTCGTTCACTGAAGAATGCCGGATCGGGTAGTCCACTGCGTATTTATAGGGGCCTACACCACATCTAGAATGTTCTAGGTTAGGACCTAGAATTCTAGGTGTTTCCGCGGCTCTACCGGGGTATTCGAGACATTACCAAAAAGTTCTAGAACAGCTACCCGTCCCTTTCTTCCCCAGCGACTGGCCCTATCTCGCCGACCCGAAGTATACGTATATTCTATATAACTGAATTGCTAAGATACAGGGGATGAATATTATTTTATTATATGTATTATGTCTGTCTTCTATTTACATCTCAATAATAAAAATATCAGACCAAACCAATGCAGAGTAATGCCACTTATGTTATAATTATTGATTTTATATTTTCCCTTCCTGCAGGGACCTAAAGTCGAACAACATTTTCTTGCGGGACGACTGGTCTGTCAAAATAGGAGACTTCGGTTTGGCGACCGCCAAAGTACGATGGTCGGGTGAGTATTCATAATATATTTAACTCTAGCAGAAATAGAAATTAGAGTTCAATAGACATTCTACAAATTTTCAGCATATATAAATAACATAATCTCATCTTCATATTGGAGATAGACTTTGGTATTTGTTTATGTATAATTTTATAACTTATAGTCCAACTTCCAACCAACCATTTAATATCTTTTTGACAGTTATTCTAAAACGTAACTGTTCAGTGATTCGTAAAAATAAACCTTACAATTCGTGATATTACAAATATTAAAAGTATTTAATTATATGTCCTTACTTGTTCTCCAATACAAACTGTAAAATCCCTTAACTGTCTCGTTTCTTTTTAAATATGAAAATTCATTTGCTTAAACAGTTACATGGCAATTAGTGGTGGAAACGAAAGTATTTGCTGCAAATTGATTAATCGAAAGAAATCGTTTAGAAAAAATAATTACAGTTTTGATTACTAATCAATTTGTGGGGCAATTTTATTATCTAGAAACATTGATTAGGCAGGCCACGATTTTTTTAAAGTGACTAAGTAAAAGTGATATTAAACTTGGAGAAAGGCTTAGCAAAAGAGGTGGGAAAAGAAATAAGTCATGCTCAAAAGTCCAAACAGCCAGAGCCATAATACCTTAATACAAAAAAAAAATAGTCCGCGACGCCATTTTATTATCTGTCTGTCACTCGCAACGAGACTCCCGCGCTAGCACTACGTATCCGTTCACTGTGTTTACATTAGCATTTTTCTAACGTCGAATTGAGTGTATTTATATTCCTCCGTATTAAATTGCGGATACTTACGTAGTACGTACCCCGTAAGCTTTATACTTGCAAGATGCCGAAAGGTAAAGTGCTTAAAGGACAATCGAGAGAGTTTGTGTTGCGGCTTCGTGACTCTTTTGAAAAAGAAAGTCATAATGGTGGACCTCTTATACCAGTAACGCATGTCGGATACCGTGTTGCAGCAGCTTTAGGTATTTGCGTTACAACAGTGACAAATATAACTAAAGCAGGCTACGGCAGTTGTGGCATGGCAGAGAACAAACTTTCTACACCAAAGAAAAAACGCCAACCTTTTAAAGTGACAGCAGGTGACAGTTTTGACGCTGATGCTATTCGTCGTCATGTATACAATAATTATGTACGAAAAGATATACCAACTTTTAAAAAACTGGTTCAATCTCTACGCGATAGTGGTTTGTTCCATGGTCAAAAATCTTCTTTGACGAAGATGTTGAATCGAATTGGTTTTCATTTTAAAAAATGTAATAAAAGGAAATTTTGATGTAACGCCGTGAAATTGCTTTGGCTCGATGCGATTTTTTCAGACAAGCAAAGAAAATAGAAGATTTGTCAAATGTTGTATTTACAGACGAAACTTGGCTCAATGCGAATCATTCGCTGGCAAGAAGTTTAACTGACGACACTGCTGCTTCCATGTCCGCAGTGCCAATGGGAAAAGGTGAACGCTTCATTATTTGCCATGCAGGAACAGCAAGAGAATTTGTGCCAGACGCTCTGTTAGCTTTTAAGTTTCCAAAAAAACAGGGGACTATCATGAGGAGATGAATGCGGAAGTGGTATGAAAAGTGGTGCCAAGAGATGCTTTTATCTCTCCCAGAACCGACGATAATATTTATTGACAACGCATCTTACCACTCTCGTCAAATTAATAAAATGCCAACGCAGACCAACAGAAAACACGAGATCATAAACTGGCTTCGTGACAATGGGAAGGATGTGGACGAGTCTCTACTAAAAATAGAATTTATGGAAATATTAAAATCAAAAAAGCGGCCGAAACGATATGTTATCGACGAAATGGCAACAGAACATGGGCATATCGTACTAAAAAATCCCCCATACCACTGTGAACACAAAGCCATTGAGCTCATTTGGGCACAAATAAAAGGACACGCCGCCGCTAGAAATAATACTACTGCTTCTTTCACTGCAAACAAAATGTTAGATTTGTTAAAACATGCGTGTGCTAATGTGACGCCTGAAAACTGGGCAAGCGTCGTTGAAAAAACGAAAAGAGAAATATTTTCAGATTGGGATCGTGATGTTGCATTCGAAAATTGTTGTACTAGATAATTCGTCATTAATGTCAGTGATGATTCCAGTGACGATTCTAGTTCATCTGAAGAAGAATCAGACGACTTAACGTAATAAATTTATATTAAAATAAATAACTTGTTTTATTCCATGTACCTATAGATGAAAGCATATTAATGTCCAAAGGCGTTATATAAAGTGACTTTAATTTACGTGGTGTTTTCTAAAAAAAGTTTTTTTTTTAGAAAAAAAAAACGTAATCTTATGTATACTTAAATAACATATCAATTAAAACTTCATTAATAAAATCGATTACTAAGATAAATCGAATTGGTAATGCATTAGTACATCACTATTTGATCAGTACTCGAATTGTCAAAAAGATATTAAATGGTTGGAAAGATTATAGTTTAGTTTGACATGTTGTTTTAGACGCGATACGTATAATATTAAGAATATACATCAATTAATGAAATAGACAATGTTGCGCTAGTTAACAAGCCTTGCTTAACACACCTCGATTTCGATCGAACCCTTAAACGTGCCGACCCATACAGATTTGGATGTGTCGGAAACTTGTTTCATTATTCAATCACTCTTCATGTACAAGATTTTCCTTAGAAACGAATATACAGGTTTCTGTTATAGTTCCGAAAAATATAAACCATTTTGATTTATTAATTTTATCACTCATTTGGAAAATGTTACTTGAATATTATTTTTTTTTCTGAAAACTTGAATATTATGGGGAAAATAACTTCAAAAAATTTGCTAATATACTTATGATATTAAATTAGTTACATAAAATGCAACAACTTTAATTTTAAACAACTTAACAGTGAGGCTCAAATAAAAAAAATAGGGAGTTTTCAGTCGACTAGCAGCAATTCAACAAACAGCATCGTATCTCCGGAATTTTAAATCACTTATACTATTGCTCGTATAATAATGGGCTATTTATTCATAAAATAAAAAGAAAACTTATAAATCGTATTAGTATATGTCCATTAGATTGATTTTGTTCATTGAAGGTTATCTCGTATATATGTATAAGACAAATTGAATGTTCTATACAAAATTTTGCAATCGAGAAATGATGTATGTAACAGACACGTCTGTGGCGGGCGGCGTGCAGTGGCAGCAGCCGACGGGGTCCATCCTGTGGATGGCGCCGGAGGTGATCCGTATGGACGAGCCCGCGCCCTACACCTACCGGTCCGACGTGTACGCGTACGGGATAGTGCTGTACGAGCTGATGGCCGGCGAGCTGCCCTACACCCACCTCAACAACAAGGACCAGGTGATGTATATATATATACCCTACACCTACCGGTCCGACGTGTACGCGTACGGGATAGTGCTGTACGAGCTGATGGCCGGCGAGCTGCCCTACACCCACCTCAACAACAAGGACCAGGTGATGTATATATATATATATATATATACCCTAAACCTACCGGTCCGACGTGTACGCGTACGGGATAGTGCTGTACGAGCTGATGGCCGGCGAGCTGCCCTACACCCACCTCAACAACAAGGACCAGGTGATGTATATATATATATATATATATACCCTAAACCTACCGGTCCGACGTGTACGCGTACGGGATAGTGCTGTACGAGCTGATGGCCGGCGAGCTGCCCTACACCCACCTCAACAACAAGGACCAGGTGATGTATATATATATATATATATATACCCTACACCTACCAACGTGTACGCGTTAGGAATAAGCTAAGTTTGAATGGTAGCAGCACTTGTGACTCGACTCTATCAATTCATACACTAATCGTTACAAGAATTTGTGGTATAAATGTCACCAGTGAGTGAGATTGCGTATACGCATCGGTTCTGAGGTGACAGAGGTCTAGTAAGCTGGGCGTTGATCGGTAAGTTCCGTAAGCTCGTGTTTGACCTCTGCTGCGATAAGCTCTCAGACAAGTAGTTGTCCTTTGTTTGTTATGCAAAAATATTATTTTGTCCGGAACAACATCGCGACCTTTCTTTTATTATTATCTGTGTTTATTATAACTTAACTAAATCACTCTGTAAGTTTGCACTGTATGTCTTCTAGTAAAGTCTGCGCTCATATTACGTACATATATTGACTGAACACTACAGAAGTTCGAGGGCAGGGAATATTAAATCGGCACGTTCGTTTCAGATCCTGTGGATGGTTGGTCGCGGCGTGTTGCGACCAGACGCGCGTCGACTGCGACAGGACGCGCCGCAAGCCCTCAAGCGGCTCTACCAGGACTGCGTGCAGTTCCACCGCGACCAGCGGCCGCTGTTCCGGCAGATACTCGCCTCGCTCGAGTCCATGCTCAGGGCCATGCCCAAGATCACCAGGTAACACTGACATATACATCACCAGCCCCCCTTAATCTGTTAACATAAATTGTTCGCAGAGCTCTGTGGGCAAGCGAATAAGTGATTATGACACATTGTAATTGTTCACCTTCTACTGTGATTACGACTTTAAGCCGGTAATACTACCACAACTGCGTGCGATACCATCGGGTTCTAGTGGATGTAAAATCTCCTTCCGGTTATACTGGGGAATTAAAGTATTATTTACCTGGAGATCATCTTCAAGTGTGTCAGGTGAAAACTTGCGAAAGAAAATTGTTTACATCTGTAAACATTAATTTATTAGAGGTATTGTCTCCAATCAATAGTATCTGGCAGAAGGTTTCTCTGACAAAGAAAGAAAGAAATCTGACAAACAAAATCATTGTATGTTTTAAACAGAAAGGGACCCAGAATGGGCCCTTGAGGAACTTCCTTTTATATAATGACTGGTATGCAAAAAATATTTTCTATTTCAAAATAATCTTTATTAGTTTACTATAGTCATCTATATCTTTTTATAACATCTAATTCTATATAGGGTAAACCGTATAGCTATTGTCCACTTAAGGACTTCAAACACTTTGGCTTCAAACAATAAAAAAAGTATTATAATTTTCAACCATTTATTATTTTTTTCTTATATCTAAATAAAATCTCTATCAAAGTGTTAACGGTTTTTAGTCAAAACTTACATGGCTTAGAAAATAATTAAACAAATTTAAAATTATCTAAGAATGTACAGTTATTGCCCATTGCTTACACTAATTGCCCACATCACAGCACAGTAATTGCCCAGTACCTTAAAATGATAAATTAGACTTTGAACTTTAATAAAACAATCAAAACAAAACGTTAAACTTAAATCTACTACAAAATCTTAAAATATATTGCGTTGGGCTTTATTAACCATATCAAACATTTCTTTCGCTGATGTTGATGAGTCAGAATCGTCACAATTAGAATCATCTACTTCAAAACAACGATGACACAAAAATAAATGTAAATCGGAGTAGTCTGGTATATGTTCCTTATGTTTTGGTGGGATGCAACGCACATGAAAGATTTTTGAACAGGCACTGCATGTCAATTCATTTTTTATCACGTTGAAATGACAAACTCCACAAGTAGGCTTTGGCAGAATGTTACTACAAGAAGGTTGTATTAAAAGATTACTTAGAATAGTTATCTTTTTATTTGCTGACATTTCTTTACTTTTTATGCCTATTTCTTTTTCTATCTTCTTTGGTGCTCAAAAGGTTCAATCAGTTGTTGGCTATTATCCTCTAAACTCGTATCTATTTCCTAAGATTTAACAGTCTCACTAACTTTTTTTTAGACTTTTTGTTTGCATTTTCAGTCTTTTTCTTTCTTTGATCAATTTTTCTCTTCTTTTACTTTCAACAGATTTTCTTTTTCTTTTTGCTTCATATGTAACGCTGCTTTTTGTCAATATAATTGCGTGTGTGTGGCAAAAATATTGACAATATTACATAGTGAAAAAAATATTGACAATATTATTGCGCGTGTGCAAGCCATTAAGCTAATAAATGTGACGGCAACATTACTTACTTAATCAAAAAATTGCCGATAATGATTGCCCTGGGCAATAACTATAGATATTAACCATGGCAATCACTAAAATTACGGTGGGCAATAACTAAAAATATGCCGAAATACGTACAGCGATTGCCCACCGTTAAAAAACCGTTGAATCTAATCTGATTTCAAATATTTTCATTAAAAACATAACATAACACTTATGATTTCGTCATAACCATACACCAATAATGAAATATCAAATAAAATGCAAAAAAAAATGAACCTCTAAGCAAGTAATTCCTTAAGAAAATTGCTAAAATGCTTACCTGTTTGAGTAACACGTTCACCCGTCTTGACAAAATCCGCCATTACTGTTTTTTTTTCTTCAGTGTTGCCACTTGTCAATTTTAAAATCTATTATAAATTGACCATAGAGTAACCTAGTAAATTATATTCGAAACAAGTGAGAACACAACCTTTGATTCAGATTTTTTTTCTAAAAACGGGCAATCACTGCCTGTGGGCAATTACTCTCTGGTTTACCCTATCAAAAATATATATTTTCTTATACTGTTGGACGAAACATATAATTTGTTAATGTTAATAAAAAATATTATGCTTATAGTAATAGAACACTGGGAGTCCTAACTATATAGGATTCTGTTTGCATTGGTATACGGGGAGTCATTTTCACTAATCGTTAGGACTCACAATTTTGATAATGCATACCGTAAAAGTGACCATTATTGTTTGTATAACAACCACCTTATTGACCAATGACTATGAAGCCTAACCGTATGTGTCCAAGACAGAGCTTATTTTTGTTAATATTCTATTATACTCTTACTTTATCTATGCTTTGCTCTGATCTATTCATGTCATTGCTGCCTTTTTACCGTTCGAATCTATGCTTTCGTTTTCTGTTGAATTTTTTTTATAATATATTTCCTATCTCTTTCCCAATCTTTCTTCTTTTGCTGTCCTCATTATTGTTGCTGAATTCACAATAAAAGACTTCGTAGGACCACAATGTTGAGCACAGCAAAGGAAGCGGCAGTTTGGGAATAAAAGAGGAAATATATTTATAAAAAAAATGGATAGATCGAAGCATAGATAAAGTAGGAGTATAATAGAATATGAACAAAAAAGTCTGTTTCTGTCTCAAAAAAAATAAAAAAAATAATCGTATATAGTCCCACTCACTGAGTACGTCGCGCGATCCCTGTCTCAGCGATTTCTTTTGCAACATTGCAGTTGCAATGCTGCAAAAGCACTGATATTCTGATGGCGCCCGATAAATAGTGTCTTCCGTATACACATATGATCAAATCAAATCAAATCCATTTTATTTGGCACAATATAAAATAATAACATTTATCAAGCGATGCGTGTCCCACAGTTGTACCAAAAAGGTGTCTAGCTCAGCATATGCCGATCTCTTTTACTTCTTAAAAGTAAAAAGAGACCGACGCTGATTTTCAGCTAGACCCCGTTTGAATCTGTCACACGGATGCAAGGACGGTCATGTATAATCTATATTGATATATATACACATAAATACACATAACTATAATAAAGTTAATAAGGTGCACATTCCCCTGTCCTGATTAGTCAAAATATTGTCCGTCACATCAACCAATGCTGTCGTGGTACTACGGCCTCTCCTAAAGCCCGATTGCAGAGTCGGTAAAATACTGTTTGCCTCTAGATACTCAGTTAGTTGCACACAAACTACTCTTTCGAGAACCTTGGAAAGACACGGTAAGATGCTGATAGGTCGAAGGTCCTTCAGTCCGTCTGGGTTGGAATTTTTTCGGCGAATATGAATGTTTATTATGTTTGTTTACAGATCAGCGTCGGAGCCGAACGTGAACCGACAGTTGCACGCGTCCGACGACTACCTGACGTACACGTGCGCGTCGCCCAAGACGCCCGTCAACTTTCAGTTCAATACAGACACTAGCTTCCCGGCGTTTTACGGGTAAGTTATGAGAAAAAAAAAATCTAACAAAAAAACATTCTTCAGCTCCTTTGACACTAAGTTGTTTAAGTTAAACAATCAATCAATATATAGAAAAAGTTTTTACATTAATTCTTATTTCTTAACCTTGGTTGTGAGCAGCAAATTCGAAAATTCAGTTTGATATTTATAGTTTGCCTTTTAAGTAATAAGCTCGAAGTGAGGGCGGGGGGGATTTGGTGGGCAGATTATTTTATACTCGTTGTCACGTGACTGCAAACAGCACATGATTTCACGACCCCCTCTACTTATATCAGAACTTAGAGAATTGAACCTTATTCATATATAGAACAATATTAGTTTAATATGGGTGTGACGTCATAGCGACGCTATGACAAAAGATGGCGTTTTCGGGGGAAATTTTTAAAATTAATTAATACATGGTTATGGGTCATTAGATCGAATCCTTTTAAGGGGTCGTAGGGGACGTACAATGTGGGGTGAAAATAATTAAATTACCTTCCCTACGACCCCTTAAAAGGATCCTGTCTAATTACCCATAACCCTGTATATATTAAAGAAAGTCGTCTACACCCCTATTTAGTATATAAGATAAAATATCATGTTATTTGTTTATATTACCACAGAATACCGGTGCCAAACCAGAGGCATCCATAGAGTTTGGGGTAGGGCTACCGACTAGCCTCTTGACCTCGTCACGCTTACGTCACAGCTTCGTTATTACATCGGCGCCGTCTCGTTCGCGGAACGTGTTTACGTCATCATTGCGATTTCTTCATAATTGCATCTCGCGGCCGCTTCAACACTGCGTTTCTGCTTCCGTATCCGATCGCTCCTGACTGTGTGTTCGATATAGTGCAATACTTGAACGAATTCCAACGTCTCGTATACTGCCATTATCAAACTTTGCACCTCATTTTGATCAGCAGGTTTGTTACGGTATTTTACATTTAGATGTAGCATAAAATGCCGTAAATCACGGGCTCATTACGGCATTTTACTTGATGTCGTGTACGTTACGGCAATTTACACTAGACGCAGTGTAAAATGTAGCATCGAACACGTTTTTTCTTCCATCTGATCAAAATACGAAGTTTGACATTCAATGTCACTGATAAAATAGTGCTCGAACACACATCGATCGAATCATAATAAGAAATAATTTCAATTTCCTATTCCTGTTTTTGTAATTGAGTTTTTCTATTTTCAAAAGTGGGGGTAACCAAATGCTTTCTACGTTTTCGTGAGAATTATAATATGTTTTGTTGATGTAACGCTGCATATCCTTGGCTTTCTTCAAATGAAGATGACTGAATTAAAGGTGATCCTAAACTGCTTATTATTTTAGTAAATTTATTGAGTCACTTATTGCAGTGACGTGATTTTTATTATAAATTGACAAAATAAATATTTAATTGAGGCTTTGTATTCTAATCTAAGTTTGGCTGTCTCCTTAGAATCGAGTTGCGAACGATCGTTATTTTAACGTTAAATCTATTTCTTAAAGTTTGTTTCTTGTTGTATTGGAATAGAATGCAAAGTCGCTTGTATTTATTTGACAAGTACGATAATTGCACCATACAGATTGTATGTGTCTCCAAGTATTATTTATTTTGACTGCAAGTGATCGCATTGTAATGCGGCACCCATAGAAATGGAATGTATTCATAATAATTATTGTAAATAATTAATTGTAATTAAACTTGTAGCTTAATGTCTGACGGTAAGGATCTTGTGTATACAGTATGATTAATTTTAACGCATAAATATTGACTTTAAGGAACACAATAAATTATTGTTTCAATTTTGACTTTTATTATTCGTATATATGCTATAAATTCCTTTTTCTCTTTTGTTTGATCAACTTTACTATTAATTGCTGATCTAGAAGAAAAAGGACACTTGGTTGATCCGTTTATGTGATCTAGTTAAAAGCTGAAACAACCTATGTGAGATAAAGGCTGGCACACTATCCTTTGATTAAAGAGATGTGAGAAGATAATGTAAACTATCTATGTCATGTGTCATTTTGCAAAAAGAGTAGATTTTGGGTTTGATGTATGTACGCCAGTCCAAGATGGGAGTCTTTTTAATCCACTATTATTTTTTAATTTCAGCTGTACACTACTATAAAAGGCCATTTCTGCAATTTTGAACTCAAATGTCAACAGATTCCAAAGTTTGAATAGTTTGGAAATATTTTTTGTTGTAACCTGTTTTTGTGGACTCAACAGTTTCATTGCACTTAAATAAAAAGCTTTAACATAAATTCAACAATGGTTTTAATCCCATATTCACATCTATACACACAATTGTCATAAAACAGTACTAAACATAAAATCAATCACGATTATTTAGCATTTCATCATCAATATTTTATTTAGTCGCAGATTTAATGTTGTCACAAATTTTACATAAGTGCTTCTACAGAGTGCATTTATACCAATCACTGATATAAACTGAATACAAAACTAAGTAATACAAGACCAACTAAACTAATGAAAAAATAAGAAAACTACAATAATTTCAGTAGCAATTTGATAGTAATTTTTATAAAAAAATATATATAAATATGCAAGTCACTTAACCGCGACGTCTAATGATGTAAATTAGAATGTTCGTAATTGTTTTCTAATCTAATCAATTGAAATAGTTTTTAACATTTATGTCGCGTAATACTTTATTTTGATCTCGCTCCTTTTAGGTTTGATATTTCTTTACCATTTGAAACTTCCATCTGATAAACCATTACTTGTTTAATGAAATGAACATTCTCGCAGATAAAATGTCAAAAATTTGTGCAAATGAAACATGGAAAGTTTGTGTGAGTGAAACGTGACTGTCAACGAAACGTGTAGAATGTTAAGTTTCAATCTGTAATATTTCCGTTCCAACTCTAAAGAAGATTTCGAGGTGTTCTATTTCCACAAAATTAACGGTTTATTTGCAAAAGAACCAAAAAAATAATATTACTTTTAGAAAATAATTTAATCTTTTTTTTTGTAATATGATATTGAAACATCAGCCCTAAGGTTAATGCTATAAGAACTAAATCTAATTTGAAAACAAATTAATCACTTCTTACGCTTCGTCTTCAAACGTCGTTTACAATAACCTGTATAACAACATAATGAGTGTTGGAATATGAAATGATGTTACACACCTACCTACATACTATGTAAAGACATTGGTTAAGTTTAGTAATCTTTTGTGCATATCGACATTGTTAACTGGAGAAATCTTGTTTATTTTTTAAATTGTATTAAAATTAAAAAAAAAATAATATGTAGATACCGTGTCATAAATCATAATATATATTGAAATATTATCATTTACCATTTCACTTAACAGACAAACAATAAAAATGTATTGCTTAATTTATCAGGAGCAAGAATTTAATTCAGGGCAGAAGTATATCTTTATTTCATTTAGAGGAGTTAATACAAAAAATAATTAGAACTAGAGATGGGGTTTGAATTCAATTAGTTAAAATAAACTTCTTTACAACTTTGAAATTATGATACAATAATGATCAACATAATTAATGACCGTAACAGACCGAGAGCCATCACATATACTCTGAATTCAGTTTCTTTAGGATTCGAGATATCAAATGTATACATATAAATCTATGAACCTATATTCTTAGTAAGATATAGCAACAGTTCATCAGAAAATCGTCGTCCATATTAGACGACAAAATATCTTGATAGCTAGCATCATTCAACTGAACTTTGTTATTCCGAATTGAAATAAAACATATGTGTGTACAAACATAGTCAACAGCGTGTCAGGTTATTCAAGTATGTAAAATTTCTGTACTTGACTTTAAACCTCAACATTTTGTTTTAGGTAGAGTTAAATATTAATTGGAGTCATTTGAACATATTCCGAAAGTCTGATATGCAACCGTGTATACGGATGGATTGGATTCGAATATGAATTTTGACTATATGTGGTCGCTTAAGTATTAATATTATTGCAAAACCATAACATACAAAGGTGACAATTGTATAAATATGTAGATCATTATGGACCTTGTTGGGTATACAATAAGGTATGAGGATGTATGCTGCGGGTGTTAAACAAATCAGGTTGTACTCACTCAACCCATCCACACACAAGCCATACTCTTTCTAGTTAATTATACATACTATAATTATTCATTAGAGTTCTCACTGTCTCCTTCGTTCTCGCTGTCGACGCTTGTCTTCCTTTTTTTCTTCTTCTTACGGATCTCAAATTTGGACACATGGATTTTCTTGCCCCCAATCTTTGAGTCTTGACCCAGTTTTAATGCCTTTTCTAATGCCTCTGGGCCATCAAATTCTATGAAAGCTGTAGCTGTAAATTAAAACACTGTATTGAGAACATATTTCTTTTTTTAATATAGCATTGTGAAAGCAAAATTTTACGCATATAATAATAAGAACAAATTTCAGTTTAAAATATTCGTAAACATAATTCTTTTGTCTGTTTGGGTGGATTGTTTGAACATTGATGGAAATACGCTCTGTAGTAGTGAAAAAGTAACAAGTGCTTGAAAAATTTGTCAGTCCTGTTAGGTCCTGGGTAGCTCTATTGTTAGAGCAGTCGCCCGGATTGAGAAAGGTCGAGGGTTCGAGTCCCATCTCAGAGTAGCTGAGGTGGATTTTTTAAGCATTTTTAATTAGGAATATTTTTCAATATAATGCTATATAATGTGATTCATGCAAAATTGATCAAATATAATAATATAAATAAAATTAAGAAAAAAGTAAATAAATGATATTTTCTATAAGAAAGAAAAGACATGAACATTTTTCATTAAAATTTGTCTATAGTTAAATGACGTTTCTGAGTGTAGCATTTAGCTAAAGTAGTTTTACCAATGGCCTTCTTTCCTTTGATGAGTTGCCGGATGTTCCTGATCCTACCAGCAGATAGAAAGGTGGTACTGAGAGCTTGTTCAGTGAGCTCTGCGTAGCTGCGCACCACCAGGGTGGTCTGAGTGGGTGGTAGCTGCTGACGGACACGGATGCGACTGCCTTCAATGGTTGTGTTATCTTCTTCTAATGCCTGTCATAATTGATGATTTATAAGATATATTTAGGAAATAAAGTGTTCCTTAGTCATTTTATACTGAAATAAGATATTTTTTTTTGGAAAAATATAAAGATTTTCCACTATTAATACCCATTTTGGTTTTGCGGGTTACTACGTGTTTGCTTTCCAGCGTCTATATATAGCAATCCTACTTTAAAAAGTTAATAGTTAGGTGCACAAGAGTGGTCAACCTATTCAGAGTATTGATAGAGATTATTTTTGAATGGTGCTTTTGCTAATATTTTGTCAAGTATTCACAAAATTGATAAGAGTCCCCAGCTCTTTTTAGAAGACCTGTAGAAGAAGGTCTTCTAAAAAGAGCTGAATCTGTAGATCGCCTATATACATTTCTAGTACACCAGATACATAAAAATTTATTAATTTCTATTATAAGTAATATTACCATTATTATTCTTAGAATAGCAAAGCAATGTTATTGTCCATTAAAATTCTGTGAAAATGATGTGCTCTGAAAAATATTATAAATTAACTCAGAAATGTAGGTTCCAGTGTCACCTGAAGGAAGTATTGAATGGGGTAAGATTCGATGTTGTTACTAGTCTGCAGTTATCAATTAAGTAGGATCACACCATACCTTGGTAGCAGCTCCATCAGAATAGAAGTTTATAGTGGTGGTAAACACTGGTTTGGACACTTCTGTTGAGTAGACTTCTGCTATACTGTAAGGAAATGCAATGTCATCATCAGCTTATTAACGTCCCACTGCTGGAGCATCAATAGATCATTCCTATGGATGGAATAGAATAGAGAGCATGGGCAACGAATCACCTTGTGGACCCAATATGGATCAGTATGTGTTAACAAATGCAGAAGCCAGAACCAATGCTTTAACATGCCTCAAGCAGGGAGATGATACTTTTATGTCACCAAGATGTATATATTATAATTCTAATATGGACCTTATCCAAGTTGTAGTTTTTACTTTATTTCACAGCAGCTCCGTTATTCTAATAAGATTTGAATATCGAGTTGAAAAAAATTTAGTTTATTGTTGAAAATTATAATATGGACTTAATATTTTATTTAGATAATCATTTTGCAAAAAATAATAGCAGTACACACCCAATTTTCTTGATAATCCCATGCTTTCCAAAGTGGTCAGATATAATTTTTTTATAAACACACATGATAGATAAGGGCAAATTGTCAACAATTACTGATGTTGCAGTTTCATCAACTTCCCCTTTTTTATCCTTATTCCATTTCCTTTTCCTCCATTTCACTTTTTCTTCATTCTCATCAATTTTCTCCAAGTCAGCATTTTCACTACTGGAAGTGCTAGCCGTATGATTTTTATCCTTTTTAATTTTACGTTTATTCCTTTTCCTTTTATCTTTCCCAGCAACTGTCATCTCGTCCAACATATTGGTTATTGAATGTGCGTTGTCACCAATACTAAGGTTTTCTAAATTTGCTACTATTCCTTCAGGTTTAACATTATTTTTACTGGATTTAGTATTTGGTTCACCATCACCTTCAGTGCCTAGATTTTGTGTCAGTTTCGCTTTTTTCTTTTTCAATTTCTTACATTTATTTTCAATATTCTCTTCATTGTTGTTACTTTCTGTTCCAGTCTCTGAAGTTTCATCAGAATTTTGTTTTTTAATTTTCTTAAGTTTCCTCTTTTTAATAAGGTTTACTTTTTTTTCATCACCAATAATATCTCTAGCAATATCATTTAACTGTATATTTGAATTTTCTTCCTCTTTACCTTTTTTAAGCTTGCCTTGATTGCCTATTTCCATATTAACATTAACATTGTTTTCTTTTTCTGATAAATCAGGTTTAAGCTTTTTTAATTTCTTTATCTTTTGTTTGGGTACATCTGTCTTTGGGGTGCTTGGTTTCTTTTCAATAGAGTCATTAGACTTTGTTTTCTTAACTACAACATCTTCAGTGTCCTCTAGCATGAAGCTAACCGATTTGTTCCGTTTTTTAGGCTTTATAGGAGAACTGACATACTGAGTGTCGTCTGTAATGTCCTCACCCTGACCAGATGAATTTTTCATTATGGATTTAACTTTGGCCCCTTGATTATTACGAGATCCTTGTGGCGTAGAAGTAACTTTGGACTCATTTAATATATCTTTCTTCGATATATTGGGGTTTGAAATGGGTCCTTCGATGTCAATCAGAGATATGTCAAGTGGTTCCAGTTTGTTTTTATTTGGTGAACGTTTAGAATTGCTTTTGTTCTTTAATGTTTGTTTATTATCTACATTCGAGCTTTCATTAGTTTTACTATTTTCTAACACTGTACTTGTTTCAGCAGCCGTTCTGTAATAATGAGCAAAATCGTCTGTTTTATTTAGTTTTTGCTCGGGTTTCTTTTGTTTCAAATTGAACGATTTTGACTTCATTTTGGTTTTAATCTGAAAAAACCGGCCGATAAGACAGTTTTGAAACTAGAAAAACATTTTCTCGAGAAACTCTTTAGTCTTTTTAAAATGTGGCCCTTTTTGAGGTTACTTTAGTAATTGGTTGGCAAAGATTACAATATTATACTGTTGGTTGGTTAGTTTCATTCACGCACAAACTACATAGGTCTATTCACGTCACGTCAAATGTCAAATTCACGTTCAGATTCAGATTTAGTCCAGCCCTATGTCAAGCTCAAAAACTTAAAAGCCAGCCCGATGTCAAGCTCAAAACATCAAAATTTCCTCGTCCTACAAATATAAAATGTATTTTGAGTATGGAGAAACCCAGCCCATTCAAAATTTTATCTAAATTCCTAGCAATCGATAGTAGTCTTAATTTATAAATATCTTTTTTTTTTCCTACATACATTCTATTTGTATTATCTTTAACAATGTAATCAGATAGCTCACAGTTTTTTGTTTTTGATTTATCTGCTACCCCTAAATTCAAAATGGACATATTTGATTATTGCTTTTTTCCGTGTAAAGACCACAAACGTGACATTAGCGGAATTGTGTAAAAGCAAATAGGCCATGAATGAAGTATTAAAAAAAACGAAAGCACTAAAAAAGCACCTCCACTAGATGGCGACCCTAGCTCATCCCTAGCTAAAGTTGATTTTTGCAGGAAACGAATGGACCAAAGACAGTCATTTCCGTTCCTTTTAACTATTATAGCATATTAAAAAACCGACATTTGAAGAGTTCGAAACTTAGATATCAATACACATACGAAAAAGTACAAATAGAATATGAGTTGTTAATTGAGTTTTGACTTATTTACTTTTAAACTTGAAAGAAAACCGGAAAGGTTGTCATGGAGAAATCAAGAACGCACCATAGCGACATCTAGTTTGATTTCGGGAAGTATTTTAAAACAAAACATTAGTTATGTTTTGTTTTAAAATACTTTAGCGTTGTGTTACTCACTTTTTTCTAATGAGGATGAGTGAGTACCTCATTTTCCCTCGTGAGGGGCTCGCGAGTTACTCCTCATTTGAGGTGAGGATAGGTAATGTTATAGTAGCAGTGAATGAGTACGTAGCGAGGCGCACGCAACATTGCCGTTTGGTACAAAATGAGGGAGGGAGTCGGTAATGCTAAACAAAACATATTTTGTCTTTAGATTCTAAGAAATCAACTTTATTAGATTATTATTTAACAAAATGACCACAACCCGCAGCTTATTTGCAATAGTGTCAAATGTTCCATTTTTAAAATCGATAAATCATTTATATTTCGAATCATATAAATATATTTCTAAATAAAACCGATACATTTTTATTAACTTTGATTTTTACTTAGACTAATTAATATCATTTATCTATAAAATTTTAAATACGTATTTGCGAAGAAACACATAAACAAACCTGAATCGTTCCAAAAAACTCATAAAACTTAACCCATTCCCTCAATCTTGAATATATTGAGTAAGTATCGAGTCGCCTTTTCATTCGAAACAACTCGCTATTTAGCTCCTCACTCAAAAAGTGAGGAGCTTAATGAGGTGGTTCAAAATTGAAAAACGAGTAGTCCCCATTTTGTCGAAATGAGGAACTCAAACGAGGCACCTCACGAGTGAGGGGCTCATCACTAAAATACTTCCTCATTAAAAAAGATGATGAAGAAGAAGAAGGTTTGTAAGTACAGTTCAAACGTAGGTTTTCAAAAGTTACCTTTTTAGGAGGAGTCCCCAATGACTTGACTGAGAATAATAGCGTTTTAAAACGGCACAAATTTCATGTGGTAGCGCAATGATATTAACTGTGGTAGCGTAACATTATAATACAACAAAGGGCGCGAAGATTTCAAAAATATTATTTCAGAATCTTTAGCATACTTCTTGTTAGGATGAGATAAACATACTTGCATAGTAAAGCATGCTTAACTTGTCAAGTGTTGCGTTTGCAGCCTCGTAAAACATGATGCACAAAAAATGGTCGCATTCAATGACGTTTTATTATTTTTATTAAAATAAAAAAGTTTAAGTGTAGTACTTACAGGAAAAATGATATCTTTTTTGTTTCTCTCATTGTGAATGTGTAAAACACGCAGGAAGATATTTTTATACAACTTTTGATAGAAAATTACAAATGAAAATGACGGTGTTAACGCCTACTGAAACGTGAATTAAGTTTGCCTTGCTTTTTGTTGTTAATGTTGTACGCAGATAACCAATCTGAACTTTTTAAGACATAATTGGTAGTCCCACTTTAAATTTTATAAAAGCTCTTGTTTCATACATTGTTACTAGGAGGTTAATATATAATTTTCTCGATTACGGCCTTGGTTGAAATTTATGGTGGCGATCGACACCAAATATTTATTTATTTAATCGGATTTATCTAAGAATATTTATTTTTTGAGTGATTTATGTTCGAAAATCTTTAATTTCAAGGCTAACAAAAGCATTAATTTTGGATACAGCATAGCACGAACGTCATATTAGTACAGCAGTGTCTATGATCAAAGGGATACAGCCATGGATAGAGCTTATAAAACTTTTATATGGTAACACCTTAACCTCACTTTATAAATGGCGGATGCGCTTGCGTGATGCCGGTTTCGTGTTATTATCGCGTTTAGTTTAGCGTCTATTCTATAATCTTGTGAAACAATTGATTTTCAAGTGTAAATAATATTGCGGTAAGTAAATATTTTAAAATATGCACTACCAAAACCATAACTTCACATATGTGTGTTTATCAACTGTAAAGTCAGTGATGATGAATTTGGTATTTTCCATTCTTACAACGCCATTCTCCATGGCGCCGAAGCTGTGTTTGCGACGTATTTACAGTTATGGCGTTCCATTATTATATAGCGTTGATTTCAGTTTCACTAAAATAACGTTAAATTAAAATTATACACTTAGTAATTGCGATGTTTCGCGCGTACCTAACGGCGTCCTTGAGATCCGTGAATAGGCGCCAAGTGTGTAAATAAGTTTTACTTCGTAAAAATAGCATGGCGGGAAAAGTCCTGATCCACGGACCGTGACTGATCTTTATTGATTGATTGGTAAATTATTTTTAGTGAGTAAAGATGGTTGCGCAAAAAAAAGGCCGTGGCGCTAAGAATCAGGCTACAAAGGCAAAGGCAGCTGCACAGGCAGTAGAAGAGCCAGTGGCGGAGGTCGAAGCTCAAGAGCCTATGGAGGCGGCCGATGAGAACAATGGCGACACCGAGCAGGCTGAGCATACAGACGATGCTGCCGGGGGTGATGCCGCAGCCGGCCAGCAAAGTGAACAAACCTCAGAGAACGCCGACGGGGAAGCTAAACCTGAAGAGAAAAAGGAAGAAAAAGTGGAAACTGGTAAACTACTTGTGGAAAATCTTCCATCAAGCTATCTGTTTGATTACCAAGATAAACTGAAGGAATTGTTCTCGAAGCATGGAGAAGTCCTCAGTGTCAAGTAAGTGTTGATTAGTATTAAAAATAATAATTTTGTTTCTGCAATATTCTGCTTGCTAACATTCAAATATCAGTCCCTGAATGGTCATGATTTGTTATGATTCTATTTAAACTAGTACAGTTATTATGAATTGCATAAATAATTGTTGCATACACATGTTAAACATGTTAAAATTGATATTGATTTTTGTTTAATTTTTGTTGTTGGTGCTGAGAGACGCAAATTGCGCTCTTGGTTCTACACCGACGGGAGCGGAGTATTAATGAGAGAAATTTTTGTTTCTTTTTAGACGTGGTCCAATCATTGTAACTGAACTGACCACAACTCCGACATTATCGGCAATAGTCGAATTCAAAAACAAAGAGTCTCTGGACAAGGTAAACAAAAGTTTATTAACATTTTTACTTCTATTGGAAATGATTTAGTAGATAATTAATTAGTTTAACTATGCCTAGTTTTGGAGTATCAAACGGGCATATGTTTATTTGTTAAGGCTTTGATTTATTCCAAATTCAATTAAATTAAAATTTAAGTATTGCTATACCCTAAAGTCATGTGCAGAATGAGTGACTATTTGAATGTTGAAAAAGGCTGGTCTTCTACCTGTTTCACAATTTTTAGGTTTGGTTTGTTGTTCATGTCTGAATAGTTGATCAAAATTCGTAATTGTATTAAAGTAGGTAGTAGATCAGCCGATGTATACCTCTAATGTCCGTGTTTCCACCATGACCAGTGGTAGCAATTAACAATATTTTCATGAACCTTACTTCCTACCTGTAGCTGTGACCTTTAATATTTCTTTTAGTACCTACTTCAGAAGATAATTTTACTGAAAGGGGGTTCTAAATACCAAATATACTGCAGAGTAGGTAAACAATGCTATGTAATACTTTGCTATGTTGATATAAGTCCATTAATATAATTTCATATTTAAAACTTGTTAATTGCATCCACTTATTTTTGTGTTTGATTTATACACTACATGTATATATGAAATCACTTTGTTTATGTTGTCTTTAGCAGTGTTATTGATAAACAAGGCTTAGTGTTGGAGTAAATTTATGCTGAAATTTATATTAATAGACAGAGACTTAGCAAAGGTTAACCCAGTGAGATGTACTACAGTAGTAATATTTACTCTTGGAAGGTAGTTTTGCTTATTCTCTGTATAATATCTGTATACAAAAATTGCAATTTTAGCATAAATTTACTTTGATCCTAAACCTTGTTTATTTATAGCACTGTTAAGTAAGTGTATTGAATTTTATTAAACAACCTTTTTTTTTTATACAAAATACATTATATTAAGCTATTGGTGTAACAATAATCACTATTATTTATGTGATTTTTTTCAAATGACCAATGGTATTTTGTAAAAGGTGAGTCCTGAATTTTAAAGTGTCTTAACCTAATCTTTATCCTGCTATAATGGGATCTATTGTAAATTATCTTTCTAAGATTTGTATTTTTTTTTAGTAACACCTCACTTAATTATTTATTCCATCATAAATGAAAACCACCTCATATACCAATTACTAACTTGATACTTTTGTATATCAGATGACAAAAAATAACTCAATAAAATGTCCAATTCAGAAATCAACATGGATTTCTTCATAAATTACAGAGAAGGTTAAACGTAAATATATAATAAAACTTAACTGATGCATTATTTTTTATTTGGTTGTGATATTTTTTTCTCTGTTTATATAACCTCAAATTGATATTGAATACTTCTCTGAAGAAAACATAATCAAATTACTAAAACAGACTGTAATGCAAAAATATTGAGAACAACCAGAGAGTATAAAACATCATAGTAGAAATGTGTGAGGTGGTTTTCCACCAAGCGTTCAGTGTGCCCGGTGACACTTGTGTAATCGACGCAGGCGTTGGAGGAGGACGGCACAGTGTTGGAGGGCGTGGCGATCGCGGTGGCGGTGGAGTCGCGCGCGGAGACCGCCGTGCTGGTGGGCGTGCCGTACGAGGCGAGCACGGACTACGTGCGCCTGCTGTTCTCACAGTGCGGGGAGGTCGCGCACATACACGAGTTCAGCAAGACCAAGTATAAGATATGTGAGTATCGACAACGTACATCAAAACAAATCCATTGAAATATTGCAGTTAGCATACAGCTCTTTCGTTTGACGTTTCTTTATTAATATCCCCGCTGCTACGGCTCAGGTCTTGTCCATGGATGGAACTGAATCAGATCTAATAGGGAGAATAGGCCATTACCAGAGGTCGGAATTAGGTAGAGTTATTTATGTACTTGCATCGAAATGTTGATATTAATGTGGACCTTCCCGGGATTTCTAATGGACAATCCCGTGTGGCCAACAATCTTACAACTAAATAATAATAACAACGTCAGAGATAGACAAATAAAACAAAGATAATTAACATAAATTTTTTATTAGTCGTATTTGTATTTTGTAACTTTGGACATCCGATGTCATTGATGTAAGTTTGGCAACGTCGTGCGTGCAGTAGTTTAAATTGTGTAAAAGTAAATAACTTTTTATTTAAAAAATAACGGGATTTTTTCTGCTCTTTAAAATTAATCTCAGGATTTGAGGCATATCCACTTTATTCTTTCGCTGTTTGAAATCAGTGTAAGTACATGAATAACTCTACCTAATTCCGACCACTGGCCATTACCCACTGCGCGGGCTCAGTGCATATTGGTGGGTATTAACGACTGCAGATGCAGTTGGAGCCAACTGCTTAAGGTGCCTCCTGAAGCATGGAGGAATTCAAGATTATAAATTTTTGGTCAGATATCTTGCACTAGTAGTGCACTAGCCACTGTACTATTAATTTCAATTAACAATAACATTCATTCGATATCTTTAGATAAACTTCTCAATTGCTCTCACATGTCAAATAGATGTAACATGGATTTCGTAAATATCTTTCAGATGTTAAATTGAAAGGGATTGTGCTAGATTTAAAATTGGACAATTGCCCTCTAAAAATAGAGATATCTGCTTACGAGATGGCATCCAGAGTTTTCTTGGAATAACGAAAAGGGGGAACTCGGAAATAATCCATGCTCATTGTTTGGTGTAATAATAGTTGAATGAGTCATCAGTCCTTAGTAATAATGATTGAACGAGTCATCAGTCATAGCTAAAAATAGGTACATTTTTTTATAAGACTCAGTATGATTAGCTTAAAGCATATTATTCATTGTTTGTATCAGTGCGGGTGACATTCCACGCGAAGGAGGCTGTGGAGAAAGCTCTGAAACTTGACCGCGAGTTGCGCATCAACGGGTTCATGCTCACCGTCTCAAAGTATCGCGACGACGACGAACAGAAAGCGCACAACGCCAACGCCAACAAGGTAATCCAACACATCGGTAACAATAGGAAACATTCATAGATACAATCCGTCTTTCTCATTGTTCCCTACAGACATAAGGTAGTAAATACAGTTGATTTATTCACCAATATATAATAAAAAAAAACATACTTCTCTGTAATATTAAAATATTGAACCATAATTGTATGTCAAAGGAGAAGAGACTAGTGGATCAGGGTTCATCTTTGGACGTAACCTGTAAATGATTGTACATTCAGCAAATTTAAATTAAGTTAGTTTACTAAATCAAATTAATGTAACAATCGTTGGTGTACTAAATAAATAAATAAGTAACTATTGAGGATATTGCTGGGATGGCTTGGTTTCAGACAGGAACTTGAAATAGTATTCGGTTGGTTACTTTTAGTTGATCTAATATATTTGTGGCACTGCAATAAATATATTGTCTATGCTGTAACATCAAGGGTTTAAGGTTGAAATTAATAGCGTCGTCATAATTATGTTTTTTTTTGTGGTGTAGAACAAGCGGCCACAGCAACAGAATCGCAACAACACCAACGCGAACGCAAACAACAGTCCCGCAAATCGCACCAACACTTTCCGCCCGCGCGGTGGCGCTTTCAACGCGCGCGGAAACTTCCGAGGTGAGTCACTCGGTATATCTCCCAGTTACTATTTTCCAGCATTAAAAAGATTTTAAGTCTTTTTGTATCGTAGTTTAGCTTTCCTATCAATATGAATTAAAAAGGCTTAAAGAGGAGCAAAAGTAAATTTTTTAATTAATTATATATTTGTCATTCGAAAATTGGCCTTGTTGCAAATAATGCGACATGTCTATTCCTTAATTAGTTATAAACCTCACAGGACACGAGTCATTATTCACAATCAGTGTGATATTACTGATCTTATTGGCTATTATATAATATAGATATGTATGAAGGGTATATAACATTTGAGCTTTATTGATCTGATATTTCTGTATGTCACATACCAAAAGTCTTCTATTTATTTTATTTTATCTATACTAATATTATAAAGAGGAAAGATTTGATTGTATGTTTGTTTGCAACGAATAGGCTCCGAAACTACTGGACCGATAAAAAAAAATCTTATCTACAGGAAGCTACAACATATGCGGTGAACATAGGCTATGTTTTATCCCGAAAAACAGGAAATAAAGAGATGAAAATGGGAGCGGGAAGTTTGTATAGCGAAATAAAATGTTACCATGCAACCGTTGTTTACAAGTAAATTTATATGCATTCATATATAATGCCAATGATTAATTTAATTTAATTAAATTAAATTTAATTGAAACTGTTTATTTGGATCCAAATAAACAGTTTCCAGGGTTATGTGTCCATCAAGTGTGGTGGTGTTTAACATGTAGCCCTATAAAGATCTACCCTCCATTGGATTCGTTTAATATTGATTGTAAATTAGACAACACAACGACATATTGATGAATGTCTTGTCTGTCTGTTTGCATGGTGCGTAGGTGCGCGCGGCGGTCGCGGCGGGTTCGGCGGTCGCGGCGGCGCGTTCCCTCGCGGCGGCTTCGCGCCCGTCAACACGTACATACCGCCACAGGGATTCATGGGCCGCCCGGTCAGTGACAACATATAACTACACTATACTATACTATACATACACATTACAATACTTAGCGTTATATCGATCGACTCTTAACCTAGCCGGTCCCATCCCTTACAGTTCGCATGAAAGTAAACATCTGGCGGCGGCTTGAAATAAAAGTGGGTAATCGATAATTATAATAAACAACATAATTTATTATTAAATATATTTTAATTATCAATATATAACCATTATAATCGATGTATAAAAGACTTAGTTTCTGAAGTACAAAAAATCAATAATCACGCGTTTGAAAGTAGCATACTTTCTTTCGCGGCAGTTTTTCTCCCGATCTACACACGATTTTGATTTTTTTTGTGAAAATAAAACACTAACATTGCTCCTATTTTTCTTGTTACTAATCTTAAGAGGCTCGTGGGACCGGTTAAGTTAACACACGTCCACCGTTTGGGATTACATACTGAAAGACACATTTTATTATTCAATCGATATATTTAAAATCACCATGTTGACAACTATTCGATAGTTGTACAAGAATCGCAATCCGGAAGTACTTTGGCGCTAAACCGATCAAACGTCAAAGGCAAAGTGACAGCTAACTGACAGGGGTGCCCGTAGTGAAATTGACAATTAGTGCTGCCAGTGTTAGTTGATTTTTCCCCTCTTATAATACATATTTTGCTTTAAACTCTGATTATTTGCGAAATATTACTAATAATTTTTAGGATCACCAACTTATGCTTTACGAAGCCACATTAACAAATTATGACATTTTACAACGTTGTATTGCTTAACATTAGATAACAATTAATAACTCCATCTCTCTACTTAAATGTCTGAAATGAATTTAAATTCTAAGATAGATTACTAAAACTGCAAAAAATAATCAATGATTTCACAATTGAATAACGCTACATAATACATAACAAACAGCTTTATTATACTACATGTTTTTAAAATGTGTTCTACTTGTAACAGTCTAAAATTAACGCCATAAATTCGTTAATCTATGGCAGGGAGAGTTTCGACTGTTATCAGTAGAACTGCTTGTATTATTATTAAAGTTTTATTTCTTTTCTTTTAGTTGACTGTATTTTTTTGCAATTATTTCATCCATGCTTTTTTTTTGTTATTTGTTTGCATGCTCATTATTTTGTAAAGAAACGAGTGCATAGAAGAATGTGCAAAGAAATGCAGTACAATGTTTGGTATTTAACACAATGAATCAGTAGGGCTGCAGATCTCTTTGCCATTAACGTGTTCTGTGCATTCTTTTCAGAGCTACCTGTAGTAGAACATTACACAACTATAAAACACAGGTAAAATGGCCTCGGTCATGTTCACTTGCTTTATGGGGGACGTGTTTGTCTCTATGGGTTATTTAAATTAATTAATATTTGTACCCTGGGTTCACACTAATGACAATTACAGAAAAGCAGTTTAATGAATGAAACGTAATAATAACGTAATTTAGTGATGAAATACTTGAAAATAATATTATTGTTTTTTTATGGAAACCAAATATTTTTGTGTTTTGTAATGTTTCATCCGTGTGAACCATGGCTTAAATTTTATTTTGAGTGAAATGTATGTCCCGTTCTTTGTTGTTTTGTTTTTCATTGAAAATGTTGTGCAGACAACAAAAGTTAAAAACATTTAGAAAAGGGTATTCATGATTGTTATGTGATATATATGTTTTAACCCAAATGTATATGTTTGAGGAAGTATTTAAAATATTAGTTCCGGAAATCAAACTAGATTACCGGAATATATAATGACAACCCTTCCTATACTATACTTCCGGCTTTCTTTCATGTATAAAAGCAAATTAATTTTCAAAACTCAATAAACAATTCATATTCTATTTGTACTTTTTCGTATTTGTATCTAAGTTTTTTATATGTTAGGTAAAAGGAAAAATTATCTTTGGTCCATTGGTTTGCTGCAAAAATCATTTTTTTCTAGAGTCGCCAGCTAGTGAGGTGCTTATTAGTGCTTTCTTTTTTTTTCTTAAAATCTCTCACTCAGCTGATAGCGTTTATTTCATATTTCAAGAAAGAGATAAAATGATAATCCACAAAAGAATAAATATTCGATGTTTCTAATGTACGTTTGTCTGCCACCAGGGCGGGTTCATGAATGACGGGCAACGACCGAACAAGCGGCTGCGGCAGATGTAACCGTATCGCAGTGTAATAAGATCAAATATCGTGCGTCGTCGTCTTATGTTCATTTGTGTGCGTGTGAAGAGCGTCCCAGAGACAACAGTGACAGTTCAGTATCAGGATAAATCTAGCTAATTGTATTTACTAAGTACATGAAATAAAATAAAATAATATTGTAAGCTATTGTCTTTTGACAGGTAATAAATGTAATTACTAACAATGGTTTGTTTTATTTTTTAACTTTAATTGTGTAGATGGGGGTAAGACGATATACGTTAGTGTATTTTAATGAAATATGCTTAAAAATCCACTCTCTGTGCGTATTTTTATCAATGTTCAGGCAATCTACCCAAACGGCCGAAAGACATTTTTACAAATATTTAAAAACTCGTTACAGATGAGGATTTGTTATTATTTGTTACTACTTCGTTTGAAAATGCAAGGGGTAGCGCCGCCAGTCTGATACACACCTAGGCAGTAAGTAGTAAAGGTGCTACTCGAGTGAGATTTATTTAGTAATTTTAGACAAATACATACATAATATAAATAAATTTTCCATTACATAAGGTTTAACACATTATTTATATAGGTAATCTAGAAAATAAAAAAATAAGCGGCATGGATTTATAAATTAGAGTAGCGAAGAGACATCTAGTGGCAAGAGAATCAGTTTGATACGCCGAGATGACTCGATAATTCGAGTGCACAGAGATTTTTCCCTCGAGTTCTAGTTCGAAAAATTTACTCTATTATTTATTTAATTCTTAATGCACAATCGCACAAAAGTGAACGTAATGCCTTAGATATTCTTTGCAAGTTAACCTTTAGGTGATGTGGAGATTATAATGATAAAAGTAGGTGCATATATAATCGTTCGAAAAAAGAAAAAATCTAGTAACTCAAATCGCATCTCTAGACGATATACTTATAATTGGTAGATATACTGGAGGCGGCGGCTGCTGGCTTTATATACGGAATATTTGTACATACAGCAGCATGATAGGTTACAACAAATGCCACCGACAGTGAATTTTGTCTCTGAGAAGGAAATTTTCGATACTAAATCGCAAATCTATTAAGACTTTCGAAGTTCCCTTGGCATAACTTTTATTCCTTTGTAATAAAAGCGAAATCATTATGCTACGAGGGTCTTCTTTCATGAAACGAACTATACGTAGTATAAAAAAGTCACTTTTTTTCATTAATATAGTATTTCATTATTATGTTTTGATAGTCAAAATATGTAGGAATTTATCGGACAGGTTGAATCATTAACGAAATGTTTGGCCTAAAAAGTAAATTGCCAATGTACCTACTGAGTTTATAAAGAATGCTTAATTAATTGCACATGTAATTGCTGTTAAATCCTTATACAAACTAGTTACACGAAAGATTTTTAATACACAACAGAGTCAGACCATTCCGTTATAATACCGACTCCTAATTACCTACGACATATATTTTACTTTTGATGCATTTGATGCATATAAGTAAATGCCAATATATTTTTGAGATCTAAGATTTCCTGTTTTATTCTTAACTAGACAGGAATCTGATATTGGTGACTCTTCTCCAGAGTTTGAGATGAATGGATGGCATTTTCTACATGTAACATATAAATATATATTTAAATTTTAACCGACTTCAAAAAAGGGAGAAGGTTCTCAATTCGACTGTATTTTTTTTCCTCATAATTTTTTCTGGGTGGACCGATTTTGATTTTGTTTGCCATGTGGTCCTATTTTAATTTGGTCCAGAAGTTGCAATGGTATCTATGAAAAAACCATATGTCCTAAATTTGCATTAAGTACACATGATGTCTGTTATCTCAAAACTTTTACAGGGTGGATCGATTTTGATGATTTTTCTTTATTTGAAAGCTAGTGCTTGCCGTGTGGTCCCATTTTAATTTGGTCCAGATCTGGCAATGGATTCTATAAGAAAACCATATGAGTCTTAAATTTGCATTAAGTATGCGTAATGTTTGTTACCCCAATACTCAAAATATCGCTAAAATCCATGAAATAAAAACTTAAAAAAAGGAACCGACTTTAAATTTAAAAAAGTGGAATATAATACTTCTCTACTCTACTTTAAATTTGAAGTCGGTTACATTTTTTTTATTAGACAACATCATATAAGTTGCTCAGATTTTAAGATGAGCAGATAAAGTCCCCGTATATGGAGTATCTGAAATAACGATGGTGAAGCATCAGCCAGAGGGGACATAATATACAAAAGTTTATTTTCTACATTAACCCGACCGCAATCGAACCCGGGACTGAAACTGATGTGCGAGCTACACAGTCTTGAGCTACGGATTATTTAAAATTATATTTCCTAAAGTGCTGGGCAGCGAAAAAGACACGAGGACTGGATGCTGAGGTGGAGGTGTCACTAGAATTGATAAATTGAGAACAGATTTATCTATTTTGCAAAGTGTGGGTGTGGGCAAAAAAAAACACAAGCTCGTTTCATATGGTTTGTTCACGTAATACGACGGGAAAGCAGTAACGTGGTGCAAACTGCACTGGGCTTCAAAAGAGGCCAAGGGCGCCCCCCTGCAACCTTGTGGTCATTAATAAATTAATGACTTGAAGAAATCACAAGTGCATATAGAGACGACCCACGACAAAGTCGCCTGAACAGGGAAGGAAGAAGAAGATAATATATGTTAAATATTATTATGTCTCGCAGCTTCATTCTTTGCGATTTATGGTTGACAAAATTTTAATCTTCATAAATCGCAACGATTGAATTTTCTCACACATTGTTGATCGTACTTACTTAGTGAGCTTGTTTGATCATCAAATGTCTATTATTAACAACTGTAAAAAAATTGTTAAACGATTTTTTTTCTATCATAATGTATTATAATTTGGTCTGGTTTGTGGAAGGTGTATGATTCTACTCCTGCCTAAAATCACTAGTGTCTTTTTGCGTTATAAACCTTTGACAGGTTAGGTTTATAACATAAACAGACACTAGTTTAAAGTAAAAAATATTTTCTCTAGCTGTGATATTAAGATTGAAGCCAGTATTATAGGTAATTGAATTGTCTTAAGTACGAACAGAAAAGCAGCGTGCTAAAGTAGCCATCATGTTCGGGATCGGCACTCGCGCGCAACGCATTGCGGCGACAGCACGCGCAAATAGTTAACACAATTATAAATACAGATCTAGCGATGTACACAAGAGTTTGTGTTTTGTTTTTGTTTGTTGTTTCTATTGATTGTACGTGGCAAAACGCTTCTAGAAGTAACCGTGGAAGGAGTTGGACTGTTCACGGTGATGTGATGGAGCACCTGTTTACTTTGTATGACCCCTCGTTCCTGGCTCTCGTGTGGCCGAAGATCACAAACGGCGTTCACCTTAGAGTTGGTCATTTCTGCTGGGAAGACGTTTCGATGCTGCTCAGAGATTTGGCCGATGGTAGAGCTTGGGCTTATAATGGTGAGTACTAGATAACATAAAGGATACCTTCAGGTCCGAAGCTAACGTCCGTGTAGTATTGATATGGAAATACCGTATGAAATCTATCGATTGATATTAAAAATCTTAGATAAGTGTTTATTAGTTAACCCAAAAATTGTTTCAACTCCCTCGGTCTCCCCTACTCTGTCACACGCCACTCATTATTGCATACTAATCACGAGTTAATTATGTTACTTCTCAGAAAAATATTTTTGTAGAGTTTTTAGGATCTCACATCGTCCTAGTATGTTTCGGTATTGAGTCCTATGACGATAAAAAAATTAACATAAACTATTTTTAAAGACATACCATATACTAATCTTTAAAGCTCATGTTTCTTAAAAAAAAAAACAGATATTCTTAATGGAAAATGCTTAAAAAATCCAGTTTGTCCCTGGCATTGGGAGGTGGGACCCGAACCCATGACATTCGGGGGACTGCTCTAACCACTGAACTTAGAAAAGTGGTTAGTGGTTAGATAAAGTGGATTTTTCAAGCATTTTTCTTTAAGAATATTTATTAGTATAGCATTGTGAATGCAAAACTGATCATATATAAGAAAACAGATGTTTTAATTATGACTCGTCTTTTATGCATTACTAGTGGCCGCCAGCGACTCCGTCCGCGTTTTCCATTTTTTCTTCGCTCGCTTCGAAATGCTAAGCTATCGGGAGGTACACGTGTTATTGTGAGTCAACCATAAAAGATAGACATATGCTGTCGTGGGATATTTTTTTTATATAATTTTAAGGAGAACATTTTCGTCATACATGATTTCTGGGTAGCTTTAACCATTAAGGTTGCACACGCGACGGAAGCTTAAAAAATGGAGTAACTTCTCCCGTTTTCCCAACATTTCTCTTCACTGCTCTGCTCCTATTGATTGTAGCGTGATGAAAAGTATACTATAACCAGCTCAGTAGTATGAAAAATAATTGCACCAAGTTTCGTTAAAATCCGTCGAGTAGTTTTTGTTTCTATAACGGTTATACAGACAGACAGACAAACCAACAGACAAAAATTTTACTGATTGCATTTTTGGCATCAGTATCGATCCCTAATCACCCCCTGATAGTTATTTTGGAAATATATTTCATGTACAGAATTGACCTCTCTACAGATTTATTATAGATAAGTATAGATTTAGGTTAATATATATTTATGTAGATAATATCAAACTATTCTATCACCATTTAACAAACATAAAAACAGTTATCTTGCTCTTATTAAACACAGCAATATTTATGTCATGACTTTGCCATAAACTTAACTGCGCTGTGTGACCTAAGGGTCAGATTCCTGTCGCTACAATTATATGGGGGCCTTCTAATTTTTATTTTACAATACAAAAAACTAACGAACTCCTATAGAAACTGTCAATCACATTCAAAGAAATGATTAGGCTGTCGAGTGTAACTATGACAATAGAAATATTATACCTAATGCATATGTATGCTGATAATTCGTTTCGTTGAAGTTGATACTGCTTTATTATAGGCTCGGTTATAACGGGATCTTACATTGTGTGTCGAAGTTATTATGACTGTGCGTTTTTAGATAATATTTATATCTTTTTATAAACTCAACTCGTACATACGAAACAAGTGTATCCTACTATTCCCATTTAATGGCAATTGTGAGAAAAGCTAAGTAAGTAGGTATCTGATACTTGGTAGGACTTCCACACTAACCTGCCCCTTTTTAGGGCGGGGTGGAAGGGGAGCCCTGATTTAAGGTTTTAACTGCATTTTTCCTGCGTTAACAAAAAAAAAGGATATCTGATATTTAGAAGGATCGTCAAAGCTATTACGGAAACGGAAATAATCCAAACTAATTATTAAATACGTATATATGTATGATAAATAAAAAAAATATCGTTATATAAGAATATTCATCATCATATTCAGCCGTTCTGCGTCCAGTCCTGAACATAGATCCTTCCTAGCCAGGCGATCCTGTGCTTTCAGCATCTTATCACGCCCTGCGTGTCGTCTATATATGTATATCTATTGAAAAAAAAAATATAAGTATGTGTTCTTAAAGCTATCGTTACGAGTTAGGCGGTTGTAACGCGGGTCATAAGTTCTGTGACACATGGCTAATGGCCATTATATATTATTTAAAAAAAAAAACTAGAAACATCCGAGTTTTTCCGAGAGATTTTTTCCGAGTATATTTTATGAGTTAATATTAACATCCTGAACGTGTGGTAGGGAAAGCAATTTTGGGGTGATTTTAAAGCATAAATTTATTTGAATTAATTTTTTTTTCGTTATTACAAAAACTTATTCTAATTAATAAAATCCATTTGGTAATCTCTGTTTCTTGCTTTCTGTGTAGATGTATGTCGTGCTTTTGACTGTACATTGTTAACAAATTAATAAATAAATAAGGGGCTATCCATAAATTATGTCACACGTTAGGAGGGGGGGACATTAGTAGAATATTTAGTAGAAGTGTGCAAACAGGTGACATATTTTATGGACGGCGCCTAAGCTACGGTTACATCGAGGTTGTATAATTAAGGTTGGAATATACCACCGGCTTGGGATACAGTAATTAGTCAAATAAAATCTGAATCTAGATCACACATTGCAAAACCAAAAGATGCAGTTACAAATATTAAATCAAAGGGAGCAATTCGCTTTTCTTGTCGGAGTTTGTTTAGCCAGTTCTCCTCAGACAGGATTCCCAAATTTGTAACTGGTGGCAGATTACGGTAGCCGGGGGTAAATTAAGAAGTCAAATGTATTTTTAAAATAATTTATTTTATTAAATGTGAACGTTACCATAAAATATATATATTTTTTTGTATTGTGAATGTGTCAAATAATATTGATTTATGAAGGTAGTTACACTTTTAAATAAAAAGACAACACCTTAGTCTTATGTGAGCACGGAACCTGTAAGGGGTCCGAAACGTCAATAAAACTAAATACAAACGCGATGAAATGGCTTAAAAGTTGTTTCATTAATGAATAGAGCGCGTGAAAAATATAAGAAATCAATAAATAAATAAGCACTTCAGGCAAGATTGTACAAAATTACCAATTTTTAAACCAGTTTTTATTCCAATGCTAAGCTGATATTTTCTAAATAAAAATAATTTTATGAAAATTAAACATATGATCGATTGTTTGCTAAAAACAGAAATATATATTACAATTATTGGCTCGATAAAAAAAAAAACTGCAAAGGCGACTGACTCTAAATAGGATTTTTGGATAGATTTTACGACTATTATATATTTCATCTTTACTAAATAAAATATACATATTTTGGTTTTAATGTAATCTTAAATATACAAAAGTTTTTTTTATAACGGCATTGGTTTATTTATCTAATTAAAAATGTCTTTACTCTCGATGCGTATTTCTATGGGAACGTAAACGGGCATGTAACAAGCGTTTGTACAAGGCCTTAATGTTGCTAATTTTTAATGTAGATTCGTGTCAATCTATAATAACACAGTATAATAATATGACTTAAGTATAGTAACAACGTAACTTTCTTCGGTGCGTCGTCCTATCAAGTTCATCGTGCCACACTTGCGTCGCGCGTGTGCTGAAATCAATTGCCACGCAACTTATTGCGAGATCCACAAGAATGTATGAAAACTAAGCTTGTTCTAAGTAGGTAGAGTTTGGCAAGCGAAACGTGACACCACCTATTTTTCCGTTTTCATATGGCAACAACATAGAACTGTCAGTTTGACACTACGTTAGACAATTCAAGAATATTGAATTTTGTTGTTTTTGCGAATTTGAACTTGTGTTTTTGGTTAAAAATTATGTCGAAGCCGATAAAAAGTTCATCGAGGAAACTTCTTTCCATCATGATTGACAAGTTTACTGAAGTGAAAACTGAATTAAATAAAAATTTCATGGAGAAATTACAACGATTAGATAAAGTTGTATCTTTTTTAGGTTAGTTTTGTATTATAATTTTGATACTTTCGTTTTAATTTTCTGTAATTAACTAAACAGATATTTTTTATAAAATATTGCTCTATTTCAGATAACTGTGATGGTGATATTCAACCAATAATGGAGGAGATAAATGCAATAAAAACTTTAGAAAAACAAGAAATGCTGAATTCGGAAACGCAGTACTTACAAAAAATTTCTTCAATGACAGGTCTCTTTTCTTGTTTTGATTTAAGATAGATTGATAGTATTCCTATAATATTTACATAGGTTTTTTATGATGTATTGGTTTTTATTGTTGACATCCAATGATGTCATAAGAATGTTTTGTTTAACAAGGAAATTCACAGAATTCATGAAACTAATCAAACCATGTAATTGTTATACATGCTAAATATGCACATAAACTTAACTAAATTAAACATAAATTGCATTCATAGTTGAATAGGTATTTAAATTATTTTGATGTATGTGTCTATCATTATTTGCTTTTAAATACATTTAACATATCTTTGTTTCAAAGTGTTTAATCTTTTATAGATGTAAGTATAAGGACACTAAGAAGGATAAAAAATGAAGCATTAATTAATAAAGGAAAATGGGACACTCCTGGGAAAAAACGACCTCATCAACCAACAGTGTCTGCTTTAGATAATTTTGATTTAAGTGCAATTCGGAATAAAGTAAATGAATTTTACTGTGTGAAAAAAATTGTTCCAACATTAAGAAGCCTTCACAATGAATTAAAAGATGCAATAGGATTCAGTGGTAGCCGTGAGACTTTACGAAAAATTATGCTTAAGAATGGATTTTCTTTTAAAAGCAATGAAAATGAACGTTCTATGCTTATAGAAAAATACCAGATTTCTGCATGGAGGCACAAGTATTTGAGAGAAATAAATATAAAACGAAACGAAGGAAAGCAAATTGTGTACCTTGATGAAACTTATGTACATCAGAATTATAAAGTTAAAAAGTCTTGGCAAGGACCTTCAACAACTGGTGTCACTACAAAGATATCCTCTGGAAAACGGCATATTGTTGTGCATGCTG